TTCCAGATCCTTTATGCCAATGAAGGCGAGAGCAAGAAGGAGCCGGAGTTTCCTGTGGAGCCACTGGCCATTGGAGAGAAGTCTAGCTACATCTGCCACAAGGGCCACGAGTTCATCCCCACTCTCTACCACTTCCCCACCAACTGTGAGGCGTGCACCAAGCCGCTGTGGAACATGTTCAAGCCGCCGCCTGCTCTGGAGTGCCGACGCTGCCACATCAAGTGCCACAAGGACCACATGGACAAGAAGGAGGAGATCATCGCTCCATGCAAAGGTAGGATGCATTCACATAGGAACTGAAGAATCTGTGAACGAACAGGTTTATTGGTGCAGCTTTAGGATGTGAGAAAGAGTTTTCAGTCATACCAGTGTTGCGAATAAAGATAACTGAAGATTATAACTCTCTCTCCCACCACCAGTGAACTACGACGTGTCTACGGCCAAGAACCTGCTGCTACTGGCCATATCCCAGGAAGAGCAGCAGAAGTGGGTGAGTCGACTGGTCAAGAAGATTCCCAAGAAGCCTCCACCACCAGAGCACTTTGCACGCTCCTCGCCACGCGCCTCCATGAAGGTCCAGCCAAGCCAGTCCATGAGGAGGCCCAGTCGACAGCTCCCCACAAGCAAGAGCAGGTAGCAAAGCAGACAAGAGATCATGTCTGCACAGTTAATGCTTTTTGGACAAGCTTTTAAAACAGTTTTCAGTATTTAAGACTCATTTGATTTGTTGATTTTCATGTTGTATAAAGTATTTGGTTATTCAGGAGGTTTCCAGTGCTGCAAAGATAAGATTGAGGGTTTTAATACATATTATTGAGACAGTAACCTTTTAAACCTTTTTAAAGCTAACACATTATTTACTGCATGCATTTTCTGAAAGATCATGGTTCTTTTGCGTTCCTTGGACTAAACTAACACACTGTTTCTATGGATCAGGAGGAATACAAAAAGTATTGCAAGGTAACACAAAAGTTATTGTGAGGGAACACAATAGTAGTTTCACAATAGAATTTCACCGTGACCCTTTTGGGGGCTCGGTAGTGGATAGTTGTGTCCCACCGTGTGGCTGCTGTTTCAAAGTCAAGTTAGAATTTGAAATAATAGTAATTATTATTGTAACTGAATGTTCTGAATCTTTTGGTGTCAAATTTAAATCTGTTGAAAATTGGCCACTGTTAGCTCCTTGCTAGTTCAGTCCAATAATGCTGATGATATCAGTCTCATCTATAGTGCATCCAGAGTTACCAAATCTAACAAAAGCAATGTTGATATTTCTATATCCTGTGTGTGAAACCCCAAAGACTGCTGTGTATATGCAAGGGATCAATTCTTGTAGAGGAGAATAAAAGATGTCCTTGTATCCAGAATTCACTGCAGTGTCAGTGAGAAGTGTTTTTGAAGTGTGAGACAGTGAGCAGAGCAGCTGGGGAGCTTTGTTCTCTGTATACATGATTAGCCTGCAGAAGATAAGATGCTGTTTTCAGTTTCCCCCTCTAGTCCGTCTGGCTTTGTATTTCAGGATCTCCCCTTATATAACACCTTTCTCTTTAACATGAGAACAGTAGCCAATCCTACATTTGAAAAGACTCTATTCATGGTTATCAGATTGTATGTGTAAGTGTTACCTGGCCATCAAAACTAATCTCCCCTTTCAGATTTGAGGACTTTGGTCTTCAGGACTGGCACTGGGCATTGGATGATATCGATGATGATTGTTCCTCTATTCATTTCTGATGACTGCATATGGTAACGGTGTGTGCGGTGTGTGCTGTGCAGTGCAGTGCAGTGATTTCAGTGGCAGTGGAGCACTGTTTCCACAAGGCATCAGTTTATACATCTACAGTTCCAATTTGCTGTGATTTTAAAAAGAGATGGAAACACTGGAGAACAAATTTAATATTGATGAAAGGAAGTGCAGTGTTTCAAGACACTGCTTCTTATTCTCTGCTACCTTGAAAAACTCCATGATGTTGTTTTTGAGGTGGTAGCCAACCAAACATTAATATTTCTAAAGCTGCTGCTGAGACTAAAGGTGCTGTTTTCTAGTCACATCATCCTGTTAAGGTCCTTAAACATATCTCACCCATCGTGACCTTATGCCCTCTGACCTCACGCCCTCGCAGATCAAATGGCTTCCAAATAAGGCGAGAAGAATCCCACAGTGGACACTGGTACAATTGATGACTTCTCCCACCTTGTTCTCCCTTTGCCCAGACGTTTCCCAGTAAACCACTCAATTCCTGAATGTGTGTATGTTTGATTACAACCAAAAAGTGTCTTTTTGCACTGAATGTTCAGACACACTCCTGGTTGTCAGTTTGTGGTGGGGTTGGTGGTGGGCTTTGTCCACATATGTTGGTCCCAGTGCATGTGCTTGTTGGGGTTCCTTAAATCTGTGGGAAACATTTGGCTGCCCACCTGATAGCTTGGATTACGTTGCCACTGGGTGCTTTAAATGAAAGCAGATACATTGTCTTGTGGGTTAATGTTGTACGTCTGTTGTTTCATCATTTATTTAGGGGCTGAAGATTAGACAAATACCTGATTATATCATGATGCACTGTTGTGCAAGTGCAAATATCTCCTCTGTATTTTTTAAATTGTTATTTGCAATAAAAAGACTTAACGTAATATAAAATGGTATAATATATTATTTTCCTTTTTAACACCAGATCCCAATGTATCTGTGATTTCGCAGCAAAATATTTTTCAACTGTAAAATGTCCCCTCAGTATATAGCTCTATTTGTACTAAGGTAAATGATGGGGGGGGGGGGAACTTTTTATTAAAGCCAGAAACAGAACTTCTGTCAGACTCTATAGACTCAATCCATAGAATTGATTTAGTATTTCTGAAAAAAAAAAAAAAGAGTTCTGTGGTATTATTACAAAGTCCGTGCACACCATAAAGTCTTACTGACCACGGGTGTACATCTGGACTGAAGAAACCAAAGAAATTCATAAACCTTTCCTGGTATAGGTCTGAAGACCGAAAAATGATGAAATAAGTGAGTAGCAGTGCAGTTAGTATTATTTAAACGTTATTTTCTGACACTAATCTTGCATCCATTTCTCCTTCTCTCTTCCAGTTAACCTTGCTTGGGAGTGTGGTGCATCGTCAAGGTGTTGGGGTGTTTCCTTCTAAATCAAAGACTGTATACAAAGCTCCGTTTGCAGATCGGCACACTGAACTCCACATCACTTCTCCACAACCCACCCTGTCATGCTTCAGCCTGTGAGAGTTACAAAGTCTGTATTTCCCTTTTTGTTGAACTTCTTTCCCAGCAAATTGAAGCGGTAACGACTATCAAACTCAACCCCTGTGTGATCCTTTCACCCAGCTGGATGGCTTGTAAGCATATTAGCCGAAGTCTTCTGTCGGGCCCTTGACTAGAGCAATTATGTGTCTCTGGGGAGCTGGAGTAGCTTGTTCAGCTCCCACAGAACAGAAGAGAGCTCTTAAAAGCCAGACTAGGGCTGGCAAGAAGGGGATACACTTACCTCAACACTTCTCACCAGGACACACTGTCTGATTGAAGGACCTAACAGGAAAACTCTGAGCTCTTCCTCACCACCTTTGGGAACACTTGTGGCCAAATAAAAAGACATTCTTGTGTTTAATGATGAACAATATGAAGGGTTTAATGGGGAACACTACGCTCAGAAGATGGTAAATTCTGTAGTTTGTTGGCTGAATGCAGCTGAGCTTGTTGAACTTGATCCCAGATACAGTATCTGTACTTTGGCTTACTCAAACTCTTTAACATATTGATTGTAGCTTCTTGCTTCCCACCATTCTGCTTTCAGGTGCGCGTCCACACGGGTCACAGAAACTTGAATAAGGTACTTAAGCAAATGAACTGTGACTTCTAGGAAAGTCAACAAGGTGGGGAAGGAGTCTCAGATTCCTCTAGGATTTGAGGGAATAATTCCTTGAGCGCCTCTTATTCAAATTTCTGACTCAGGCACGCTCTGAATCACCGGTTTGTCTTGTATGACTACAGTAATGGTTACAAGTGAACTGAATCCTGTTCTGAATGGCATTAGATAAAGGCCCAGACATGAGATCCTCACAATCCCATAATCTTTCAAACCTGCACTGTCAATTATGAGGGTTAATGTTTACTGAATTCAAGGGGTGCACCGTTAATGCTTTTCTGATCCGAGCTCCGCTCTTTTTTTTTTTTTTTTTTTTTTGAATGTACATCTGGGCTTCACCAGAGATGACACGCAGGCATTGTATTACTTCTATCCAAATATACTTGACTGAAGCCCCCTTTCATCACCAACTACTCTGAGTGAACTTGCATGTGTTTGCCTTTTCAGGCCGCACACTTAAGTGCTGTCACCCACAGGCCTCCACCTATTAGAAATGTAGTTTTAAGTCATTTCCTGACAATGGAAAATGAGGGGAATTGACCAATACGAAGCAGAAACAATGAAGGTATGCAATCATATCCCATGAGTCAAAATACTGAGCAGAACTATTCCATTGAACGTTTTTCTAAAAGTGTTTGTCCTGATATTTTTGTATTAAAAGTAACCAAACTCTGAGTTTGGGCACATTGTTGTGTGTATGTGGCTTATATAGCAAGTGGAGAGTAACTATGTGTGTGTGTGTGTGCGTGTGTGTGTGTTTGTGTGCGTGTGTGTTTGTGTGCCTGTACTGAGTGCTCTCCTTTAACCAAGAAGCATGTTTTATACATATAAATATACACAGTATATATTTTACATGCCATACAGTGCACATTATATTATTTATACAGCCTTGTCCACTTTGTATTTAAGGGCTCTACATCCAGATTGCATGTTTGCTACCAAACAGCTCTATAATAATAACTACTTCAACAATAAAGACATGGATGTGCCTTTTGGTTTTGGATTATTTTTCTGTCTTAAAAAATAATATCTTGGAAGCTATAATTCTGTAAATGGTGCACAACATCATTTCTCTTTTTATGGGTGAGTTTTTAAATGCATGAGACTGACATTACCACAGTGTAAGAAGCTAGAATGTTTGCTTTATTAAAATAATTCAGAAAAGAACTTTACACTTGGAAAAGCTTTTTAAAATACAGTATTTCTTTCCTGAGTAGGAAGATCTCAGATATGCTTGGCTTGTGCTGTCCTATCTAATAACACTACATTTTTTCACATACAGTATGAAAAAGCATTGGTCTCTGTCCTCACTACAAGTTGTAGAAGATTTTTAGTCACTGGAATGTTATTAAAATAAATGTGTGGGTTAAATACTGAGGTAACAATATAAAAGCACATTTTATAGGTCAGTATTACAAAAGCTGCATGTAACCATTGTACCTGTCAGTTTTGTTTTTCAGTCCTTGCTGTGTCCAGAGTAACCCAGTAATCTCTCTAGTGAACAGAGCTGGAAGAGATGAGGAAGAACTGCCGGTTTACAGTGCAGCCAGTCAGCCCCAGGATCCATTTTTAACACTTAGTCTTCTTTCTTGGACCTGCCGCTGTGTTTCTGGTAGTAGAGCACAGTGAGCAGCACCCACATGTTGAGCAACGTCATGACGATGAACCGCACCAGCACTGTGACAGAGGGATTTTATTAGATTTAAGAGCGAGACTAATACATCATGAAAGCCACAATTCTGAGGCTGCAAACTGTTGAAATCAATCAATAAATGCATACATTTATTTTTTATCAATCCTCAGAATGCCTTTTCTCTTTCAGCAGACTCATTCACTCCCACTTTGATTCTTAAGATAGGAATAACAAAACTGATTGAGTAGTTTCTCATGTTTTATAGAAATATTTTTGCTTTTGGATACATGGATGGATTAAACAAGCCTACCCAGGTGCCCAAGGGGTCAGTGGGCCCTGGGGCCAGAGAAGTGATCCTGTTGAAAAGTTGACAAAACAACTACAAAACACTTCAATGAGATGCAGAAACTCTACAAATCAGCATAAAAATGTCATTTTGTGTCTCTTTAAGTCTGGGTGTCTGGCTCCTATGTACAGTAGGAGGGGTGGGGGGGATTTTAAATGTCTGTGCCCAGGAGGCGGTTGCCTTATAATCCATCCATGCTTACATAGAGACTTTCTTGCTAAGCTAAGAAACTACGATAGCATGTTTTGCATTTTCTCCCTTGAAAAGATACAAAAACTACAAATCTCCTAAGAATTGAATTGGGTTTTAAAACAAAATTTGCTTCAGGAGAACACAGGTATCAGTACTGGATATTATAGACTCCCGCTTAGTGCACAGCAGGCTTCCTCATAGCAAACTAAAAAAATCCATCACTCATGTAAAACTATGATGGTAGTTATAAATATTTTAGAAGGGACTCTTTAAAAAGATTTATATAGAGATCATAAAAAAAATCCTATCTGGGGTATTACACATACAGTCATTTGTAATTCAGTCTGACTTACCCTGCGTGTCTCCAGTAGTCACTGTGGTGGTGTAAATCCGTGCTGCAACAAAGAGGAAGCCAAGTTAATGACATCCTCATTATCCAACAGAGCATCTAATATTTAATTAATGAAGTGTGGAGTTGTTAATTTATTAAATTAGGAGCTGAGTAAATAGCTCAGTTCATTAATATACATATTTATGAACTGAAACATTACAGTAACAATACTTTAGGGAGGAGAAAGTCTCAGAAATGTTTTAAGCATTTCTGAATTTATTAGGAATACTAAACATGAGGTTTGGAGAAGAATGGAGGTCAGCTTTAAGACTCATTAACCTGAACTAATTGATTCTAATGAGGCGTTTTCAAAAGTTTTCACTCAATTATACTATTAATGTCCTACTTATTGTGGGGTCCATGCATGGCTGTTATTATCAATATGGGTTTTAGTGATCACAAGTTTTCCAAACCTACCACTCCATGGCATTAAATAGTCACATTTAAAGCTGCTATAGTCTATGTGGGAGCCAGTGGGAGCTGAGCTCCTATAAGAAGGCGTCTGAGCTCCCATTAAAGCAGTGAAATCATTTACTGTGGGGGCCACTGATACATTATTAACAACCATAATTTTAATCACAAATAATGCATTTTTCAACGTTATGAGTATTATTTCTCTCTTTATTGACCGCTGGCTTTCTGTTGGATTTATGACTCACAAAACAGATTCATCCTCCCACTAGTGGAGCGCTAAAGAGCAACTAAAGTAATAACACTTACTTTCATGACCCCAAAAAGGACAGTATATCTCAATATTGCAGGGCAGTTTCAGGTTGTAGCAATCTACTTGATACAATTCTTGCAAAGTGTTGGACCCCATAATGAGCAGCGAAGTTTTCTCAGAGCTCTAAAACGGCTACTTTTAGAAACCCCACAGAGCTCAGATTATAACTTGAAGTCTGAAACCTGAAATTTTTTTTAATAACAAATGATCAAATGAGGACGTGTACATGTGAAAGGAGTCTACTCTGCAGTTCCCCTGGTTTAAGTAGCTTTTTAGCATCTTTCAGCTCATCGTTTTGGTTTTACATCGTGAAATAACTAACTAATAGATTAATTGTGGCAGTTTGCTGCAAACAGTCTGGACAGGAAGGGAATATAGAGAAATTGGGGAAGGAAAAAGGTGCAACACACAGAGGACTACGGTGTTCACATGTCTAGTATATGATACTCACCCATACAAGTGTAGGTAGCCATAGCCCAGGAGAGGGCGCTAACCTGTCCACCATCTTTAGACCGCCATAGGCACTGCAACTGGGCGAACTTACTGGCTGCACTGATGAATGTGCACAGGCTCTGAGAAGAGAGTGGAGGTCAGAACGGATACTGATTTGGTCTCCAGTGTTTCTGCATGTTCATATTACATAATGACCTGTATAACTACAATTCAGCTTCATTTCAAAAAGTGAGAAATGTCCGACACTTGATGTAGCTTGCCTAAAAAAAAAAAAAAAAAAAACTTTTAAGAGGGAAAGCAGTTGTAGGATCACTGCTCTCACTTACTTATATGCAAAAACTGCCTTCAGACACATTCATCTCATTAACCAACAAGACCACTTGGCATTTATAAGGTCTGGGTGTCTTCCTGAGATACACTAGGTGAAATGAGGTCTGAGTAACTTTCTGCTCAAATCTCCACCTCATTACTCTTGACTGATGACATGCCATCTCTTTACTTTCTTTGTGACACACTGTGACTTATGATTGACGTTAAACTGATTTATTACCATAGCCAAATCGATGATCCACTTCTCCACAGTGAGGAGCTTCCAACCTCCGACGAACCTAAACACATTACGTTAAGGCAATAACACGTGGCACACTGTCAGAGGTATCAACAAAAGGCCAATGGGTCATTGATTCTCTTCCACATTGAGTGAACACTTTCACATCCAGGGCTATTTGAAAGTGATGAAAGGATACACCAAGGCATAGATAAGGCTCTGCCGCAGGCTGCCGTTGTAATGAAGAATCAGGAGCAGAAGAATGACATCTGAGGACACAGGGCAGGTTATAACACACACCACTGTGGGGCACATGGTCAATGGGGCTGCATTTCACTTCCATCTGAAGGAGCACTGAATCATATAAGTTAGGTGCTTTTGGGGACACAAGGTATCAGCTTCCTCTGTTGATAAGATGTCATAATTGTTTCTGTCAGTAACAGACCTCTCTGGGTGGATCTGGGCTCCTCTAGAGACTCGAGTGCAGTAGGAAGATAGGAAGAGTGATGGTTTGTTATTACGGTTTCTGCTGTTTACAAATGGAGATCAATAAAGGTCATAGATGACCTTATGCCCTCCTCAGTGGAGACCCATGTCAAGTCATATGTTTCTACACTACATGCATGTATTGTGATCGTGGAACATTCTCATGTGACATCAATTATGGCCCACATCAACCATGTGGATGATCTATTGATTTTCTGTCAAACCCCTGTGTACGAAATTAAACCGTGGGTATACAGTTGTCAATCTAATGTTCTGCCTTGCTCTAACATGGTAGGTTACTGTGTTTGAGCTCTTGTTTGAATGCATTCAATAGACAGGTACTATGGATTGAAGTGTAAAGCATTTAACACAGAGTGTGTTTGAAATATAAACCTACCAGCTCCAAAATTAGATTTACAGAAAATTAGGAAAATGGACCTTTACTTACAAAATGAGAAATTGCACTTCTTAATAATGCTCTTCACATAATATAATAAAGACAACTCACCTTGAGCAATGAGAATTGGATATTCCAGGTATGTTGGAGGTGGGTAGTCATAGTACATCTGGTACGTAACAAAAACAATGAACCTGTAAAACAGATGGTATCAGGTTATTGCATTGCATTGTATTGTTTAGTATGAAATCATAGAAGCAATGATCAAGCACAAATATGTAAAAAATGTGCTACTGAGAACACTCAAAGCCTGATATAGTGAGAAGGGCTTTCCCTTGCCATGCCAGCCATTTATACCAAGCTGTAGCTCAGGCATTATGACTAACTGATTATTGTTTAACTGACAAACAGTAGCAGTCAATGTTCAATTGACTCTTTATGGAAGTGGCTCTGCTAAACGTGTTCAGCAAATATAAAATAACAGTGATCAGATACAACAAACTCAATCTTGGAACCCATTGGCAGTAATCTGACAACAATTTACAGATATCTGCATTCATATTCAGATATCTGTTTACAGATATTACAACAAACTCAGTCTCCAATTAGTCTTCAGCACAAATAACCTCAGACATTCCCCAGCTGAAGAGCCTGTTTAGCAAGCTGACATGCAGCTGGATGCACGAGTTTAAAGGCTGTTGGTGTGTACAGGTTTCTATGTGCAGGTCAGGCAATGGCTGAGAAGCTGATGCAGGGTGAAGTTGCCATAACGATAAGCAACCAAAACAAAATTCAAGTTAAAGCTGCACGAGGCATTTTCACATGGTGTCAGATGGCTGGTAGAGGAAGCTGTTTGACAATACTCCAAAATCCTGGAAGGCAGTGTCAGTAAACTGCACACAGCATGTTCACAGACCAGGCCCCTGTGTGATGCTTCATACAGTGAATGATCTCTCTCACTGCAGCTGGGGAGACACATTTGAATCTTCCATTACAAGGGCCATTAAGTAATTTTATTAAGGTCTGTCTGAATAAGGATGTGCCTCATCATGGCTTGTGATTTAACATATCCATTACCAAAATGAATGTCAGTGTAAATCTGTGCCAACATGTACTATATACAATGACTTTTATTTTTAAACATGATACCCAGTGCAGCTTTAAGACTCGGCTATTTCAGTGTAGCATGCACAATGACAGCAGGCTGTCGCTCACCAACACAGTGGAGACATTTAGGACAGCGCAGCCACTGCCAGGCACCGAGGAGAGACAGGACACAGAGAAATTATACAGCCTCAAAGACACAAAGCTGCCTAGTCCCAAACTAAATATGATGCTTTAATTCTAAAGAGTTAAGCGATATCTCAACTAGCCCAACAAGGAACACTGGCACTAAATTTGAACACACAAGAGCCACATCAAGAAGTAGTGTTCTGCACTGATTTAACACCAGACAGACATCACAGTGCTTCACACAGATGTGAGGACAAACAGACCAAACTGAGGCCAAATGTCCTCAAAATCCTCCGCTCTGTAAACAAAACACAATTGTTAGTGTTAAGCCTTCACAGTGGGATTAGTTTCTATTATAAAGGAGCTTTTGGGTTGTGTGCCTAAAAAACGGAGCCAGTGAGCCTCCTGGAGACAATCTCTACATGTCCTATTTCACACTTAATCTAAACTGACCTTGCATCCTCGTCCTCGCACCAGTATAGTCTATATAAGGATGTGCTCATGCATTTCCTTCATTTCCCCCGCCTAAAGGACAACAGTGGGGTAGTGAGGCTCCCGCAGTGATTATATAAGTTTTACTTAAATACAAGGTAGGTGGTGGTTCAAACACATGCCGAAATGACCACTATGTATTAAGGATTCAGTAGCGGTGTTATATAACGTGTAAGGATATACACTACCTTACCTAGAACACAGACCGCTATAAATTACAAATATTTTAAATGGAGTTTGGAGGTTCACAAGGAACGTGCCCAGTCGGCACTGACTAATAGTAAGTAATGCACTGCATACTTTAACACACCGGTCACAGTGAACTTCCTTCCCTCTCTAAGTTGCACACTTTACAGTACAAACAACCGCCAACATTAACCCCAGAAGTTCGACTAAACAAAACCACACACCCGATGAGCTCCAGGAGAAGACTGTTGAGGCTGACTCCGCTCGTTGACTTCGCTCGCATTAGGACGAAGATCTGCGGGAACTTGAGCACCATGCACACAAACAGCGTGCTGAAGTTAGCGACATGTAGCAGCGAGTCGGACTGCATTTTCCGGAGATAGATTGAACAAACTGTGAACTTTAGATTGTCAAATTTGGCTCAAAGTAGCAGCCAGATGCTGCTGCTGCGATGTCACCAGTGATAAGTTAGATGGATTTAGAAAAGACTTCCGTTGTGTACTTACGAAATAAAAGAAAGTAAACTCGCGCGTGTTGCCGTCGTGCTAGAATATGTTTGTTTTGAAGATCCAAAGGGAAAACCATAATACTTTAGATTTATTGTAAACCTAAACTTTTCTTTAACTTTTCTGACAGCTAAATAGACAGCTGGATACACTTTTATTTTGAAGGCGAACTGTTTTGGTTTCCTTTGTTATTCCGTGAACTTGGCAGTTTCCTGTCAGCCGGCATCTTTTTTCACTTCCGCATACATCCACTGAAAGCTGATTGGCTAGTTGTGTACACAAGGTAGACTTCAGAACCTGATGTGTCTCTCTTCCTGCTCTCTCGTTTAAATGAGTCTGCATTCTTGGAACTACACCAGAGTCCTCAGTGATGGAAAACATTTAATTACTATTACTCAAATACTACTACTATAAGGAAACTGTCCACTTTATTTCAAATGTAGCCTTTAAAAGTGCACCATATTGTAGGCTCTATATGCTTATTACACATTTGGTATAGTACTATTTACATAAAAAAAATCAGTTCAGTACACCCAGACTTTAGATTGCAAAATATTTATTCCAATAAGAAGCTTGACTTTGGTTACAATTCAGCAACATCCAGATCATTAAACTATTTGAAGATCAGTTTGTCAAATTCATTGGGGACTAACGTTTGTATTCCGATTGAGACAATGGGGCAGTCATTCATAACAACATAACAATATACAGTGACATTTTAAGGCAGCTACAATGGTGCTGAATCCTGAGATACGCTGCCGTTCACATAAAGTGCACATGGGTATAAGCTACATCATCATGATAGTCACACTAATGAAATGAATGTAATTCCATGGCTACACCATGGAACAATGGCTTAGAGGTCCTGGTAAACATATAACAATATGTAGCTATTCAAGCCATTTTTCAATTGAAAAATACAAAATAAAACCAATTTAACACCAAAATAAGATATATTGTGATAGCATCAGTGAGTAAGATTCTCATATGATCCTTATGGTAGAGCTGTTTGGTTCTTCAGCAGCAACATTTTAGTTAACAGAGAAATATAGTGGTGATACAACCTTTCACTCATCCAAATTTGATCAGGTATCTTGTTTGATTATCAAGTATCTGATTAAATACCTGAGCTCGGATGACATGAATCTGATCTGCCGGTGTCTTCTCACCTCTCTTCTCGAGGCAAATGCCTTTAGTTTTAGTAGTTTTGTACTCCTTGCATGTGGCATACCCAAATATATGAATAAACACAATTTCTAGACTTTAAGTAAAATATGATCAGTGAAATACTGCATCTAAATCAGCAGATGAAGGACAGCAGACATCATTTTCATATACTCCTAACTCTTTCCCTGATATGCCTAGTATTGTCTGTATTTTACGTAAAATATTCACTCTCCACTAAAAGGAAAAAAAACTCCACAACATCAAATCCAAACAGGCTGAGCTACGGCGAGTGCCACACCGTGCCATCTAAGCTCCACATAAGGAAGGTACAGTCCCAAACAGACCAGATGTGCAGAGGTCTAGCAGGGCTGCATCTCTGGATCCTGCTTGCGCTTGTGATGGTTTCCAGGCCAGAGTACCAGCCTGTCCAGTCTAACCAGTTCGCTCCCCAGTGGAGTGGACAGTCTGCTGCCAAGCATCTGATTGGTGGTGTTGGGGACGTGATCAGAGAAGAGTGACACGTAGGTGGGTAGAGGCTCCTCTGACTTTGGCTGCCCCTACAAACACACAGTTTGGCAGATGTTAGCTGGAAACATTCAGCTGTATAATGGCTTGAAGCTGAAGCTGACATTAAATTCATCAGGGACAAATGAGGCTTATCATATAATCATTTACCACATAGGATGCATTTTATAACACTATCATCAATAACAATATTCTAATGAGTATTTCCACTAGATGCTAGAATTTACAGGCAGTGGCAGTATTTTAGATGAAAGTTGCAGCATCAGGCTTATTGCTGATATGACAGAAGTTCACATCATTTGTCAGTTGGTGTTATTTGTATAAAACTTCACATGGCAACCTCAGTGCTGAGCATGTAATGTAGGACAAGAATGGGCAATGTTTGTCATGTTCTGCATGCACATTTTATCATCATTGTGTATCAGGCTGTTGGTGAAACATCATGAAAGATTCATTTGAATATATTCAGATGTTCAGCATCAGAAAAAGTGTCTAGATAGGAGCTCTTCATTTTAAACACATTGGTGAAATGTATTCAGTCTTACCATCTGATCATAGTTCCTGAGAAAGTCCCATTTCTTCTCCCTGTGGACCATAATGCAGGCTATTGGTTAAGTCTATATCTTCAATGACCTACCGTATATACTAATAAGAAGTGCCATAACTTCAGCAGGCTATATTAGTTTACAATCAAACTGAAATACAGTCATTGCCCAGGCTGTTTTGGCCAGTTCAGTGGTGCCTTGGCTTACTGTTCGATTACTGAAGTCATTCTCACCATTCCCGCACTCCTCTCCTCTCACTCCATACCGCCTCTTTCCACACTTGGTCCTGTTTAACTGGATCACTCTTGTCCGGATTCAGATCCGCGGACGCCGCGTCTCCTTTAGCCTGCCGCGTCCTGTTCGCTGCAGGCTGGCTTGATACCGGCCTGGGCCCGTTGTTCCGGGCCGGTAACCGGTAACCTGCAGAGGATACGCGCCGAACGCTGTTCAAGTCCATTCTGGTTGCTAGATTAAAAGCAAATGCAGCTACTCGGTTAGTAACAATGAGCATGGGCTCATTACAGCCAATAGAACAAACAACCAACTGAGAGTTGTGCGCAGTGAGCGGAGTGTGTGTAGAGAAATCACTGCCACAATTGGAACCGTTTTGTTTACGTTTCCATGGAAACGGTGTTCCGGTGTTCATCACAAATAACAACTAAATGTCGTGTATACAGGCAATAATGTTAATATAAAGTCAAATTTAAGACCATTGATGCATGCATTGATTGTGACCTGCATTGTTTGCTTAATTGTTGATTGAATATTGTGCTTACTGTCAATTATTTCGTTCTTATGTCCATAGGTTCTTAGTAATTCACCAACTACAGCCACTGAAAAAAACACTGAACAACTTTTTGATCTCCCTCCATCACTCATGCTGACTGGCACTCTCCTGCAGAGTATAAGAAAAAAGTTACAGGTGTGGTCAACCAGCAAAGGGCAAGGTCTTAGACAGAGGCAGCTACAGGTGCTGAGGGCTCTTCTGCTTCAATAGAAACTGGCATCCATCTGTGAAACCGAACTGAATGTGGCTTTTCTGAAAGGACATTCAAGGGTAGCATCGAGCATTCCACACTGCTGCACCTGGGAAATTACCATCTGCTGAATAGGAAGATATGTCCCTGTGTGTGTACTTAGGCCCCCAGACTGTGGCAGTACCCTAAAGAAGAATGGATTGAATTATTCCACATGCAGGCTGCAGGCCACCTCTGTTCCACCTTGCTGTGTATGCCTGGTTGTTTGGGTACACATATGAGCCATATAAGCCTAGAAGAGGTCAATGTAAAATCAAAGTGAGTGTCCAGGGATTGTCAGGTTGGACTACACTGAGTCTGTGTGTTATAAGAGAATAAGATATTTAGAGAAACGCAGAAGAACTGAGCATCTGTCTGAGAGGAGTAATTGTACATTTTCAAATTAAAATAAGATCCTACCTGTAAAGAGAGAAAAAATATGTGGAAATAACAGCTTAATCTGAACACAGAACTGTATCACGATGTTCAAACTGTCTCCTTACTTTGTATGATCTGACTGTTTATAAAGGCTGTGTAGTGTTATTACCTTCATTTTGAAGACCGGAAAGGTACAATAAACGCCTTTATTCTGAAACAGGAAGTACCGTAGCTATGTAGCTAGCGTACAGTGAGGATGGACGGAAATTAAATCCACTATTGGCTTTTCTAGTCATTTTCCTCATGAGCGAATTGAAACGAGCAGCAAGGTTAAGGTAACGCAGATATTTTCTTATGAACGTTAGTAAAGCAAGGACATTAATTTCTGTTTGTAGTCGTAAAGTGCATTTTGAGCAGGGGGAGTGATGCTTGGCCCAGTATTTGGGCTAAATATCATTACCAGTGAGGAGCTAACGTGAGGGAACGCTAGAGAGAAGACACTGCGTCTCTTGTGACAACTTTTCCCCCCACAATGCATGAACATAAACTCTGTGGCTGCTAACTTGTTATATTTAACTACCATGCATGGACGAACATAAATACAATGTAGTGTAGCTGTCTCTAAGCAAAAGCCGGCTCTTGGACATATGCTAGCCAGCTAACAGTTTACTGTCAGCTATCTAATGTTACCTGATATAACAGAGGGGAAAACGATTCCATTCACGTTAGGACATTGGTTGAGCTAACAGAGCTTCAGCTGCACACCGGACAGACGGGGGAGTGGTCCCTGCTTACTGGGTTGACCCGTTCGGCTATAATGATGGAGGTTAGTTTACGACAGCTACAGGAGATAGCCAGGTTAAAAGAGTGTAGATTTAATACGCAGCCCAATGTCTGTGTAGTTGTTATACGCTGTGCAGCAGTTGTATGTCTGTGGAACAATATTCGTGTTGTTGCCTGTGAATAACTTGTAAATAAACTGTAACTTAGTGGGATGCACACAGGTGTTTTCAGTTATTAAGGTTGATTACAGGATGTCAACAAGTACATGTGCAAATAAAAGTGTTAGGGCTGTGTAATTCGGCTAAGTGACAGCACCTGTGTTGGTGGGCCCTTTTTCCTGGGGTTGTGAGTGCTACATTTATTGTATTTTAATAAATGGCATACAAATGAGCTTCAGGTAATGTTTTAATGTTGTTGTTTTTTTATCCAGATATGGATACGTTTGTGTGCACTGACAAAAACCCTACAGCAAACTTTATTGCTGTAATGATGTTGTGCTTAACATGGCATTTAAAAGTTTCACAGAACCCCGACAGGTAGTTTGCACGTCTTGAGTAAGTACTCATAAAGCAATGGGTGCCCAAATGATAGTGATCAGTTTGAAATATGTCACAGTGTTGTCTCTTCATTAGCTGTGAGGATGGGTGCAGGGTGACATCATGCGTCAGACAAACAAGGAGAGGCTTATTGCAAAAGTAGGCCATTGTCCCAAATCACACTGCAAAGTCCTAATCTCTAGTCAGCCAGTCAGTGACCTCAGTGAGGCATATGGAATTTCTCATCTCTTTAGCAGCATAGGAGTTGGTGACTGTAATTGCATTCTGTCCTCTGTTTAACATAGGTCTGTTCAGGTATTAGAATTAATGATGACGATGCATGCACTCTGTGAGCATTTACGAGGTGTTTTCCAGTTTTTCAATAGAGAAATGGAGACAGCATTGTCAACAATTACATGTAGTTGACAAAACACACGTCTCTACACCTCGTCTGACATCCTCCTGGAGTCCTTTTATCCTGTGACTGTGCTGCTGCTGATGGGGTATTTCTGTTGTGGTGTTCACTGAATTCTTTCCAGGTTCTCAGTTTAACGCTGGGTTATGACGTCAGGGTTTAGCTCCTGATCAGTGTCATCAGAGACTTTTTTTAAATGGTCGTCTTACAAACTTTAGGCTGTCATGTGCAGGACATGTGAAACCACAAAAACCTGAAATGGCCCTGGATTTCAGTTTGAAGTTGTCAGTTTAATTGGTATTCATGAAAAGTTCCACTGTTATTATCTATGCCTCTTACCACTAATCATTCCTACATTGGGTTTTTATACTGCACATAAAATGTGTATGTATGATCATTCATATTCGGCTGAAAGCAATGATTTATCAGACCATGTGATAATAACCCTGACAGGTTTGACAACCCCCATTGCTGTTCTTGCAATTTTCACTAATATGTTGCCTAGTTCTGTTGAGGTTTGCATTCTACTGTTTAAATAGTTTTTGTCATATTGAAACCTCCATTATACTGGAATAAGAAAAAGTGTCCTTTTGCAGAGAGGTCACAGGTGAGGTCCAGCTACCTCTCCTCTGGCAGGGATTCAGTCTTTTGCCTGTGTGTGCTTATCAGAGTGGATGCTTACTGTCAAGGGGAATTGGTCTCTGTCCTTTACAGTCCTAATCACAACCACCACTTTGCTGCCCTTTTAGGTTGTGTTTGTTTGCACTGTCACCCTGTAGCCACATTCTGTGCATTGTGGGTGTTAAGGCTGACTGGTCAGATGAGGTGACAGTGGGGTCGGCAGTGCACAAGACTGGGGAGTGAGAGTGACATTCCAGCCGGGGAAAAGCCAGAAGTGAGAGCACCATGCCAGTGGCTGTAAATAGCCACTGAACCTGGGAGTCAGGGGATCAACAGGGTATAAGCAGAGAGAGGGGGTGTTTTATTGGAGATTGAGGAGGGGACTGTCTGTGTGCTTGGTAGTTATTTTGGGAGAAGCTTGGTTAGATGTTTTGCTGGACCCAGTCTGTGTCTCTTGATTTTAGCTTAGCTGAACTGGGAAGCTCTCATGGAGATCAACAAGACAGAGGATAAAGGAGAAGATGACAGTGAGTGTTGGTTGGTTTGGAAGCTTTTAGGCTCAGTGTTGCCTTTCCAGGCTTAGGCCTGCGTGTATGTGCTTGTAGTTCAACCTCTTAACATTTCTGTCCTTTTCCCCAGCCTCCTGTTGTTACTTTTATTATGTCAGTGTTTCACTATTAGCTTAGTAGTTAAACATATTCACCATAGACCTATTTTTGTTTTAAAGTCTTTAAGAAAACTAAAATCATTACTCAAGATTTTTCTTTTTCTGGCAGTTGAGTCAAATTCAGTCTCTAATCCATAGGCCTATATATCAGATTATCTTGGCAGTCTAGATTTGTCTGTTCCTGTAATCCTTACACATTTACCATAAACATGATCACATTATACTTCAGTATGTATGTCACTCTCCCATGCTTGAGAGCACACAATGACATACTATATACAATATGATAATATTGGCAGTACTTTGTGTATTAGTTGCAAATGTAGTGTTGCATTTGGATGAGAATAATTTCACTATCAACAATATTAAGGCTCTCGATACTACTGATTTACTGCCAATATATTTTTCTCTAAACAGTATATTCTACCTTGAAATGTATTCCGACAGTTTTCTTAGTAACATACAGTATTAGCCCCCCTTTAGAGAAAAAGTGAGAAGCTCACTGTTTTAGTGGGATGGTGCCAGATCAAAAAAAAAGCTTCAATGTAGTCTTGTCTCTTCATTAAAGTAGTGGAGTTTTCACTGCTTTGTTGAGATTAGACCTACTTGTGTTCTCAGAATAGGACTTCTAATATTGTTCTTGCCACAGGCCCTGAGGGGGAGATGACAAAGGAGGATGTTTCAGAGCCTGTCGAGGGAGACACTGTGCTGGGCTGGGCCTCTTCCCATCAGCGGCCGGTTATCCACCAGGTGGCCTCTGCACCCATGCCCAGTGACTGTGGTGAGGATCCGCACACATTCAATACATACGTATAGTGGAGCTGTGTGACATTTCAAGCTAATTAACACCCTCACTGCCGTACCGAACAGACTATGAACAGATTTGGCTCTATCAGTGGAATTTAGACAATTTAGCATTTTTGAACATTCAGTTTAAATAATGGATCAGCTGATGGGATGTTAAAAACGTATCAGTGAGTTATGATTGTTGATCATTTGATCAGTGCACAACTAGGTGCGATTAATCAAGATATAAAAAATATAAAAATCATGTCTGAAGTTATGATGATAACAATACAAGAGTTCGAAGTCCTGAACTTGCACTCAGTAACTATGCTGACCCATGATTCCAGTTTTAGAGTGGTAGACTACTTACACATTTCTAATTATCTGAAATATCAGATTATAAAGCAAATGTTTGATGCTAGCTAAATTATAAGTGTTGGCATTTACTGTGAAAGGCAGAGCTTATTTGTTTTCAGCCTCAGTCGGGTTCTCTAATGCTTCATTTGGTTCACGGCATGCCATCCACTGTCACATCTGATTTCATTCGCCTCTGCAAGCACAGCAAGGGCATTTCTCAAGATTAGTAATTTGATTGAATCGATTGAACAATCTGTTGCAGAAAGTTAATACACGTCTGTGCTGCAGAGTTTCACACATACTCTCTCCACATCCATATTCAGGTTAAAAAGGAATATGTTCCACTAATCCACATTACAGTTAAAATGTATCTTTTGTTTTTCCCACCACTTCCAGAGTTCTCCTTCTTTGACCCCAGTGAGCCGCAGTGCAGGGAGGTTCTTCTGGATCCCAACACCACCATACCAGAGCTGTTCGCTGTCCTTAGGCAGTGGGTGCCCCAGGTTCAGAAGAACATCAACCATATAGGCAATGAGGTGACATTATCCAGAATTTTTCACTGTTGATACTGATTTATTACATTGCCTTAGTGCACACCGTTTTGTCTTTGCTCATAAAACTCACAATTCGTAAACAAGTCATTGAATTATTCACAAATCGATGCAAAAAATACTAAATACAAAATATGATGACTGAAAACACCAGACTACTTTAGAATAAAATAAAACTTGTTGTTTGTGGAGGCCCTGCCAACCCATCCCCAAACCACCTCCTCCTAGAGTTACACAAAGTAGCTGCAATGCAGTTAATTGCACAAAGTAGCTCTTGTCTCCAAGGGTAAAAGCAGGCGATTATTGTCTCTTACTTAATAACTGCTGCCCTTGAGAAATAAATCCCTGGTTTTGATGTCAGTTTGCGCAACAATTCTTGTCCAAATTTTAAGATGAGTAGAGTTATGACAAGCACAGCTTTCATGTCGTTCATCAGATCAGTGCCCCCGAGTTTCACTTTGTAGCCTGTTATGTAATATTCCTGCACAGTGACACCAGCGGTCCTTAGTGACACACTGCACATCTTGTCTTTGCACAGATCCTGAAGAGAGGCTGTGGCGTGAATGATCGAGACGGTCTGACAGATATGAGCCTCTTGCACTACTGCTGCAAGGCTGGGGCCCCGGGCATCGGTTAGTATTGACCGGGGTGTTGAATAAACACTCTCAGCTGGACTGTAAAAGTGTATACACATCTACTCTGTCTTGTTTGTGTTTTAGTTTATCTTGCTACTGTGACCACTGAACATAATCCTGTATGACTCGATAAGCACTGCTGTTCATCAGCACCTCTCCTTAAACACAGTTTCTAGAAATGACATACTGTCCTACCTACCTCTATCCCTCCTCTGTTCCTCAGGTGATGCCGAGACAGCAGCCAGCTTTGCTCGCCAACTCCTTTCCCTGGGTGCTGATCCCAACCTTCGCTCGCGATGGACTAACATGAGGGCCCTGCACTATGCAGCCTACTTCGACGTGCCGCAGCTTATCCGGGTAGTGTTGCAGGCTTCCCAGCCTGGAGGTGAGGGCACAGCTGCAGTCAGAGGAGAGAGGGGGGGAGGTCACCCCCACAATCTGTACAGGGCAAACATTTCTATTTTCAAATCCAACTGCAGTGGGGATTAAAGGCCTTAGTAATTTATCTTTTTCCTGTGATAAACATCCTGAGTTGCCAGTTTTGTAGGTGCACCCACAGTTGCTACATTCAACCCAATCCAATACAACATCCCTGCAATGCAGCTTAACTTTATGCAGCTTAATGTATTCTGTTTTTGTTGTAGGTATGAGAGAGGTTGTTTGTTCTACTCTATAGGCTGTAGTTTATGGTGCTTTTGCAGTATGTGGTTTTTCAAAATGTTGTCCACCCCCTTTTATGTCATTGGATTGTTCTGCATATATGTGTACATCCTGGCAGATCATTATGTTGCAGTGTGTACAGACTTGGACAGTGGCAGCAGGAGTTTACTTTACTTCAATTGTCACCTATTTCACACATGAGTATGGAGTCCAGTTTATAAAAGTCAGTGCTCGGCAAATAGTCTTGTTGATGGTGCTGAAGCCAAGATGGAATAAACAGTACAGGAAAAGCATTGTACACTGCAGTCTGTCTTGAAGAAGGTGGCTGACCAAACGATTACCTCAGTCAATGAATATTGTACAGATGAGTGTGTGTGATTGCTTTTCCTATCATTACACACAAGTATGGACAAATGTCTGTGTCTTTGTTGAAGCTGAGGCCTAAAGTTTATTTTGCTGTTAACTTTTTAGTTTTGATCATATTTTGGCAGACTGCTCAGAGATGTTTTTCTTATATATTAAATTTAGCACAGTGACATAGGGCAGAACAATATGGTATGAATTTTCACTGACAAAACTGTTAAAATCATGGTGTGACATTTGTTGGGCTCCGTACCAAATGTTTCCTTACATCTGGAGAACAAGATTTGTATGCTAGTGCATCTCTGCAACACTACAGTACTTCATTCAAATACTGTTTCGTCACACATTTGACCTTGCAAATTGCAGCTTCTGCTATTTAGATATTGCACTTGGTCATATTGTAATGTTGTTAATATTTCAATTAATGCTGCAGCCCTACTGTGATCCATTAGGTTGGTGTGTAGTCCAGTTTTTTTATCTACATGGTTTGCATAAAAATGAAGATCTAATGCTTTCTCGAGTCCAGACCTGGTGAGTCTTACTGTGCCTGTAATATAGCATGTGATGTTTTCCACCTCTGATCAGACAGCTGGTTGAGCTGTGCTGTGTCTATGCTGACAAGTAGTGAATAGAGAGAGAAAGCCTTAAAATAAGCTTCTATAGAATTTATTGACCAAGTCATGTAGTATACACATTTATAAATGACAGTCACAGTCACAGCGTGTGTAAATATTACCATTATTCATGATTATAGAAACACATTTCTTTTACCACAATTTTGCTATGTATATCAGAATCCTGCCTTTCATAACAATATAACATGTTCTTTGTGAGATCAAATAATTCCCTGGTGTTATATGCCAGCGGTTATTGGTTATGGGTAATGACTGTGAAAACTAAAGTCTGTGCCATAAATATAGAAAATTGGTTTGGCTACTGAACAACAGGAGCTGATTAAGTTGTGAATGAGTATTGTAGTAAACTAACGAGAGAGGGTAACAGCATGCATATATAAATAGCCTGAGCAACCAGAAAAATGGAAGTCCCTGTTAACTATAGTTGTAGACCACCTTTGACCACCGCCCTGATAACAGCTGCCACATTCTGTAGCAGTGACACAACAATGGACCTGGGGCCTGTTCCCAGATGCCATGTTGCTAAGCATTCTGGATAACTGATGTTTTTACATTAGCACACCATGTTTTAATTTTTGTTTTTTTTGTCCCAACTTTTACATTTATTTACCAAGGTGTCCTGTGTTTTTCTGGGCGATTCAAAAAGCCCAACAACTTTGCTGTTATGATGGTGTTTATACCTCCTAGCACCCATGATCATATCAAGACATTTGTCAAGACTGGTGAATCTTGCTTTAAGTCTGTTCTCAGTAATGTTCAAGCACAAAGTGTGATGGAGTTGGTGTTAAGATACCAATACTTGCAAAACCTTTATAAGGGCAGGAATTCAGTTTTTCTGGTGACTGAGTGTAAATGCTGGTCAAAAATGGTTAATCTTTCTTAATTTGAGGTAATTATTAGAAAATCATGTAAAATGCCAAAGTGTCATAAAAGGGACAACAATCCTATAGTATTTATAAAATGTATAATAACAATCTTTCCTGATTGACTTTTTTTTGTAGAGGTAGATGCCACCTGTAGTGACTTTGACTTTGGCACCGCCCTGCACATTGCTGCATCCAACCTGTGCATGTCAGCTGTCAAATGTCTCTTGGAGCTGGGAGCCAACCCTGCTTTCAGAGTAAGTGACATTGTTCTCTTACATACACTTAAAACAACTGTACACAAATTGAATTATTTCATCCAAACTATCCCAAAAATGATGGCACTTTAACGTATACTTTAATGTAGGGAACAGTCTGTAACTAAGATAGTCAGTAAGCACGTTGACACACTAAACACACACACATTTTTTTTTTTACCTTCGTTTTCCAGTGTGTACTGAACTGATACTAATACTTGTCTGTCCCCCTACATAAATCTATGGTAACAGAATGCAGCACTACAATCTCGGTGCTAATGATTATTTGTGTTACTGGTTATCCTGTCAATTTTTAAGTTAAATAGAATTTTCTTGAATCGCTATTTTGGTTATACAGTAAACTGTCAATGAAAATGCCCAGCCACCCAAAACACCCAAATTATTCAATTCATAATGATATATGGCAGCAAATACTCAGAAGATGCCAAAACCAGCAATTTGATCAGTTTTCAAAAAGTCAGTTAGCTGACTTGATCATTTCAGCACTACTAAATCACCTTATGTAATGCAGTCCACTACAGCACCACCACAAGTTGCAGTCCTAACAATAAACCAACCTTGTTATTGAACCTTTACTTCTCAGACAGTCTTGACAAAAACTGAAGATTAAGAACCTCAAAAAAAGTTTTCTTTAGACTGTGGGTGTTGATCCTGCTTCTGCCCCCTGTATTTTCTCACAGTCATCATTCAGCATTACAGTTCACTCCCACAATTTTCCCATCATCAAATTTACAATGCCTTTCTTATGTGATGTAACCTAGCTCCTTGATTTACTGCATTACAGATATACATAGATTTGATGGAGATGTTTGCAAAAGAAGTCCAGATGTGGGGGCGTTCTGGTGGAGCTTACTAGGACCTTACTTACTGCTTAACAAACAAAAAAGGTCCTGATGCTTCGTTATGAAATCTATCAGATTGCAGTCTTTTAGTCACTCTCTCAGACCTCACATTTATTCCACTTATTCAGTGTTTTTGTTTGGCATTTTCTGACTTGGCTTCAAGATAACCTCTAAAAAGGATGCAATTGTTTGCAATTCAAATTTCCCAGACATATTCCGTAGATCAGTTTTGAATAGATCTACCGTTTGAACATCCATCAGTGCTCAGTCTGTCTGCCTTGTGCCTCTCAGTTGCAGTTGTTTAATGCCTTGGTTGAGGGGGTTTGCTGAACAGCCCATCAATTGTTATCTTGAATTGAAGGATGTATAATAGATTCCCAGTAGATGGGGATGTGACATCGACTGTCGTAGCCTATGATGGTCTATTAAAGTAAACATTATAAAGCTATTATAAAGATTTCACCCATACTAGAAATTGCATGTCTCATGCTATTATTATCCTTCACCAACAAAGGTTATTTCAGATTCATTCAAGCTGTTGAGCAGAAATTGTGCCTGTTCTTTGTATGCACTAATTTTCCCACTGGAGGTCACCAGAGCACCATAATCCAGTAATTCCCTAGCTCAAAGCCAAGTGCAGAGGCTCTGTATATTCTTGTCTGACAGAAAAGCTTGCAGAGCATGGTTGATGTGAACCAGTTTGTTTTTAACCCTTTATTTAGATATTTTCTGGGTTAGAGACATGGATGTTTGTTCCTTATCCTTAACACCATTGAGGCAAGATTATTGTCTGTGTGCTTTTATTATTTATGGTTTATTGAGTCTTTGCTGCTTCCAATTAGTCTTAGAGATATGTTGCATCTGTTTCTACAAGTTCTGATATTGTTATTCCCATTTTCCCCTAGTAATCCTCTTCATAGTTTTCAAAGGACCAATATGTTTTCTGTTTAGTTGAGGTATAAAGCACTCATGGGTGTATCAAAGTCATTACACTGAGTATACTAATTTGATTATTACTCAAGAGAGTACACAGCAAGATGTACAGACGCACAGTTCCCTGGAACATAAAACCACAGTCTTTCTGGGCTTTAACAATAAATGTAGTTTAATAGAAAAATAGTTGGCATCACTATCAGCCTTCTTGACAGCACCATATACAATTTGTATAGTTATGTGCATTGATTTGTAATGTACTGGGATGCTTTACCTACCAGATTGTGCTGCTTGCATTTGAAGAATATCTGTGGTGGCTGGCAGTGGACTATAAGCCATAATACCATAGCCAAGAAATTCAGCTTAAAATCTCTTTTCCTTTTGGGTAAAGGTCAGACTTGGAAGTTGCTTAATTTGATATTTCTACTCTCTGGCCCTGGAGAGACACGTCACAACAAACCTTGGACATGAACAGTGGAAAGTTTTATTAGGATGGAAAAATAAAAAATGTTGCTGGCCTTTCATGTTTCCCTTACCACATATCTTATGGCTTAATAGCTATGGCAACTTGTCATACTTTCCTTTAGTAGCAAGTTTGCTGTAGTGGATCACTTACATGATTGTTCCATATTTTAAGTGAGCCACCGTTTTGGTATGTGCTGCGTTTTTGGTGGGTAGAGTGAAGTCTTCCCATCATTATGTTTTGCTGGCAGGTACAGCTTCCATGAGCTGAATGCTAAGGTTGCAAGCATTGTTGAAAACTTACAAGATGTGTTTGATTTATCTGTTTGTTTAACTGACAAAGTTTAGTTCTATCAGTCATCAGTTTGTTTTCATAGCTGTTCTTGAATTGAACCAGGATAGGTTAAGTTTACTCCTTCGTATACATTTAAACATCACACAGAGGAAAAAAATGAACTTTCAGTTTGAATGTGAATACAGTGCATGATTGTTTTCAGAATACACTTTACCAGTTTATTTATTCACTTACTCATATACAACAATTGGTGTGGTTTTGAATTGCACTATTAAGAGATGTTGACCTGAATGAAATATTCTTTGTCATGTATGTAAATTGTAGTTGACAAACTAAACATTATATTTCCACAAAGATAGGATTCATTGCAGGGCTCCAGTGTTGCATTGTGTTACATTATACAACTGTTCATGTTGTTAAAGGATTGGTTTGGATGTTTTAAAATTTAGTATTTTATTAGGATAGTTTAAAAAAAATATATAAACAATTATCCTTTTAACTACTCTTGTAGATAGTGTTTGGCTGCTATATGGTTGGCAAAACCATTTGCCTCATGTCTGTGGCTGGGTGTGTGACAGTTTTAAAAGAATAGTTCAGTGTGAGCTTGGCATTGTGTACGCTCAGGGCACTTAAATGCACTGAAAGTGTCTAGAAGTGATTGTTGTGTTCTGTTTTTATTTTTTTGTTTTGTTGTATTGTTCTGTTGAATATCCTATCCATCTGAAGCACAAATGGAGATGAGTAGGTTGAATATTTACTATAAGCATAATTTCAAAGTACAAAAATATAGATTAGGATTTTATTAGGATGATGTAGAACATACGATACTCTTGGAAAAGAGTCTAACCGATATATGTTTTAGCCCATTTCAGATTTTTCGATACATGCTGATATAAAAATGTTGTTTTTTCCCTGGTATATAATGCAGGAAAAAAATGCTTTTCTTAATATACTGGTGTCATTTGTGTAAATGTGCATGTTGAATGACCTTCCCTATAGGCTATAAGCGTGCTGGTTGTCAAATTGTTAGCAGAGAAATATTGTATCTTTTAAAAAACAATGAACATTGAACTGAACATTTCTTTCCTTGAAGCAAGAAATGCTGTGTCAAAATACTGCACACAAAGGCAGAATTGCCCAGCAGCACAAACACATTGATTCAAGCCACTGTTGCAGATTAAGTGGTGTGTACATTACCTTAGTACCTGAATGACACATGGTGATGAATGAATGAGCTCACCGCTTCTGTCATCCGTCCACAGCCGTCTCCTCCGACCTCACCTCCACTCACACTTGAGCTTGACACTCTGTCTCAACTCTCACTAACTCTAGTGTCTTTGAGCCACTTGAATAAACTTCCATGTGACTGCCTGTAGGTCAGCTGCTTTGATAACGGAAGAAGTAAAAGTTTTGTATTATTTGTTGTCCTAGCAGTCTGTCGTAAGTCAGGTTAATACCGCACTTGATATTTATCAATATTGATCTTTTATATTACATTTACTTGGCATGCTGGCAAATTGAAAAAAATCTTGGATGGAATTCTCTTCCTATTCATAATTGTGTTACTGCTCTTCTGTGCTTTTTCCTCCTCTCTTCCTGCAGAATGAAAAAGGGCAGTGCCCAGCAGACGTGGTGCCTGACCCTCTTGACATGCCCTTGGATATGGCAGATGCAGCCGCTGTGGCCAAAGAGCTACGGACTTTGCTGAGGCGTGCTTTACCCAGACCCAGTTCCCCTCTGCCCCTCACACTGCAAGCCCAGTCCCCTCCTGCTCTCTCTGATAAGGCCAAGATACAGCTCGCCACCATGGGAATCAGACTGGGTGACTGTGTGGTGATTGCTGGACAGAAGGTGTGTGGTAGGTTGCTATCAAAAGGCAGGAACAATTCTAAGTATCTTCATTAATCCTTCAAAGAATGCATTTTCAGTCGTATTTATACTTGTGCCACGATTTTTCTGAAATATCCACCTTTTTCATTTTCCATATCTCAAAGTGGTACAAAGAAAGAATTTTCCTCTAATTAGGACCCAATGATTAACTGAATTCAAATGAAAGTGCATTTCTTCATTCACAGGCAGAACCTCTGTGAAATAAACTCCTAGCAGCAGTGAGTGAGTGCTGTATTTAAAGAACGCTGTAGTCTAGAACGTGTGGCTATGCCTTCGGTGTAATACAGGGGTATGAAAGTAACTATGGGTCAGGGGCTGCATTCTCATTTCAAGCTCAAATGGGCTTAGCTTTATAATGACAGTTACCTTTTCATATATAGTGTAAGACACTTGAATGCTTCCCTCATAATTGAATAATTTCAATAAATGTGTTCTAATTTCCATCAGTTTGATTTGGTCTTAATAATATAATTTGACCATTTTAAAAACAGCTATGCTGTACACCTTAAGCTCCTCTGCTCCCATTAAATTTGAAACGGCACAGAACAAATCCATTTCAATGTAAAATAGGAGACTGTTAGTTAATGACCAATATCAGAATTGGTGATCAACTTAAATTAAGGCCTTTGATGATAAGCTGAAAGATAGTCACAATTTTAAAATGAATTTGGGACAAGGTGGAAGCATGTGATGCAATGACAGCTTGGTGTGGTAGAGTTTTTGAGGACAGGGCAATCCTGTAATACAGCTGGGAAAAGCTTTTACCAGACATCCCTATGGAACAAATGAATGGCCCAGTGTGTTACATTTAGGAGGATCTATTCCCGTAAATGGAATATAATATTCATAGGTATGTTTTTATTAGTGTATAATCACCTGAATATAGGAATTGTTGTGTTTTTGTTTCCTCAGAATGAGGTAATGATTAGACAAGAATTTTCTCCAAAAGTATTGAACCTCTTTCTGTTGATAACTAACATTCTCTGTCAACTAGTATAACAATAGCATATCTGCAAAATCAAGCGGGAAAAGTTAGGGATAATTTCCTATCTTGTTAATCTGTTTTGCAAAGCATTCATTTTGAATTATTCACATTTTAAAACCACCAAAATAAAAGAAAATGGGCTCCATTTGGCCTAATCAACAAAGCTAATCAGTGTTAGGCAGTAATTATTAAATCCTACTAAATCTTAACAGAGGTCCACACCAACTTTATACATTGGCAGCAGTGGTCCCAGCATTTTTCATTAGGAGGGCTTAAGTGTGGAGAAGTTCATACTATTCTAGTCCACTCCTTTTGTACAGGAGCCAGACCAGCCAGCATCTCCAGTGCAGTGACATGATCCCTCACCAGCTTCCCATCCTACATACCCAAAGCACCCAAACTAGGGACTGAACCTATGTCCAGTTATCACATTTTCACATTAAAAATGTTTTTCTCTATGTATCACTATAAAGACATTATAGGAGGGAGAGCAGACTCAATAATGCAGACACAGCACAAATATAAATACACAGTCGCACTGAGCAGATTTGCTTATGTACATAAAATGGTTGGAGTTGAATTCCTGCAATGTCCTTTTTGGAATAGAATACATATTTTTCCATGGGATTACTGATTTAATTTTTTATTTATTTTACAAACACCTACTGTACTAACAATGACACATATAATTAAAGTGCACAGCATAAATGGCCAGTAAAAAAAAAAAGACATTTAAAATGGATTGATACACCGTCAGCCTTGCGCCTTTAGCCACATCAAATCAGTGCCATGCCGCTGTGTAGTGGTTTACTAAACAAAGACAGAAGCTTTGGTTATTTTTTTTGTTACAATTATTTTAGCCCTCAACCAAGAATAAAATAATTCCCAGTTGCTAAGCAACACCCTTTTGGCATCTATCCAGTGTTCAGGGCAGTGTCTGACAATGTCGATGATATGCCAGAATGAACTGAGCATGTTTAAGTTCATCCAAGTCCAATTGTGAATCTGTTAAATATCTGGTAACAATGTTAGAAGCTTTAAAATGCGCAAACCCTTCCTCTTTTCCTGTAGATCATCCCCTTCTTTTAGATTGATCTATTCTTCAAACTCACACGATCCATGATGTGCACAGCTGGCAGCGTTAACAACTGTAAGCTATGTTGGTTGGTTCTCTGTATCAGTGAAAATGGGTAATGTGCCCAGGTGTCAGAACATTTAGAAATTATGTCTAAACAAAGTGACATGCTGAAGTAGTCCAATACAGCACTGTATTTAAGTGTGTGTATATATATACATATATATATATATATTATTTTTTTTAATATAGTCTTTTTGGCTGCGTCATGTAGTGAATTACAGATGTATTTCTTCCACTAAATACTTTAGTATGGCTGCTTGATCTAACCTCCCACCTTCTGTGTGGTGGTGAAACCATGTGTAATCCTTTTGACAAGAAGCACGCTTTGAAAGTGGTGGAGATTTAGCACCATCGGTCAAATAAAATTTACAGTTTTCTAACTATGTTCATGGCATAGTCCAACTTTGACAATTCGCTACACTGTGCTCCTTTTCCAAAATGAAATGAAAACTCTAGAAAGTTTGTGTCAGTGTTTAAATTTTTCAATACTGGCCTTTTCCAAATGACTGATGTGTACCTTTAGTCATCAGGCTGACTGCATGGGCCCGGTCCGTCTTGAATTTGCCAAGTGGTCCCACAAAGCAGTTGAAAGAGACATCCACTCTTATGCTATTGGCACAAAATCAGACTCCTCTGTTGCAGTCTTTGATGCTTCAACTTCATGAGTACCTGCTCAGATGCTCAGCTGAGCAATCTCTCATCACTTGCACCTGATGTTGCACTTACATTGACATCATCTTTGTTAAGCCCGACCCCAATTGCATGGAATTAATGTGACCAAATTGCCTACTGAACACTAACTCCTGGTCATTATCCCCATCTTTATTTTTGGTCGTACATTGAATTATTTATTTTTTTGCATGATTGTGTTTAATAGTGGCATCAAATACTATCACATTTGCACCAACACATGTTAGGAATGTGTAAGATGAGGTTTCCCAATTATGTTTCTGTTAGTCTTGGAAACTGCTTTTTCCAAACGCAACAGAACGATATATTGAAGTTTTCCCCAGTTAAGGCTGGTTGTCGCACACTGGTATTATAGTATTTGTTTAACTTCTTTGTGCGTGTGTTGAGACTGTCTAGCATGATAACCACCAGAGGACTGAATTATAGCAAATACTGATATTGGTAATAAAACAAAAAGGAAATTAAAATTAGCTTCTTTGCACTTAATATTGCCCTTTGAACTTGAGATCCCAATTATACAGTGATAACAAACCATCCATGCTGTAAAATATCAAAGACAGAAATCATTAAACATAATGTCAAATACTTGCTGAATTTCACATTTTTATTGATATATCTCTTGTGGTCATCCGTGACGACTGTTACCTAATGCACCTTATTAAAATTGCTTTTTTGAATATTACCATGGTGCTACCACTCTGGAAAAATCAACGTCATTAGCCATTTTGCAGTGACATCTCTATAGCATTTCATATGTAATCTCAGTGCCATTTCATAAATTTCCTCTTATTCCCAAAATCTCATGAAAAAAAATGAAGTACACTTACTTTACAGTGGTACTGTGGAACAGTGTTTTGACCCCTGTGGCATAAAAAAAGTTGCAATCCTTCTAAAATAACTCCATTTTTATTACAGAGATCCTGACAAATGACTCTTATTAGATCCGGGAGTGCCTTTTTTTTTACTCACAGGGCTGAAGAGTTTATTAAATTTGAATGAGGCCTTAAAATTGTAAAAATGTTATTGAATTTAAAGCCATAAGAGGACGTAACATTGTGAAATTGTTGGGGTTAGCCACATTTTTCGTGCCTTTTTAAAGAAGTATGGATCTGAAAGAACTTTTCAATGGCTCAGGAATGCTTGTCTAAATTTGGTCCACCAAATTGTCTGTGAAGGTTAACGCTGGCTTTAAGGCTTTTCAGATTTACCATGCAAGAGCTGTACTTGTAGCTTGCAGACAAATCAAAGGCAGTCTGTGTGTGTAGACAGTGAACTGTTTGCGTGAACACCAGTGACATCATTTGGGTTAAGTAGTAGATGTGGCCTGTTGCTCAACATTAGTTTTGCATTAGCCTAACTGCTAAGACTTGCTCAGTAGTTTAATGCACATATGATGGAAAAGGTTACTTTTTTGAGAGCAGCAAGCATATTGCAACTTCAACTTAAAATATAATTAATTATAATCAAAATATATATATATATATATATATATGCACAGTTTTTTAAATTAATTCAATAAAAGTACTTGTTTTTGCCACTGACCAGCTCAGATTGTTATTATAATTAAGTGTATGACACCGTGACCCCACAGAGACATTTAATGTTCCTTTTGCTTCATCAGCTGATGGTCTAACAAATTCTTGCTCAAGGATACGTTTTGTTTTTAAAATCTCAGGAGAGATCACTTGTTGCAGGAAGTCAATAGTGGAAAGTACAGAAAGCGTAGCTTAGTGTTATGCAAAATATTGTCAATGACTTTGCTGAATATTTAGCAGATTTTGACATTGTGGATGATCACCCATGTTTATTAGTGGTAAGTATAGAGACTGGCGGTGTTCCTGTGGGTGCTATGACCCTATGCCCACAGAGAAGATTTCAGACTGAGGCAGCATAAGCTTTTAGTCAGTTTGTTTCATTGATCACACAGTAATGTTGACTGAAAGAAAACCACTGGCACTAGTACCAGTCCCAGTTCTTGCCATCTAATCAGGGCCCTTAAAATCTCTTGGGTCTGCATTGTGCCCTTGCTGTATAGCCATCCAAAATGCACATACATGGATGCAAACAGACATGTAATTTTTCTGGAAGAATGAGCCAATAATGGATTTTTGTGCCACACTGAGAACAGAATTACAGTGTGCTGAATTGTAAAGATTGGCTCCTCAAAACTAATCTTTCCAGCACTTTCTGGCACACTCTCATGCTTTCATCTCTATTTTCCCTTTTTAATTGTTTGTCTCTTCTGCTGCTTTGGTGAACATCAAAATGTTGTTGAGTTTCTGGTTGGGGTTCTGCCCTTGACATGAGTATGACACAAAGATCAACTTTGAGGACAAAATGTTCACTTTGACTTCCTGTGGTATATAATTTTGTGTATGCAGGTTGGAACCCTGCGATTCTGCGGCAGCACTGAGTTCTCTGGAGGCCTCTGGGCTGGAGTGGAGCTGGACAAGCCAGAGGGGAAGAACGATGGCTCAGTAGCAGGGGTTCAGTATTTCACCTGTCGAATGAAACATGGTGGGTAATGTCGAAGACCAGCACTTAAACATCAAACACCTCGACTCAGCTACCTGCTTCATCAGTTACCTCCACCATTATTGACTTTATAAGACTTAATTTGTCCAATCAGTGGTATTTTATCCAACCCCGGGAAATAAGATTTGTCCTTTTTGTCAATTGTCACTAAATTGAATGTATTCAAATTAGCATATGCAATGTGTCTTTAGCTGCTGTTTTATTTTCTTGAGTCTGTATACCTTTAATCACCCATAATCTTGTGACTTGTGTGTAGTTATAATCATTTGATATCATATAATCAATAATTTCTTTCCTCAGGAATCTTTGCTCCCCTCTCTAAAATAAGTAAACCTTTGGAGAGACATAAAACCAGCACCACAAAGACTTCTACACCTATACGCCCCCCTCGTCGCATTGACCTCTCCCGCATCACCTCCAAAATAAACACAGGTAAGGAACAAGTTGCAAACTGCTAATAACACTTCTGAACATTACTGCCTATTCAAAATCTGACATCGATGTGTTTGTATTTGGTCAAAATGTAAAAGGGATACATATGATATATGTATACATGTCATACAAGAATTGTAAGAGCTGTTTGCTGAGAGAGCTATGGATGGTTGAGCACTGCTCCACCTGGCTCTAGTCTTATGATTCAAGCTGTGCTCAGGTTATATCAGGTTGATTAAACATTGCAGGTCAGCGTGGGAGCTGACCTGCAATGGGCTTTGAGAAGGTTGGGAATGGGTGTGCCAGAGGAGTTCTGGCACAAACTACTGTAAATAAAAAAAGACATGAAATTATCAAGTCATAACAAGAACTACTAAGGCAGTGAAACTGAATAGCCTGTAGGGCCCTAAGGGTGAAGAAATGTGTGAACTTTTGTAAAACAGGTGAAAAAGATGTCACAGGGGCAACGGTTTCTTCATGTCACAGTTAATCTCATGTACAGTCCCCTGGAGGAGACCAGTGGATAGATGACTAGAGACCACATATCATATTAAACACAAAAGAACTGCACCAAACTCATAGAAACACATTTAGGAGTAACACTATTAGTCCGATGAATGACTTCCTAATATTGGCTGTTAGTTGAAGAAATAATTCAACTGCACTCACTTTAGGGCGTTTGGGACATGAGCTAAGAGTACTAGCATCAATAGAAACGGTGGCTTGTCCTTTTTTCATTACCTTGGAAATGATGTGCTGAAAATGACAGAAAAAGTGGTAATAGCCGCCCATTCCCCACTAAATGGGTTACAGCACAGTCCACATCCTTTGTGATATATAGTATATATAGTGAGTCTTAACCAACCCTCTTTCTGCTATATAACTAATGTTATGTTGTCATAATGCACAGTAAAATGAATCATTAGGCTGTTTAATTTCTCTAAACTAGTTGCGCTGACATTCTCCAAAAACACTGTGTAGTCAGTAGAATATTCTTTAGAATCAAAACATTTATTGGTACAGTTGTAAGGAGTATGGAGGATCCAGGAGGGAGACAAATTCCCCTGAAATCAATAAAAGTAAAAAATTGAGGGTCTCAAAATGGCAGTCTAGTTCTCTAAATATCTCCTCCTAATGTAATTTGTACTCTGATTGCATCCAGTTCATGGCAAGAGAAGATCAGCTTGTGAGACCAGATAATTGCAGTTTGTTTTTGCTACCTGCTGGATTACTTCACCAAGCCAAAGGTTTAAAGTGTGAATATGTGCAGACAATGACGTCTCTCTTGTCTAATTACTTAGTGGAGGGGGCAAGCTATGCTATGTGTTTTGTTGTCTGTATTTAATTTTAATGTTGTACTTACATTATCATCTCCTGTTTAGTCAGTTAGATATACGCAAACAGTATCTCCAGTCTTAATCTCTTAGGGGTAATCGTATACAGTATTACAGTAAGTAAATCTAATCTTAAATATAGTTTTCGTCTCTAATACTATTGATCTGGCAAATAAAAAAGCCAATATGCATGAACTATGTATCTATATAGTAATCGGATTTAAAAGAACTCTTTGTTGCTGTATTAATGGTAGTTCTTGTGGGGACACAGTAATTCTAGATACCAAAATGAATGCCCATACTGACATTTTTCCTGCTGACACAGTGGGCTTTTAGCTTGCTAAGGAGGGACTGAGTCACTCCACGGGGTCCAGATGAGGCCATCGGCTGAATCACGACTCCAGCTGATTGCCTCTTTTGTGCCAAAAACAGGCTTTCTCAACTTTACTTGCCTGTATGAGCCATGTCACTGCATTGCAGGATTTATTGCATCTGGGCTTTCATATTAATCTTCCTTGAATGCTTTGAAAAGTGGATTCTGAACCAGTGCCAAAGGACAATGCATAAATTAGACTGCTGACAAGACCTTGATCTCACAGTCCTTGGATGCTCATATGCTCAGCTCCTGACTAATGTTGTCTCATAATGTAGTCCAGTCACCTCAGAACATTGTAGAAACTTTGTCATGGTAGGTTTTGTGGTTGTTGCACCCTCTAGAGTTTACAGCTATATTGCGAAGGTGTAATATTCAAAGGTTTTGAAGGCCGATTGATCTGGACGTGACTGGAATAGCGGACCTCAGAGTGGCCTATGGAATTTAGTGATTGATAGTCCAATTAAGCAGGGTTTAATAACTAGGGCATAGACAGGATGCATAGCCTGGCAGCCATTCATCACAAGGTGTGTGTGAGTGTGTTATATGTGTGGCATGCAATGCATGTGAGGGCGTGTGTGTCAGCACCTCTATACAACCCAGGAATCAGACAAATTTATGACCAAACACTTTTCAGGGCCTTTGTCAGCCATTTATAGGCCAAACTCTCAGAGCCACCTGTGTTTTAGCATCCCATTGGCTCAGCAGTGCAGATTGCTCGTGTGTATCTATAGATTAGATGAGTCATTGTGGAACTGTCTCGTCTCCCTAACCAGGGGAGACAGACACCGCAGAATGCCAGGCTGGCCCCTATTAGAGTGTGTCAACTGTAGCTCAGGCCTCAAAGGGCGGTGGGAACATAGACAGCGCTCACAAAGCACCACTGCTTGATTCAGAAAGGCTCAGTCTGTGCTGCAGTCTGTCACTTGAAGCAAACGTCAGTATGTGGAAGGGATAGATAGAGCCAGGAGGTCCCTGCAAGCTAAAGGTCAAGTGACAAGAAATGTTTGGCATTCTGAGTTGAAATGTACTCTCCTCCTTTGGAGTTCAAAGGAAAGACACAAGTCTGCCTCTGAGGGGAGCCTTTCCAAGCTCCCTCTAGATGTGAAATGGCAATCAATAAATCCCAGGCAGATTTGAACATTTCTCAAACGCATTTTCAAAGCACAATATAAAGTGTAAACTTATGTGACACATTGAATTGAGAGTAATGTGTGACAGTTTATCTAGCAGATTTATGTATGAATTGAGAGGTGATTATTTTTTTCCTTAAATCTGTTTAGATTCATAGATGTTGACTTTATTGCCTATTAAATAACAGACTCTAAAAGACCAATGTCAGTTTAATAGCAGATTTAATTAAAGTCAACAAACTATATACAAAGCTTGAAGTTGTGGTACGATAAACCAAAGGACATAATTATGTTTACTTCTGCAAGAAATGTTATTTCTCATTGTGTGCTTTTTGAGTGGGTACCAAGATTTCCTTTTGAAGTTGTTGTTTTTTTTTCTTTTGTATTCACTGTCATTGGGGCCTTTGTGTGGGTGCAACTGCTTGTCTCAGCATATATGTGTTTTTATTGTGTGTTAGAGTAAAAGAGACAGTCTTTGTCCAATCAAGAATTGCCTTTCAGTAATTCTTGTTTCATTGCTACTCTGCCCTTTTTATTTGCATTTCATCACTCTCCAGCTCTTGTATTTTATCTCTCCAGTGTAGCTTTTTTGTCTCTGACTTAAACTCTTCCACTCTTAGAGTGCCACACTGTGTCTTCTTAGCTTGTTTGTAATTCTCTTTATTTCTTAATTAACTTTATAAAATGCCTTTCAACTCACTCCACCTATGTTCAAAATATATTATAACAGTCCTTATTTATACTTACTTATATATATTCCAATCTGTAGAATATAAATATCTTTAGCTGTCAAACGAAATAATCTAATTATTTTAAGTTGTCAAAGTGACTTTGAAATTGTACAAACATTCTAGAACTTTGATGGTACATAATTTATGTCATCTACTAATCTGAGAATTTTATTTAAGTTACTAAAGCGTGACTGTGTCCGTTTTTTTTCTGTTTGTGTGGGTGGGAAGGTTTATCTCCATCTGTCAAAAAAACCCTTGATGATCAAAAAAGCTCACCTGGTCCCAGTCAGGGCACAGAGGGAGATGCCTCAGTGACAAGGACAGGTACTGCAGTCACAGCCGAGTGGGCTTTAAATTAATGTACTGTGTATCAGGGAACAGGGTGTAGGAGTGAATTTGCACTATTTAGTATAATCTCTTGGGTTTAAACTGTGGAAATTGTTCAAATCTTAGTTCCACACACTCCTAATCACACCTGTCTCTGATAATTAGTGCACCTTAATACTTGAATCCAACATCATAATCCATCTGTGGGTAGTGTGAGCCATCAGTGCCTTTTATAAAAACATGGCTGTATCCGTTAGTGCTGCATTTGCAATTGAAGCATGATTAAGATCAGAAGTTTGATCTGATTGGGTGTTATGAAACACAGAATATTGAGCACAATTTGAATTCCAGATATCTCCCTCAACCTGAAAATACAATATGCTTGCAGTTGTGATCGTTATGCATGAAACTAAAACCACACAAGTCCAGTGATCAATTATGGCGACGAGGGATTGATTAGCTCAAAGCTGCTTATTCTGTTATTTCTCTTTAACTGTTATCTCTATGCATTGCCATCGACTCCTAGAGGCTCATTAGCTAAGGCTTACTATTGAAAACGTGTTTTGGCAAAGATTGAGAAGTTTTTCGCCCATCACTGTCCGGGTACCAATTTCTTCGTAGCTGAATATTGCCTGTGTCTTAAAGCACTTTGGCAGAGATTTCATTAGCTTCTAAGAGTTGGGCACTTAATGAACTCATGGCCTGTGAAGTTCTGTAAAAGTAAAAAAAAAATGTATAAGGTCCTGCTTCCAAATGGCTTCTTGAAAGTGAAATTGGTCATCCCCCTCTTCCATGTCATTCCCTCAAGTTGGGAGGTAATTAGAATGTTGGCCCATAATTGGACCTTAGTAACAGGACAAGCAACTGTAAAAGATTGAGTTCACTTGATTTGTGCTGCCTTAGAATCATGTGACACAGCTGCTTGGGTTTCTGAAAAATGACAGTGGTAATTGTCTGGATCGGAGGGCTGTAGGCGCAGTCACATACAGAAGAATAAAATAGAAAAATGCAAAAAAAGGCTGAGCTTCATTATTTCGATGGAATTAGTCCCTAAATGGATGGATGGTGGGTTCAGTATTAAGAGGGGAGACACACTGTTTGTGTCGTGATTTTAGACAGCGGAACAGAATAACAACATTCACAACTAATGTCCCAGTAGAGCCTCGATGCAACAGTTTTGAGTGTGCCTTTTTGAATGATGGTGTATAACTGTCAAAATAGTTGTCCTAATAGAAATTGATATTAATTATCTTTCTCTATCAGTCTCTTGTTTTGTTGAGTTTGCCTGTCCCCTGTGTTCCCTGCCACTCATTCCTCTGTGTCTTTTTCACCACAGGTGTTCTCTCCCGCTCTCTGTCCTCTTCGTCCTCTTCGCTGGATTCTCGGCATGGTCCAGGTGCCCGACCTCGTCCACTGCCGAGGCAGCGTCTTCCTCCAAGGCCCCGAAGGGAGCGCGTTTCCCTGAGTCCCAGGACTGCGCCCTCACCGGCCCTCCGCTCTTCTCCTGATAGCACTGCACTTACTACTGCAGGTCTATTATTGTTTATCATACACTGTATAACACTGACTTAATGAAAATCACATTTCAGGATTTTGTCATGGATTCAGATTGAGGGCAGTAATTGTCACAGGAGTGAAACACTTTTTTTCTTTTTTTCTTTTTTTCTTTTATCTCTCCCAGGTCTTCGAAGCCGAACCCCCTCAGCTAGTAGCTCTGTGTGTGGGGGCCCTGAGGTGCGCCTGGGGGAGAGGGTGCTGGTGGTAGGCCAGAGAACCGGTGTAGTCCAATTCTATGGAAAGACCAGATTTGCTCCAGGTCAGTTGTTAAAATTTGTGTTATCCGTGCAAAGATTTGACAGCTGAAATCTCACTAAAATTGCATATTATGACACATACTGAACTATTAATCCACTCTTTATTTGGTAGCTGCAGCGTTGTCTGGATGGCTATTCAATCACTCACCTGAATTATTAGGATAAAGATGTTATTCAGTTAACATCAACTGGTGGTAAATGTGATTATTTAAAATGTAAATGATATGTGCACATGCATATTGAAATGCTCTCTGAAGTTTCATTTGCAAGGGATTTCCTCCAATTATGCACAATAGATAAACAAACTAGCTTATTGGCCAGTTGGGTTGTTCTGAAGTTCCTACAGTTTAACAAATTAAATAAATATTTCATAGTTAACACCAAGCATGGATACTGATTCAATAGACTGCCTATTGAATGTATTTACAGGTGACAGTCTGGATAACTTTATTAGCATAATACAGTAAATCCTCTCCATCATAGTTGTTTAACCCTCTCTCCATCATAATTGTACAATGAGTCACATGGAGAAAGTGGTAACTCCTTTAAGCTACTCTTTTTAAACTTACATGAGCTGCATTAGAAATTCAGTCACAAGTCACTGTGTTGGCAAACCTTGAGTTGGACAGAAGATACGAGAAAGCTGCCGCTGAGCAAAAGCCATTGAAACTCAGACAGAAAGCAGCTCGCATTATTCATTAATATTTAGGCAGTAGTTCTGCCCAGGCATCAGTCATGTATGAATAAGTATCTCACACCACTGAGGATCATGTTTGAAGGGATTTCAGTCTTAAGTTTCCTTTGATACTCTTAAATCAGTGCTAGCAATGCTCTGTTATCTTAGCACATTGAGGACTGAGTCTCCATACCAAAAGCAGCTCTTCTTGCTGAACACTTTGCAGTAAATTTACTTCTTTTTACATTTAGTCTATTTCTTTATGTGGCACATGCAAGGTGTCATAAAGTCATTATAAAGAGAAAGGAGAGCGATGCTTTGAACTTATATCTCAGGGCAAAGACTGAAAGAGCTAAACAGTTTATTATTATTTATTTAGAAGCCATTAAAGAGGGAGCGCTGTAAAGTAAAAATATGATCAGACCCTCAGAGTCCTGGTTCAGGTATCTTAGCACATTGAGGACTGAGTCTCCATACCAAAAGCAACTATTGGCTATGTTGCAGTGTGTTGTAGACTAAAAAAATGGTTTTTCTTTTACATCTTTAGCACTGTGTTAATGAATTTAAGCACCGTGAAATCTGAAACACAAGTGTATCACTGCCAGAACATTTTCCATGTAGATAGCTCTCTAATAATGTTACCCCCTTTACACATCTGATATTTGCAGTTTCTAACATTCAATGATAATACACTCTTTTCTTTGTTAATTTAATATGTGATTATACAGAAGTGGTCCCAAGATTTCTGGTGTGATTTCTGTCGCTGCAGGGCTCTGGTTGGGCATTAAACTGGACAAGCCAAGTGGTAAGAATGATGGATCAGTGGGAGGAGTGAGGTACTTCAGCTGCCCACCAAAACATGGCGTTTTTGCTCCTCCGTCTCGTGTTCAAAGGTGAGTGCAGGCCCTTTAGGGTAGTTTTTCACTAATGCTCCCTTTTTGGTATTTGCTAGTTGTCGGCTATGGAAGCAAAAACAGATTTGTCAAACAAGTATCAATATTTTAAAGTTCAGAGTAGACTTTTGAAGAAATTGACAATATGCCCTTAAAACCCTGAGGTTGTGTTTCATTGCCCTCATCAATACATCTAACGGCACTAATGAGCGCCTTTTGACAGTGTCATTTGTGCAAGTGTTGACATATTTGATTTTGCCCTCTGTGGGGAAAAACAGTCCTCCTCTGTACTTGTGATTAAAGAGGGTCCGAGTTGTCAAACATAAAGCCTGGGGGCTTCGTCTAGCATGACTCCTAAATTTAATCTGGCACTATTTATGAGCAATATGGCATCATCCCTGCCTTTAAATATGGATTATGGATAATGAATGTGTATTTCCTTTGCTTAGATTAGAAATGTAAATAAGATATATTCTTTTTTTGTGTTGTTTTTTATTATAATTTTATATATAAAAATATATTTATGTCCCACTGTAGCAAGCAAAACTGTACATAAAGGCAATATAGCTCACGTCTCTTGCCCATCTGACAGAACAGATATACCTGTATTTAACTCAATACAGTTGATAACTAAAGCTTTTTTAATTTTTTCTTCTGTTTCACATGCATAACTACAGTGATTGTCTGTTCAGCTCTGAGTGCTGCCAAACACAGCAGTACTGTGCCTGAACGCATCTTCTATAGATGACAGAGAACTGAAATTGCTAATGGGCTGCTTTCACAACCTGTGTAGACTTTGTGTAAGTTCATGTAAGACCTCAGTGGCATCATTCAAAGCATCAAACCACAGGTTGTTTATTCCTAATGTTTCATCAGGCCAAAATATTGCCACTAGTGTTATGCTGTGTGGTGTGTGTGTCAGACTGGCTCTGCTAAGGTGAATTCTCAACGCCTCCTTATATCATTATTTTTTTAATTCTGAAAGTCTTCTTATGTCACAATTATATTTCTAGACAAAGTAATATGGCATAGGTTTTGTTTTCATCTTTTGCAGTGGTTTGTTCATACATCACTGAAATCTGGGTTTTAATATATGGAACAAAATAAAAGATTGATAAATAGTTTAGAAGACGTTTCTAGATGTAGTGGTCTGTACTTTAATGTAATCAGTCATAACTATGTAACTACCATGTTTGATTGTGTTACTTGAATGAAATGATCTATATATAGGCATGTTAGTAACTTTAGTTACATTAGGAACCCGTTGTTAGTGGTTATATTTCATTTTTCATACATTTTAATTTTCCAGGATATTTTATATGTATGTACCTAGAGTTAGGCTAAATAGTGTTACTCAGTATTTACTTAGGGAGAACCAGTGAATCATTAGTTTGAGCCAGGTCCCTGAATTTTAATTTAACACCTTCATCAGTGCAGACTGAGCGCTGTGCTGTCTGCCGGACTGAAATCTGTCCAAAAGGTCCTTTACATTTAAAAAGTTATTGAGCTGAATCAAAGCAGCTTTCTCAATGTTTTTTTCCCAATAAATGGAACATTAGAGATGGGTCTGTGATTATTCAGTATTGAAGGATCCAGGTTGCCCCCTTTAGAAAGGGCTTAACAACTGCAGTTTTAATGATTTTGGAAAAATGCCTGATAGGAGTGAGCTATTGATAGTTTTCAGCACATCATTTCTAGGAAACTGAAAGCATTTTTGAAATAGCATTTTGGCAGGGTGTCAAAACAGCAGGTCTGGATAAATTGAAGAGCTCCTCCAGGGTTCTAGCATTGATGGCATTGCATATTGACAATCTGACCAAATTGTTTCTGTGCGCTTGAAACAGTGGTCTGGTTCCATTGTTTGGTATGCAGGAATGTATAGCCACTCTAATATATTTGATTATTTCCTCTAATAAAATATATATTTATTGAGAGGAAATCAGGGGCTAAATGTGTTGGGGGTTAGCTTCTCAATGGTGGTGAACAAAGGTTTGAGAATTGTTGATATTCCTGTTGATGATGTTACTGAGAAGGGCTTGCATGCAATTATAGTAAACATATTAGCATGCAGAACTAGAAAGTAGAAAAACACCAAATTATGCACATTTCACTTGTGTGTTTTTGAACACAGATGTGATGCTTGTAATGACAATGCAAGTCAGTAGATAAAAAATAAGATCTCAGCCATGACTTGAGTTTTAGAAGTGGATTGATTAGAGTGACCTAAAATGTTAATGGTTTGTGAATAGATTCCTGTGGTCTGGTGAAAACACAGGTTTTAAGTCATTTCAGATATTTTGCACATCACTTGCGGTTTTGGATCCTTACAGAAATGACTCCCAATCTCAAAAATTGTAGATTAACTGCACTTAATAACAGTCTAAGTGGCAGAACTGTGGAAGTATCTATATTCACAAACCTGCAAATATTAGCTTTTTTGTGTTTCTCATTCAATTCCTGCTTCAGTGTATGTGCATATTGTGCTGTCGATTCATAAAATAACAGCAGTTGGCAATATTGGAGCACTCTTATAGAAATGTAAAACAGCCAATTAAGTAAATCTACAGTTGGCACTTTGCCTATGTCGCTCTCCCATTAATCATAGTGTGGCAGAGATTTGGCCCACTGTTAGTTGTCATCAGCTGGACTAGTTGTGTCTGTAATGGGTTACACATGGAAAGGAAAGCGAGCATAAACTGTCGCGGAGAATATATGCGTGTGTTGAAGCTCTTCTGTTTACCTCACCAAGTCTTTAGAACTCTACTGGAGTGATGAACACTATTCTTCCAAATCATTCTATCATTCTATCATTTTGTGTTTTAATGTTGCTGGAGAGTCCTGGATAACTTGATACTCCACAATCTCCCATCAGTGTTAGATGTGGTCACTGTGAACAACACGAGTCACATCATTTCAACTGGTCACCCAGCTGTACATTTCTCCAGATCTTTCATGAAGAAGACCAACTGCAGAACTCACTCGATAGTTTGATACTAGATACACTAGTAGCAAAATAAAACCTTGCATGATATGGGTGTGAATATAGTTGCCTTATACAGACTCATTACCTATTCTATCTCTGTATCAACATATATTTCAGCGTGCAAGACGCACATATAGGCAATGTCTAACTTTTAGCATTGGATTTTAACTATGAGTTGTTTCTTTAGTGCCAAATATACTGCCTCTTTAATTCATCCTTTAAATAAAATGATTATTCATGGTTTGCGCAATTATGTACTTAACATAACTTTAAATTTGGACAGACTCACTGGTGGTGTTTGGATGTCTTTGCATGCAGTAGACAGCTAAACCTTCTTTTCCACATCGCAATTCTGTTTTTACATTTATTTGTTCTCACCTGTGTGACGCACACATAGGAACCACTTCCATACGGCACCAACGTTGACCTGTTTAAAGAGTGCACGAACAAAAGGAAATTCCACCAGAGGCCTTATTATTTCTGCACATCAGTTGGGCTTGCACACTACACAGACAAAGTGTTGACTAAACAGATGTATCAAGTGCCAAGGTGGCTATTTATGGAGATCATTTAATCCTGGGGGTATGGAAACCGTTGTCTGACATACATATTCACAAGCCACTAAGTTATTCACTGCCAGGCATTGTTTTGTTCTTACTTCACATTTCCTTCAAGTGGAGGAGAACTATTGACCTTTGTTATTGCATGGCACGTTAACAACACAATGCCTAAAGTATATAATGTGTGTCATAAGGGAAAGAAAGCCAGTTTGAAATGCAGTTGACATCTAAAGTACTAAATGTAGTTATTTTAAAAGAGAGGCAGGATTTCCATATTTGAGGGATTGCTGGTTAACTTCTGTCTTTCTACTGAGGTATAATTAGTTGCTTCATCTCAATGAAGATCTACCATTCAAGGAGGAGTTTTCCTCTTGTCTTCCTATGTCTTCATTACCCTTCCCTATTTTCCTGTTGTTTTTAACCCACTGTTTATGTCTTCCATGAGATAAAAGCTGCTTTTTGCAAAGTCAGTCTGTGTTTTCGTGCCATCCCCTATTCATGTCCTTTCCCTCTCTTCTGTTTTTTTCCTAATTAACCCTGGGGCACATAGTGTGCTCAACTGAGAACATAGTTTCCCTCCGTCTAATGGAGACTCTCACATTCTCTCCATCCTGCAACTTCTTTCTCCTTCTCTTTTCTTCTTCTGTCAGCAGATATCACAACCCATTAGGAAAACAAACAGCCTTTCTTTTGTGCCCCCCCCCCCACACACACACACGTTCACACACAAATCTTTTCTCTATCTCTCCACTCACATCCCTTAGAAATCAAGGTAACACCTTTTTTCTCTTGTGCTCATTTCTCGACATTGGCAGTCTCCCTCTTAATGACTTTCAGAGCTCTAATGTTATTATAGTCACACAGCGGTTTAAGAAGACATCAATAAGCACGACTGGTGCTTTTGTGCAAGCAGCAGAATTTTTAATTTATTTATTTCACCTTTGTTGCTGTTGTCAGAGGGGCCGTCATCAGATGCAGGCCCATTGAAGTCTCATCCATTACTCAAGTCTAAAATGATGTGGGCTGGTTTTTAAATTTTTAAAATGGATATATAATGATGATAATAATATTTTATAATTCTCTGTGGATTATATGAAGTGAAGTATGACTGAGTTTATCTCTGGGTCAATGTCAGTGTAGGTTGTCTAAAGTTGTGAGCTCATTGAGGATCACAAATGTTCATGGAGGTACATTATGCCATTCACATGTTTCTTTGTTCTCTCGTAACTCACAGGATCCATGGGTCTGTTGATTGCCTTTCAGAGCTCTCCTCCTCACGCCTCAGTCATCCTTACAGTGGTGAGAGTTCTGCCTTCATTGCAACCTATGACTGAGATTTATTTGAGATGTGTCTTTGCATTTATTATTCTGCGAGTGCTGCGAGTCATTATTATGCAAGACTCTGTGAGGGAGTACTTGACTCTTGTGCTTGCTGTGCAGGGACAATCCGTCGCAGCCTCAGCACATCATCGGCCATCGCCACCCCGAAAGAGACGAGCAGAAGAAGTCCTGTTACTAGGTATGCCTCTTTTCCAAACAGCCCTCACATTTCACCCTCCCAAGCTTTTCAGCTTTATCCTAATCCCCCGCAGCAGTGGCAGAATCAATACTAATAAGAAGCAGTGGTGTTAGTCAGCAAAGGTTCCTTTTTTTTTTTTTAAATGGCCCATGCATGATTGTGATTATAATGAGAGACAACAAGGAATTGAAGATCAATCCCTCAAACACCAAGCTGCCATGAATCTCCCACTTACTTTTGAGGTATCCTCTCACACTGCATACCTTTTCTCATAAATCTTTCTTCCCTGCATTTTTCCCTGTGCTTCTACAATTCATCTAAAAAAAACAAAAAGGAGTCGTTCCAACCCTCACCGTCGGCGCTGGAGCAGCCTCAGCGGTGGTGTTCCCGGGAACACGGCAGGGTCCAGTCCCACACCCAGCTTTGACGGACAGGTCTGCCTCCACGTGGGCATGCAGGTCCTGCTCACCAGCGCCAATGAGATGGCGTTCATACGTTACCTGGGCACTGCAGACTTTGCCCCGGGCCTTTGGCTCGGTCTGGAGCTCCGAAGCCCCAAGGGCAAGAATGACGGCTCTGTGGGCGGCCGCCGTTACTTCACCTGTCGACCCGGCCATGGCGTTCTGGTCCGTCCCAGCCGCATCACCTACCGTGGCATCAACGGTTCTCGCCTGGTGAATGAAAACAGCTGAGGCCTGTAGGAACCAGAGCGGGGAGGTGTTTTGAATTTCTGTTTATGAAACTTCTTGTTCTTTTTTGCGTTTCACATCATTTTCTCATTCATATAGTTATTCCTCTATGCTCAGTTACAGTAATAAACCTGCTTATTAATAGTTTATTTAAACTACTAGATTTAGCTTTTAGAAAAATGTAGGAGGCAAAGGAAGCACTTTATAGAATTGACTTTAAATTCTTATTAGAATTTGTCTTGGCAGGATGAAAAGGGGAAAAAGTCTTAATAGGACATAAAACACTGCACTACTTTAATCTGATTGCACTGACAGACATCAGTATGATAGATCAGATAAGATCGGGATGGTATGGATGTGCGTACATGGAAAACTATTTCTATACCCAAAGCTAATTCTGATCACATCAAATAAAGATTTTATCTGATCATTTAGGTGCTAATGTAGCCTACTTTCTAACCAAAAGGGTGCATGTGTTTGTGATTATGAGCGCGGGTGCATGTGTGTATCAGTTAAGAGCACTTTGAAACAGGAGAGATTGAATGATTTTTACAGGGTCGTCACAAGGCTTACAGTTATTGATGGTAGTCAAAACTGAATCTTTACTTTATGAATCAATGTGAATTAAGCAAGATTTAATAAGCCTACATCTCTATCAATCTCCTTCAGAATACACCTGCATCAACGGAAGTCGTTTTCTCCTACGTACATCAGTCACTGCCACAGGCTGTCTATTAAGCCTACACAGATAAATGATGGTTACATGGTGCTGTGCACATCAAAAATACCTACCTATTGCCCCTTTGGCTTTGATTCTGTTATTGTTAGCTGCTGACATTGTTGAGGCAGGCACACAGACTGCACAGCAGAATGAGGAGGATATTTCTAAAAAACAAAACAAAACATATAGTGTAGTATAGTATAGTACGAAAATAATATCTCTCAATCATCACTTCCAACCCTCTAGAAGTGTGTGGCAGTGTCCGTATCTATAGAGACCCTGCCCTCTGCCTGTATTTTCTTTTGTCTGGGATGTTTTTGGGGCGTCAGTGGATGTGTAGCCCTGAGTCAGCATGCAGGGTGTGAGGTTGAAACACTATAAAGATGTAGTGACCAGAGGCCTGTAATGCGAAGCAAGTTAAACATACCCAGGATATCTTTTTCTTATCTGGCTTTACTAACCCTAACAACCACATGACAGTGGTAATCAACTCAGTAAATCAACTCACTGTTTCCCAGTCTAGCCATGAGCATGTTCACCTAAACAGGGCGGTGTTTGCTGCATATGACCAATCTCAATCTCAAAGTAGTAGCAGGATGTTACAAATGAAGCACAAACAATGATATTAGACATACAAAGGAGTTGTACAAAGAAGTACAAAGAAATACAAGGAAGAAAGAACAGATAAACCAACTCAGTTGCAGTTGAAGAGAAGCTGGCAATGAAATGGAGACTGAATGGGTAAATTAATACGCTCATAACATCACTGCCTCATCATTAGGGCACGAGTAGATCTGACTATAATTACATTTGTGCATTCTATTAAAATAATGTGTTGCTTAGATTTATTCTTATGGCGTGTATGACAATCTTAGCCTCATTCTTTCAGCTGCAATGGATGTGTCTGCTTTTTGAAATTAAGTTCATTAAGCAACAAAACGAAAAATCCATTAATGCCAAAAAAAGATGCTCAAATAGTGGTTGAAAAACTGAACATTTACTGAAAACTCATCCCCTTACCAACACCCAAATAGAAAAAGGTGGGACGGTACATGAGCAGGCACACCTAAAGTTCTAATTCATATTAACCTTACCTACTGAAATACCGAAATATATGCTCTTAATATTTAACATAAAAAGAAGATTAGAAACCTTTACTTTTAAAGGCTGTGTCAGGTGGTGATTAATGGACTTAGAAAACAAAAAATATATATAAACATGATTGAAAGTAGTAAATAGGCTTACTTTAATATATCTTTGCCAGTCTCTGACCACTCTTTCCCCATTAAGAGACCCTCTCACAATCCACGCACCACTCCACAGGATCAGTAATCAATACATGGGATCGTCTATGAATTATATCATTTTCGAAGAGAATTGATTGGTCATTAGGAGGTGCTTTTATAGCACTGATCTCTTATCTCCAACATAACAGGTTCGTTGTTCAGCACAAGTTGCCATGGTGATATACCGCATTGTGAGGCTGAAAACCTGAGGTTGATCCTGAAGTTACCTAACTAACCCCAAATCTTGCTTCACAGTACAGGCCTGAGGTGTCAGACCCTAAGTACGCATCCAAGAGGGGGCTTCTGTGTGCGTCTGATGTCGTCAAGCCGGGGAGGAGGGTCCAACTTTAAATGTTTACATGCTACAATTGACAAATCTTACTCATTCTGCCTTAAACTTCAGCTTGGAATACACACACACACACACACACACACACACACACACACACACACACACACACACACACACACACACACACACACACACACACACACACACACAGGGCTGAGGATTCAAGCCTCTTTCCTTCTGTGTGAGCGTCAGAACTGTCACAATGTCACATTTTCAATCTTTACAACCTGAATGTGAAGAAACCTGAATGTGGTCCTGTAGTTTGAAATCTATCAGACCTGACAGCTTTTCATTACAGTATGGTATCATTGCATTATGTTGTTGAAGACCACATTTCAGAGCATTGGATGTGGCATAATTGTATTTGACGCTTAATTAAAGCAGCTTGACACAGGAAATATGCAATCATCCAGAAGTTTCAGGGATTAGAGTTTGCAATTTGATTAGAGCCATCTGGGCAACTCCGCAGAGAACAAGCCATCGATTGTGCATGTGGAAAACAGGCCCACTATTCAGTAAAACACTCATGTACCATCCAATTAGGGTGTGTAGGCCACAACAGTAGCTGTAGAATCTCGAATGGCCTTCTCTCATTGATCTGTCTGGTCAGGCCCCCTGTGATTGAAAAGCAATGTTGGTTGCCGAAGGTTGTCTAAAATATCTGCCACAGACCTCACAGATGAAACGAATGAGCGCAATCTTTCCAAACTCCTATTAAAACATTTTAATCACCACTTTCTTCTTTAAAAATAGCTTCTCATTTGCATTAAGGCCATCTCTGTGATAGTTTGTGGCATTTGTAAGTGTTCCACATTTCAAATCTCCTCTTGAGATAAACTCTCCTATTTTGGTGTATCTGCAATCCAAAGTATCACAGCACGAGTGATTTCAAATTCCACTGATGGGTATGAAAGTATTTTGGAACGTTCATGTGGGTAAAAGATGATAGCTTTTTTTTTTTTCATGAAATTCTTGATATGTAATTTGAGGTGTGTGTGAGAGAGAGGGATACTGTCTGATGCATTTACATGTTGTGGAAAATAACAGTATTTGTACAAAAGAAAATAAAAGATTCTATTCTAATTTGACCTTTTATCTCCATGACTGTTTCTTTAGCTCTGTGCTGTTTGTCAAGTGTGGTTATACTAATGAAAAGAGGTTTACTTGACTTCCTTGGACTGTTCATAAAGTGCAGAGGAGAGTTGTCTTCAGGGACTGAAAATGAAATAGCACAAGCACTTTGAAATGGTTACACGTCTGTTCACTTACCATCTGATTCCACTGGGGCTCATCTCAGCCAAAGCTGAGAAAGCCTGCTGCTGAAGTGGCATTGTTTGCTTACCGCCAGCCTGGGCACACAAATTCAAGTTTGAGTGTGGGTGACATACTCTATTATGCCATGATTGTGGAATAAAGAGATGTTTGAATGGTTGCTTTAAATAGTTTTCTATGCTTATTGTTACTTATTTTTGTAGTCCAAACAGGAGAAACCAACCCAAGGGAAAGGATCCAGGGAAGCAGCGTTTGCCTGCCCAAACTACTGACCAACAGATTGATTCAAAGGTCAGAATGAAATGAAACCTAGGCAAAGAAAAAGAACAAATAAAAGCTGTAGTGGTGATATCGGACATAAAAACAACTTAGAGAAGCACCAGGCCACTCATAAAACTGATGATCATACCACCACTAACATAAGACAATCACAATGACTTTAAACTGAGCAGCAGAAGCCTCCTTTCTGAATCCTTTGTGTTTAGATTCACAAACATATTTTTTTTTATTGCAGCACTTTCCATCATTAAAAACAATATGTAAGCTAATGACGTAACCTTTTACCTAAACTTACTCTTTATTCTTGCATTACACTCCTACTTTTTTCTAACTTGAAAGTAATAATTGTCCTGTCTGATTTGATGCAGATAGTGAAGTTGAGCGTACAGTTTACATCAGATAAAGCTGCTGATGGACAGGGTGAGGACTGTTTGTAGAGCGTTCACCAGAATTAATTTACCTCACTGATGTTTATCAGCACTTTGTCTCCTACAAACAATTTGTCCTGCTTTGCTTAGAGAATAATAAGGCCAAATATAAAGACCGCAAACTTGGTTTGTAAGGGAGAAGGAATGTCCTTTGTCCTTAAAGAGGTTCTAGAAAAGGAGTCAATCAACTCATGAAGAACTATGCGTAGTTTGATCACAGGGAGTTGAGGACTGTTGAGGAGAAGGCTTGCCCCTCTGCGGCAGAGGTCACTGAGGTGGTATATAAATGTTGCAGTAACAAGGTGCCAGAGGTAGGTGAGATTCTGGATGCTTGGATACTTTTTCAGGGACATGTTGAGATCAGGAACAAGGGACTAGAAAGGCGGTCCCCGTTAACTGACCGATTACTGCAGACCCCATCCTGAACAGTGGACCAACTTTTGCAGGGACGCTGGAGGGACTGTGGCATGTAATGTAAAAGCACTTTGAGAGGTCGGAAGACTAGAAAGGCACTATACAAGTACAGGTCCATTTACCATTGTCACTGATTCTGTCATTTCATGGACAGGCTCTCAACATGCAGCTGAGATGTAGAGAGAGTCTTGTTTGGTAACCTCATGACTGCATCTCTGCTTTTTTCTGGGTATCCTCTTTTCTGAAGCTGACAACAGCCAGACATTTTTATTTTGGTGGCATGGTGGTCTTACTATAAACATTTATACCTATAAACTGGTTCTTTCAAAAGGAAAAGCCAGTGGGCGTATATCCAAACAGACCCATAGAAACACAGCGAGGTTGTTGTGTGAATGTCCCTCCTGTTTACATACATGAGAGGAATATTAGAAACACCTTTGAATATAATGCAGTCCATCACTAACTATGACTTGAATGCTGAAACATAATTGAATGTCTCTATGACACTGTCAAACACTATAGGCATCATAAAAGTAGACTTTAAAGCAGTTTTGGACTGACTGTACACATTTTGGTTATAATAGTGACTATTTACATTACGAATTCAACTTGCATTTGGTTCTTTGAGAAAGCAGTTCTGAGAAGAAAATAGTGCGCATACTGTGTGACATCATTGTTGCTAATAGTGTGAGCGCTTATGTAAATGACTTGTGTATGTAAATTGAGACGCTGAACGCAGCGAGCAGAGAGCTCCAGTGGACTGCAGTGAGGCTTTAGAATTCAGCCTCTCTGCATGGTGACGTCTTTGTTGTCTGAAAATCATAGCAGGACAAATGCCATGGTTTTTTTTTAAATCTTGGATATAGCTTTTGAAATGATGAATAGGCTTCCCTGTGACACACCATTTTGCTGTTTGACGCCTAAACTCCCTGCATCTTGCATTTAAATGGTTTATTATCAGTAGTATAACATGAGATAACGGCTAAACCTGGAACAAAGCTCAGACATACTGTATCACAGTGTGGTAAGTGCTCAGTTGCACCATCAGCACTTTGTAGAGTGTAGCACTGATCCCTGATGGGAGACAAATGATCTTAGTAAGACCATGAAGTAAGACTGCAGTCTGCTTTTTAACATGATGGAGAGCAGCACTGGCACAGCCGGCACCCAAGGAATACAGTTTGCTATCGCAGGCAAATACATACTGCCAGCTACACAAGCCTCTACATGTAGACATATTTACAATACAGGGATAATCCTGCTGTGGTCTCCATTCACTCTGTCAGGGCTTATGTGCAATAATGACCAGCTCACTGTACATAATCCTGCTTATTACACAACTACTGTACCAAAGTGAACTGTAATGATTTGACACAAAAATATTGATTTAAAATGATCTGATTACTGGCTCACAATACTCCTTCCACTTATTAGCAAGACTCAAACAAACATTAATGTAGTACCTGCAACAATATCACTAAAATCCGTTTGTTAAACTTCTTGCATCCTCCACTCCAGGGGCCACAACCTCAAATCACCATCCTACGCTGAGAAAAATGAACTCCAGTGTGAACTCTCCTCTCCTCCATCCTCCTGCATACTGCTCTGATGTTTAAGCAGGGTGACATAGCTTGAGACATTCTCCTTGCAAAATTAGAACAAAAGCATACGTTCAAACACTTCAAACACAGTTTGACCAGAAGTAAGCACAGAAAGTAGCTTGATGGATTTGCTGTTTTTGCTAACAGCAAAGTGATCTTCTTACCTTTTCGTTGTTTGGAGATTCTCGAATCTCTACAACTGAGTTGGCAAGTGCGAAGTTATAATGACCCACAGGACAGCCTCAACACAGGTTGAAAAATATTGGACTTTCCCTTTAAATGTGAAATAAAGAGCCATTTTATGTTCTGATTTTACAATCCTACACAAAATGAAATGATTAGTTAAAATAAAAGACTGTGGAAAAATCCATTAAGTATTTGTGGGCTGGATGGAACAATAAAGTGTAAAGATGAAAAGGAATATCACTCTTTTTTCTGGTTAATTTGATGCAGGATGTTATTTCCCAAACATCAAAACGTTTCAGCATAAACCATATGTGTTGTGTTGATTTCTCACACCTATGATACAGCGTGATGATGCATAAAGTAAGGAATTAGATAGAAACCATGTTTGTCTTCCTGCTCCCACCTGGAGAGCTGGCATTCAGGACTTATTTGTTTTGTTAAATACATTGTTGAGTTTGGCTTGTCTGTTTAGCTGCTCGCTGTTGCAATCTGTGGTAACAGTCACTTAGCTGTTGGCATAAAACCAACAGAAATTCCACAATTAACAGAACAGCCAGGACAAAGTGTCAGTGCAGGTTTCAGTGTGATGCCTGGTGTGAAGGGTTTATGGCAGCTAGTGAAGATGGACTGAGGCTGTTATCTTGAAACATAGTTCTTGGATTGCAACACTTCTTGGAACTGAGGTCAGACTGAGTGTCAGTGAAAACCAGTCTGGCATCTTTATAAGCACTGTCTGATTTTCTAATGGAGGTCTATAGAGACCCATACTCTTCTTGCCCTTTTGTTCCCCATTTTTCAGCTCTCCTATACTCTCTTTAAGAAGTTAGGGTTCTCATTGAGCCACGGCACTGCTTTTGTATTTATAAAGAGAATAGATGAAGGCACCAAATACAATAAATATATTTATTTAAATTTTTTTGTCCATCAGTTACTTTTCTAGTTGGATATATGTCTTTTCTATTACCTTCTAATCCCTTTAAGGGGCAATAAACTCAAGGGTAGTAAAACATATACTGTTAAAAAGGAAAAAGCTAAGGCTGCTCAGAATGTTCTGTGCTGTGGAATTTGGTCTAGACCTGCTCTATTTGAAAAGTGTCCTGAGATAACTTCTGTTATGAATTGGTGCTATACAAATAAAACTGAATTGAAACGGAATTGTGGAAAATGGCAGGAAAGCTAACATAAGGGTCTGAAATGTTTTCATTCATGCTGTGTCGAGGTGGAGACGACAGATTTAAAAACACCTTTTTAGTGAGAGGCTGTAATTCAGTCTATGTGCTGTAAGACTAGAGGGTGGTAGTGCTTCAGTGAGTGAATGGTATTGCTGGTGGTGTCGGTGATGATGATCAAACAGAGCAGGTTGCTCTGACCCCTGCAGGGGCTTTGTGGGAGATCTTTTGCACGAGGTCATGTGCAGTGTGTAAGGTCAGGTCGACTACAATCTTCCTGATTACAGTCAAATCTGTGCAGAAGATATTTTCATTAGTGCTATGGTAGATTGTGGCTATAGATAGGATGTTAGCTCCATACATTACTTTTTCTAATGTTCTTAATTAAGAATATAGAACAGTGTATTAGTGTATTACTGCAGCATGAGTTGAGAAGTCATAATAAAATGCAATAGAGGGCAGCCTATAAAATTCAGTATGTCATACACTGATAATAACAGGAGGCAACAGGTTTAAACTCAGTGTTGAGTAGCTGCAGTACAACAGAAGCTATGAACAATAAAGTTAGATCAAGTCAGGAGGTATAAAAAAATACTGAGACAAATGTCACAAATAACTGTAGGAATACTTTAAATTCTGCCTGTGATTACTTGCAAAAATGATCTGAAATGTAGTTGCAACAAATTAATTATTTTGGTATGAGGAGAAGGAAGTTTTTAAATAATAAACTTTATTAATGAATTCATTTATTGCTAACATACACTATTAGAAACCCAATAGCATAAATGAGCCAATCTGAGCATAATGGAGACTCAGACCATCTGTCTACTGAGGTAAAGAGGTTTAACATAACATACTGTTCATGATAGTAGTAGTTGAAATAGCTAGTGCACAGCAGTCTCATTGTTTTAAATGAGCTCCACCTCGAGTCCATTGCTGCCAGCTTTTACCAATACCACTTTGTGTCAACAATTGTGCTGCCAATAACATTTAAAGCTACTGCTGTCAAACTAGAAGTACCTAAAGTAGTACAGACGTGGCAAATAAAGATTTGCATTGTATTTTACAGCATTCGTTTTAAGATAAAAGATTACCAATGTTAGCGCTCTGTGGCGTGTGATGTTGTGGTTTTAAAAATTGAATCACCAAATTATAATGTAATAACAGTCCTACTGTAATGAATCTGATTAACTTGACCCAGATCCCAAGGAGTGCAGTAGACAGACAAATGCAAAACTGTTATTATATAGTAATTTATTAATTTTGGCGAATGTCTTTTGAAGGGCAATTTACAGCTTTTACCAGAGCCATAGAACAATACTTTATAATTACAACATTTACAGGTGCAGTTCAGTTTCTCTTTTTACATCAAACGATGGAGATGAGCTGTGAAGTGAACACAGAATGAATGCATTTAACACAGGTACTGGAGACAAAGCAAAATACTTTTCATTGGTCAATATTTAACTTGCTCATTGACTTGGCCTATAGGAATGCATTTGTCCTAATCAGTCACTGAGAGGCATGACACATACATGACAGCTCATCATTGCTTTACAGCAAAAGGACTGACAGGGTTGCCGAATACAGTCAAGCAAAAGCATCAAAAAACTGACACATATTGTCGTCATTCACCTAAATATCAACACCGCCACGCTCACGGAATAATCCGATAGATATACTGTGTGTAACTGTCCTTAAACTGAAGAAAGCAGACTTTGAACACGTGTGTGAAAATGAACGCAGTGAGACTCAGACTGGTCTCGGCTTTGCATTCAAACTTTTCACTCAGACTCATTTGTATTCCACAACACTCATCCTATAATAGAAAAGATAAAATATGCAAATTTAGGATCGTAGAGTGCTTCGAGATAGCAATTTGAAGGTTAAGATTGATTCAGCAATATCCACTATGTTTCTATATCCAGACAAAAAAGGGAAAGAAACACTTTTTTTTTTTAAACAAGAAATGAATTAATAAAAGGTTACTGAAAAAGCCACAAGTAAGGAAAAGCCTCAACTCCACTGTCTCAAAGCACATGTTGAACAGAATGGAGTTGGGAACAAAAGAGAGTCGCGGAGCAGCGATTTCAATAGTACCAGGGGCAACCAGTTATTACAAATGTTCAGCAACAGTAAAAAGCTGAACTCTTAAATGTTGCTGAGGGTGGCTCGTCCCTAATCTCTCATATTCTTTTGTCAAATAATCTCCCTAACCTGCTTCAGAGCTCTATTTATCTTCACCTTAAAGGCCACTGTAAAGGACAGCTGATTTCCTGTATCAGTGTTCTTACAAACCATTCACGATATTTAAAGTCTTGTTTTTGGGATTGTTCAATCTCTCCTTCCTTACCTTGTTACCAAAAAGAAATTCCTGCAATTCAAAAGAAACCTCAAGTGAAAACCAGTTGATGTGAAATGAATTTGTTTGGATATGAAGCATGTTCATGAATAATTTATAGAGCCACTTCCAAATAATAAATAAACAAATGAATAAATAAACAAGCAGGCAAGCAAACATCAACAAACACATTTTTCCCAGTATTTTTTTTGTCATATAAATGTCTCTGGTAACCCAGTGTCCCAGTGATATTCTTGAAAAATAGTCTGATACAAGTAATTTACCGCACTGTTGTTTTCCAAAAGGATGTGGGTAAGGAACAGTGTGAGGACTCTGCAGTAGAACTGACACGTGTAGCTGGCAGCTGCAGACAACTTCGCAGATGCTACAGTCAAACTGGTGACCAAAGTTTGTGAATGAAAGTCTGGCAAAATATAGAGATTTGAATCTTCCTAATAGTCCGTTCTCATAGACAAGAGACATCCTCAGCTGTCAATGAACACATGGCATATGTGCTCCCTCCTGGTCTCTACCAGATGGAAAGTTGTCTTCCTGTGCCATAAACTCTCCATCTGATTCTTTCTCAGTATCTCTCTCAGTCAGAAACCCTCCAGTGTTGAAAAAATACATTTTTTTAAACTCTCAAAACTAGCCTTTACTCTACATTTTGCCTCCCAAAGCTTTTTTTTTTTTTAGTTCTCTGATGTGCTTTAACATCCATTGGGAATTTTAACACACCTCACGGGAAAAGCTTTCTTTCAGCTAGATGGGTTCTTTCCAAATTGGAAGGAGAAACCAAAATGGTGGGATGGTAGGGGTGGTGTAAAATGGTCTCTGTCCTGACACAGTGTTTCCTGCTATGTGTCCTGAACACACAGTCTCCAAAGACAGGGCCTGTAAAAATGATCAGCGGTACAGGCATTTGGGCTAAAGCACGGTGGCGTTGTGGCCCTCCAACCTGGGAAGCCTGGGGTCCTGTACCGTCCCCATGGTGACTAGCAGTGGACGGCTGTCCTCGGACATAGCTGACCGACTCAGGGACACTGACGTGGGAATGGAGCCCCCCCTTGGATGGGCTGTTGAGGAGGGCATGGAGGTGCCCTGCTGGGGTGGAGGAGGGGGGTTGGGGTTACCGTGGGTGGCCTCCAGCGGCATGCCTTGCTCCTGGTAGCCGTAACCGATGTTCCCACAGGGGAATCGTCTCAGTCTGTAGAGGGGTACTGGGGGCAATGCGGCTGAATCTAAAAGGAGAGGTGACTGGGCAGCAGGAGGTGGCGGTGGGGGTAACAGAGGTCTGCAAAGACCCTGCTGCTGCTGCTGGTGGTGCAGCAGCTGGAGCTGGTGCTGCTGCTGGAGCTGATGCTGGAACTGCTTGTGCTGGTGCTGGAGGCCCAGCGCCCCTGCCACCTCAGCCACAGTCCGGCCCATGTGCTCCTGCCCCTCGCCGGGCACCCTTCCACTGCTCCCTCCTGTTCCCCCCACCCCTACCTGCCTTTGCTGCTGCTGCTGCTGCTGCTGCTGCTGCTGCTGCTGCTGCTGCTGCTTCCTCTGCTGCAGGAACCACGAGCCGTATGTTGGGTTCCAGAGACTGGTGTTCTTCCCGTTGTGGCCCTCCTTCTCTTGTGGGTGGCCCTGAGTGAACGCCAGGTTGATGTGGCCCCCCTCAGGGCTGGGCTGGGTGGTGACATGAGGTCCCTTGGCAGTGAGTGTAGAGGTGGAGGTCACCGTGTTAGTGGTTGTCATGGTGATGGAGGTCTGCGTTTGAGGCTGTTGGTGCTGTTGCAGGTATGGCTGGGGCTGGGCTGACATCTGTGCTTTGGCCTCCAACGCTGTGCTAGTCACCACACTGTGCTCCCCACCTCTCCGGTTCTCCTCTGAAGGATAGGATGGGGGCGGCTGTGGAGCCTCCCCATCAGGCACCTGGGCATTCACAAGCACGGTCGGAGCTGAGGGGTCATCAGGGCGCATGGGTACACGCTCCTCCTCTTCAGGAACAGGTCCGTACTCTATAGGCAGGGGCATGGTCACCACATCAGGGTCCTAAACAGGGGTAGACCACCAAGAGATCAGAATTGTATTTTTTAGTGTTACCAGTACTATCAGTCATGTTAACTCAGTGGTTGTGGAGTGAGGGATCAACAGCTGGTAGATGGTGAAGTGTCACTGGAATGGTCCAGTTGGACTTTGAAACACAGCATGTGATTGAAGTTTAAGACCTTAAAAGCTCTGAAACAGGGGCCATGAAGCATCTGGTCCAGTCAGTCAGTGAAGCTAACGTTAGCTCAAGTAACTACAGTGTATAGCTGTCATCAGGGATTGTCAGTTAAAAATTGTATTGTAACAGTAAGTCTGTATTGCTAAACAGAATGCCATTTTGTAAGTGATGATTATATTGGAAAATGATTGTGCAACTTAAAATACAGCACTTTTCTAGTATCTTACACAATGTGAGGACAATATTTTTTGTTCTATAGAAAACTAAATTGAATCAATAAATTGGACTTTCTGAGGATAACAACAAGCAACTGCAACATATTACACATACAACATAAGTTCTGATTGTGCTTAATACAAACTATATTGTGTTACTCTGCATAGACAGCCAATACAGGCTGAGAGTTTAATTCATAGTAAATTGCAACACTTATTTTAACAATTTAAATCAAGCAATATTACAAAATTTTACTTTTTTCCTCAAATCTCTCAACCGTCATGCATGTTGAGACGGCAGTCAGAATTCCACAGTGTGCTCTGTTTACTCACCTGTAAGCAGTAGTCAATTCTCTCCAGGATAGTTGAGAAGTTGGGTCTGTCTTCAGGCTGATGCTGCCAACTCTGAGTCATTATACGGTACCTAAAAGATACACATGAACGGTGCAGATGTAGAGAAAACAAAAACAAAAACAGAGGGTGACCAGCACCTTCTCTCCTGCTGGTTTAACAAATGCCAGATTGATCTCTTCTGACAAAAAAGTCTTAATAGCTGTTTTGATTGCTACAGGCAGTATTAAAGTGTAATCTCCCCCCAGTTTAAGTGACTGTGATAAATGGGTGATGCAGACTACAGGAAAAACTAACAGTGAAGTTAAATCCTGAGATATGGTTTTAGTTGCTGAGCTGATTCCAACTGTAGCTTTTGCCTTCAACAATCAGTGTTTCCCAATTTAAAATGAAAAGAGCACCGCAGGGCCTCATTTAAAAGGAACATGTAAGGCAGGTTGCAAAATGATACGAGGAGTAATATGCAAAGCCGCGGCCAACAGGTGTGAGGGATAAAGCTGTGAAATCACAGAGAGGCCAAAGTGTGGCTCCACTGTGTACATGAGAGGGAGGGAGAGAATGCCTGTGTGCATCTGCATATGTATGTTTTATAATAGAGTTGGCATCAGAGGCGGTATCTGGAAAGTGATTGAAAAATATAATATGATGTGGAAAAGGTTTTTAAGCTCTCTATCAGCTCCCCATGACTTCTTCCAAAATCGGTAGATAAATATGAAAGAGAACCGCTGATGTGGTTTCCATATTGGAAGCACTGAGAGCAATCTCCCATAAAATGTTCTGACCCCTTCTAGGTCACAACTCCCTTAAACATGTCAATATCAGCACATCATCAGAGACTTTCATGTCCGCCGCTGTGTTTGTTTTTGTGTATGTATAGAATGTATGCACCACTTCGTTTGTTGTTTATGTTCTGGAGAAGCTTAATTAGACCCCATGGGATCACATTGCTCTTGTGTGTGGATCACTTACACTGGTCCAGGGCAGTTTTTAGGTGGGTCCATTCTTCCACCATTGGTTACAAACTCCAACACTTCCTGGTTACTGCGACTTGGATATGGCATGTAGCCCAAGGAGAAGATCTCCCACAGTAGAACCCCAAATGACCTTAGAAAGGCAGATTAGTTACAAAGAGAAAAAGAAAGAGGGTGAGACTAAGGACAATCATGTTCTAAATTATTAGCATCATCAGTGCTGCAGCTATAAAGGATGAGAGCAGAGGACAAAGAATGAGATAAAGACAAGAAAGGGAAAAAAACAACATATTACTCTGGATCAAAGGCGCTGAAGGACAGAGGAAGGTGAAGAACAGAAAGGGAGAAAGCGGGCAGGTTGGGACGGCAGACGTCCGAGTGTGAATATAGGAGGGGAAACCACAGTGAGGGTGAAAGGTAAAGAGAGGTCTGAGGGATTCTCACCACGTGTCTGTTTTAGATGTGAAGATGCCCTCCATAAAGGCTTCAGGTGGCATCCACTTCACTGGCAGCATGGCACGCCCACCCTTCCTGTAATAGCTCGCCCTGCGCACGCACACACACAGACATACACACACATTTTAAATAGTCAAATGCTTGATGACTAATTGTGGCTAATAATAGTAATATTGGTATTTATTTGCCTGCTAATGATAAAAATGGGAACAGTTGTAGAATGGAAACCAGTATTTGTAGTTAGCAGCACCATCACCATGGCAACACCACTACCTTCAATAGCAGAGGATTAAAAAAAAAGAAGAAAACCTCTAACTTCCAGCAATTAATTCACTGTTAGTCAGCGGCTGTATCAGCCTTTTGATCCAATCGCATTTTCAGCTTCCTAACATGTTGGTGTGAGAGACCCTCTAAGAACTCCTTATCTTGCCGAGGGAGGAAAGAGGGCGTTTTTTTGCCAGGCCCCGTCTGAGCCAATTTTAATGCTGTCTTACGCCCACTGTCGGTAGAGAAATTATCTGATGTGTGCTCCATCTGATTGTTGGTGCTGATAGAGGTCACTGCCTGGTTCATCTCGCCCTGCTCGAGGCACACAGCGAGCGACAGACATGAACTGGGTTTTGCTCAGCTCCCATGTCCATCATGGTTTTCCGCAGAGAAAAACGGACACACATCGTGATCCGAGTTAAGTGGTGTCAGCTGTGTTTGGCTGGGAAAAAGCATCATTTGGCATCATTTCCCATTGCAGAGGAATAAATCTGTTTGCCCCCAGTGATTTTGTTATAAAAATGACACTTTTTCCCCCTAAGCAGTTGTTTATGAACATGGCTAGTGCTTCATGATAAATAGGACTGCAATAGCCTGTAGACACTGTTTTGTCACTGGAAGGTTGCCAGTTCAAACCCCCTAGGCCTTTAGGGAAAATAAAGGAGTAGTGGTAACACTTTCTCGTTGCCTTCAAAATCTAGACAAGTAAGTGACGCACTAACTGCTCTGCTGGAGAGGCACATGGCTGTACAGGAAAGGGCTGTAATCATAGTGGGCATCTCCCAGGTGTGAATGTGAAACAGGATGAGAAAAGAGCATTGTTCTCAGTTGGCGTTCCCTGGACAAATAAAAGCTACAAAACCCCCAAACAATAGAGAAAAGAAAGGAATGGCAAACACATCAAAAACAGGGTGGCAAAGAATAAAACAGACAATTTCAGACTGGATAAAATCTGGGACAACAAGCAAAAAAAAAAAAAAAAAAAGGTTTTGGCAGTCTGAGCTCCTCAGATATGGCATCCAATGCCTTATGGGCTTGGGCTGCATGACCCATCACATTTTGTCTTTAGTTTGAGGAGGATTTCAAGCTGATTTCAAACTGTGCTCTTGTTTACCAGGGGCAAAATTGTCTGAACTCCTGTTAAAAGCCAGAGCTATTCTTGCCTTAAAAGTGATGTGTAAAATGAAATCCAAATTATTATGCAACTAGTGCCAGGAAGCTTAAACAGATGTAATAAGCTATACACAATCTGCAGCCTCACCTCACCTCAACTTAAGTCATCTTTTTGTGTGATATTACTATAATGCACATTCAGGTTGGAAGAAAAGAGATAATTGCATTCTCCACACAGTATCAGCACTCATCATGTGGTTGAACTCAGATCTACAGCTGTGTGTCTTCAGGGGAGCGGTAAGCAGAGATGGTAAATGGTAAATGGACCTGTACTTGTATAGCACCTTTCTAGTCTTCTGACCACTCAAAGCGCTTTTACACTACGTGAGACATTCACCCTTTCACACACATTCACGGCATCGGGAGCAATTTGGGGTTCAGTATCTTGCTCAAGGATACTTCGACAGGAGCCGGGGATCGAACCCACAACCTTCCGATTGACGAACGACCCGCTCTGCCTCTGAGCCACAGCCGCCCAAGATGAATATAGATGATATGCTGTCAGATGGCTACAAGGGAAATATACACTTAGCAAACTATTGGCATAAGAAGTTAGCCTTGAGGAAAATGACACATAATCAATAAAGCAGAGAAAACAATCACTAGTTGAGACTGTTTGCTTGGCAGATTAGCCATGAACTCCTGCAGGGCAATCACACAGATCCCCGCCCCACACCTTAATCTATCACTTAGAATAACACAATCAGTTCAGTGATGGGAATCAGTTACCTCCCCCATTTTTAAGCCTACAATTAGAGGACTGAGTCCTGCCACCATCTCTTTTATACTGCCCCCTTTACCCAGTATCTCTCTAATTTTCTTGTCCATCCCAATAAAGAAAATAGTGAGGGAAGCAAACTGGCATCAAAAGATGCAATTAGATCAAACAGCTGTGGCAGTGGGTGCTCAGTGAATCCTGCGTTTGTTGCTCTGAAAAGGCTGATACAGTGATAAGGAATTTACAAAACCAGGCTGCCACAATTCCGTGTGTCTATAATTTATTAACTGCTGGCGCCTTTTCTGACCTCTGCTATTGAAATACATCTTTATAAAAGATGACCTGAACACATGAAACGTTTGTACATTGCTATTCAGTCTGTTATCTGCTCATTAGAAAATACTGAAATGTTTTGGGATTGTAAAATGTAGAGCATAAGACTGATAATCCCCCTATCGGTGGATCGCCCTTTTTTTTTAGCGCAGGGTTTATGGACATATTTATTACTACAGCTAACACCACCAACACAGACTGAAAGCCGAGCTGCAGATTAGGGAGGCTTAAATACAGTCCCAGAAAATCTATAGCACAAATGGAGGTGTTTTATATGTGTGTGTGTTTTGTGTGTTTTTTTCTTGTGATAGCGATTCAGTGTGCAGAATGGAAGCTGGAAGATTGAGAAGTATTAGAGGCAAAAACTAACTCTGAGAGACAGAGGCATCAAGCAGACTGCTATGAATGGAGAGTAAGATAGAAGAACACAATGTGGAACCTAATACTTGTGCCTGTTCATTGAGTTGAATGTCTTTGTTCTGCCTTTACTGGTGTGTGTGTGTGTGTGTGTGTGTGTGTGTGTGTGTGTGTGTGTGTGTGTGTGTGTGTGCATCAGGCTGACTACCTCAAGTCATGCTACACACCACTGATAATAGTTCCTATGAGAATATGCTCATTAAAGGCAAAATAACAATTCTTTTCTGAAGCACAGATGCACAGTGAGTTTCTCTTCATAGTGGCGGCTGTTTAGCTCAGGATGATTACTGACTGGCAGCTATTGTTTACCCAGCTTTCTATTTACCACTGCATCACCAATGTGCAAGCATGCATGCGAGTAGATTTGTGTGTGAGAGAGAAGTCCACAAAATAACACATGCATGTACCCTGTAGCTCTCCTCCCAGAATATAAAAAGCTGACATTAAGCCTCGTCCTGGTCCCTCACTGTGACACCCTTCCCTTGACACGGTCTCAAAATGACCCATGTCCCTCATCACATAGCGGGAGGGCCACATCACGAAACGGCAAAAATAAACACACCAACGGCGTAGCAGCATTGTGCGCTAAAAAACAACCATCCCTCCCTCTTAAAATAATAACAATGATAATCCCAGTCCTGGCACCACGGCTCCAGGCTGAGAGATAAAAACAAAATCACATTGTGGCACCTGAAAAACTGACATCAGCAATTAAATCAAGCGCTCCTAATGCGGCTCCCCATGGGTATTGTGCAACAGCCTTTCCCGGATGCTCTGAGAGTGACTTTGCTCTCGTGTGACTTTCCTTAGGATGATTCGAAAGTGCTGTGTTGATATAGCTGAATGTTGTGACATATGTCCCCTGTTCTACTTTCTTACCTGTTGAAAGGCTTGGGAGATTTCCCTGCTGGATTGTGCATTCATTTAAATAGTGTCACGTGAAATGGTGGTAGCTATATAAAAAAGTTTGAGCATAATAAGATGCTGTTGGGGCTACAGAAGAGCTGATGCAGATTTAAAAGAAAGCATACGTGCAACAGTGTGATTGAGAATAAAAATACTTTAAAAACATTTTATAGTACATTTTCAAACAATAAAAAACGTTTTTGTTGTCCATACACTTAACTGCAAACAGAATGCTCGTGTTGATCAGGCTAGACTTCTGTCTAGGAAAAAGATCTAACGTTGTCTAGCTTTCCCTCACTGCTGTTGAAACTGTTTGAGTTTGTTTATTTTGATTTGTCACATCCTGTGTTTGAAGAATTGTTCATGTTGATGTTCATTGCTAAAGCAGAAGGTGTAACATCCCTGTAGTACCAAAAAGTTGGAGTGTAAGTAAGAGGGGAGGGGAGGGGGCCTACAAAGCATTTGACTGTGATTGGAGGCTGCGTTTTGTAACAGTAATACAATTCAGCTGAACCTGGTCTTGATTTTGAGCTGGTGTTACATCAGTCAGTGATCTGTACTGGAATTGTACCTGTAAATGTCTCGAGCCATCCCAAAATCTCCAATCTTGGCCACACGGCCCGGTCCTTTGCAGGTCAGTAGGCAATTCCGAGCAGCAATGTCCCTGAAAGATGAGAACAACACACACAGTCGGTCAGGTCACTGCATGTACTTACTGCTTGGATCCATGGACTGGAACACAATAACTCATTGCCAATGTATATAAGAGCTAGACATACTGAACATTGACATTCACACAGCTTAGCTCATGCCTCCTCTCTTCACTATTATACCTACAGTTTTTCATTTATTTGCATCTATAAGAGAGCTCCATGTATGAAACACCTACAGATGCTCCCCTGTTGCATCTGAAGTTCGGTGTAGCTACCAAGTTGCCCTGGGCAAGCTGGTGTATAGCAAGTGTATAGTTTCCTACAGTGCCTTTATAGCTCTGCCCACATGGTGCATCCAGAGTAGAGATTGAATTGTTCCACAGTATATGCAGGCAGAGTGGGTTAGAAGAGAAAACTGATATTTGCACTGTACGGGGTGGGTTATTCTTTGAGAGAATACAGTAGTTCACACACACCGTGCTCTACTCCTGTCTGGGGGAAAGGAAATAGAGCCCTGCACACTGTTTTCTACTCCCCATGCGTGTGACTTTCTTAACATCTTAAGAAGTGACGCTCCTCATCAGACTAAAGACAAGTGTACACTAGGGCCAATAAATACCCAGAATTTAACATCAAAGTAACATCATTTGACACTGTGCTCAAACTAGATCATGAGACAGGGCAGGGCTGGAGACGAAAACTAGCAGTGGAACAGACCACAGCACTAAGCACTGCAAGTGTGTAGACAGTAACACATTGTTTTGATGTTTTGCCTCCGCACTCTGATTAACTTGGATGTGAAATGACACAATGAGGATAAAGTAATAGTTCAGACTGATTTAAACTGAAGGCTTTTAAGACAGGGACTATACTATGCATAGCTGCCCCACTTTAATGTGCCAGAAGTGTTTGGAACTATTGAAGTTATAGTATTATGGTAGTACTTCAACTTTGATATTAAATAATTTAGTAAGAAATAAGAACAACATAGTGTCTAGGGCCTCTTCAGTTTATCTCTAAAAAGATCTTTTTTTAACTTTGTTTGAGTCCAATTAGACTGAAGCGATTAAAAGAGAGTCAGTAAAGTGAGTTATCAAACCAGCTACCAGTTCCTAAACTATAACAACAAATAATTTCCTATTCATGAAAAAGCAATCAATCCATTAAGGCGTACTGCAGGAAAACAGAATGATAGCATGACTACAATGAGCATGTGGGAGACACACACACACACACACACACACACACACACACACACACACACACACACACACACACACACACACACACACACACACACACACACACACAGATCCCTTCTCAAGAGGTGCTGTAGCTAAATCCAAGTAGTCCTTGTTTAATGGCTTGGAAGAATTCATGCAAATGATTTGCTTTTGCTTGTAGGCAAGGACGAGCCTTGAAATGCAGCTGTAGCTGTCACAGACTGCTCGCTGAGGGCCTAAGGGAAGGACACACTGCTATTGTACATGCATCACAGTGATGTGAAAACAGGCTGTTATTAAAACAATGTTAAGTGGCTTCATACTGTAGACCTTATTTACAGTCAATTTTAACTGCCGCTTAAAGAGCCATTTCACTGCAGCACCTAGAGAACATTCTGTATTATTAGTCTATTTTAACACCTGAGGTTGCATTAAAGTACTTGACTCTCCTCAGCACACTGTTTCTTTTCAGGTGGTTACAATTTCCAATGTGAGTACCAAGCCTGTTGTGAAATAAATATATATAATATAATAGTAAAATAACATGACCGACTGGCCAGAACTACAGAGAAATACCTCATCAGAGAAAGCCACAGAAATACACAGAACCCAGAATAAATTCTCAGACAGCATTAACCCTGTGATTTAACCTGTAGGAGCACAGCTCAGCTCATCATCCCGCCCTGTAATCCTCGAGAAAAAGCTGCATTTTTGAGTAGCGGCTACTCCTCCACTCTACCTTAATTCACCTGGCCTTTATTCAACCCTGAGTAAACACACCTCTATAAAAATCTAAATTAGCCTCAAGGACAGTGTTAGGGTGAATTTTAATACAGGTTTGAAGGCAGATGGGTGGGCTGTATAGAAGCCCACAAGCATCCGGAGAAGAGTCAGCCATTAGGTGGATTGATGGAGCTTCACTGTGCCACGTTGGGGCAAACAAGGTTTAATAGGCCTCGTTTGTCATTGGCCAATTCCTAGGAAGTCAAACAGGCACGATGGAAGGGGGATGCACTTTAATTGTGTTGATGTGATTGTAGGAGCCATTTTGACCTTTTCCCTATTCGATATGTACTTGACTTTCCTTATGGACATCCATGAAGGAGATCTTTGCAAGACAGATTTAAAAGAACAATTTCAATTTTCTTTAGTCTCATTCTCCGGTTCACCAACTGCCGTGAATATGGATATGTCCAGGGCACTCTGTTGACTTGTGCCTTGGATGCAGACCATAAAAAGGCAAGCCGGCAAGTCCATCTGCCTGCTCCGATGCTAAACTCATCACTTGTCCTTTCTGCTATCGTACCAAATGCAGAAGGCATGCAGAGACCATATGTTACGCTCGGATGGATGCAGTTAGCTCATCATTCTGATCAGAAGTCAGCAGATGAATGTGGGCAAGTCTGTGTTGAGTTTGTATATTTTCCTTTGTACATTTGCATTCCATGTGTATATGCATACCCATATGCCATATGCACATGCATACCCATATGCCATATGTACTGTACATTGCTTACTTGTTTTCCTCTCTGACTCTGATCTGTTTAGGTAGGAGCAATATAGGTAGGCCACAATACATACATCCTTTTATAATCGTGCTCTATATTTGATCATCATGTTCATATGTAAACTATGTGGTCATCGGGTGAAATACCTGTGTATAAATTGGTTCTCTTCCAGATACTGGCAGCCCTTAGCAATGTCTCTGGCCACATTGAGAAGGTCCACCATGGTCAGGCTGGACGGGTGCTCCTGATCACAGAGAGACAGAATGTAATATTAGTGAATATATCACAGGCAAAAAACAGAGGTACACATTGTGGTTGTAAAGACAAAATTAGTACATTTTGAGTGTTGGCTTAAGGTTGTAATAAATTAAAAGTAAATAAAATTTAAATGAAACTATTAAATGACAATGTGCACATGAGCATGATCCAGCAGTCTGTCTCACCAGTCGGGGTCTGGTCTCCCTCAGGAAGGTTTTGAGGTCTCCACCAGTCATCAGCTCCAGCAGGATGAACCTGGGCATGGCCTGCAGACTCACTCCTACACAACGCACAATGTTCTGGTGGCTAAACTTACTGCAGGGACAGAAACGCCACAGGGATAAGTGTCAGAAATGGCTTTGTTGGCACTATTTGAGGCAGACTTTTGTTCATTGTCTAATGAACCTACCTGATTATTAGAGCCTCCATGAGGAAGTCCAATTCATCTTGCTCAGAGCAAACTTCTGGAAGGGTCTATTGTAAACAGAAAAATAATCTCAGTGTTATGAATGTTTTATTATCCAGTAGTTATTATGTTTTGTATGTAGTGCCTTATCTGATTCAATCAGCTGACCGTGGAAAAACAGTTAGTGTATCAGAAACTGGGTGAGAACTCACCTTGACTGCCACTTGCAGTGGACTTAGTTCACCTGGTATCCCCACTGCCAGCCCTTCGTAGACTTCACCGAAAGCCCCGTGACCCAGACCCCTGGACACACAAAAACATTTATTATTTACAAATACATTTATGTTTAAGATGTTGAGCTGTAACTCTCACACTAGAAGCAGTCAGCAGGAAGACATGTCTGAAATATACCTGTGTTCAAATAATGATCACCTATGGAGCTAAATACTCTGTAAGGATATGGGAGCCATGCAAAAAAATCTACACAAGTGATTTCTTTAAAACAGCTCGGCAGACATTCTACTGAGTATTCTAAAGTAGAGGTTTTCCAGCGTTTCAGCCCACAGAGGCAAATAACTGTCTACGTGTGACATCCTGCTGCAGATGTCAAAGTGTAGAATGTACTTTGACACCAAATTATAGTTTTGATTTTCCCCTTTGTAGCTATTTCACTTGATTCATAACTTGCTTAAATCTAGATGCCAGAAAATATTCATGGGTCCACAAGAAAAGGAATTTCTCACAAAGATTAAGAACCAGAATGATAAACTGGTGAACTATAAACACATGAAAGATGCATTAAAAATTGAAAAGAGCCCTGCAAAAATCATTTCTCAGCCCCTGGGATCACTGCAGTAGACCCATACACTGTGAGACTTCACACTTTAGTATTTCAGGCTTTATTTAAACTGCTACTCCTCAGACCATGTTGTATTTATGAGTCCAGCATACTTCAATTGTTTGTACTAATTAGTGTTCATTATAATTACAGTGAACTTTGCCATTTGTCATGTTTGTTCAGATACTGTTGTCCTTGAGTCAGTGATACCACTACAGATGTAGACAGATGTGTTCAACTCAAACCGCATTTGTTCATAATGGTCATTGTGTCATTGTGGTCCTTTAATCTGGGCTCTTTTACCTGGTGAGGGAGATATTACGTCGCGGTACTTCCTTCAGGTCATTTACCGATGCCGTCTTGCCGGCGAAGCAGTAGTTGGGGTTGTAGTCGGTCATGATGGTGGAGGCCCGCAGCTTACTGAGCTTGCAGTCTGGACTCTGCAGCTCCAGCTGAATAGACTGCAGCTCTGTGTGCTTACGCCTGTACACTGGTGAGATGAAAATGAAAGATGAATTTCATTCCACTACGGAGATATCCACAATTTAAAAACAAACAAAACCTTGAACCCATCTTCTTGTAGAAAATGATTGCTGGCAGCCAAAGCACACAAAGTGGAAAGCTTTTACACTTATTATTTCTCTAAAGACCTTTTGCTTGTACAACAATTTTTATGAAATACAATTCCTTTGTGTCTGTGAAATATTGATTCCTCTCTATCTGATGCCAGATTTTTTTTTCTAAAATATTCAGATACATAATGTTTCAGAATTAAACCCTCGACATATGAAAAGGTCTTGTAAATGTGTGCATCTAAAAGTTATAATACTGTATAAGAAAACATAACAACAGTACGCACAAAACAAAGACAACTTACACCTCCGAACAACTGCACTTTATGCAGAACAGCCTGCTATATGAAGAGACACAGCTGTATCTCTCTCCCTTTCTCTCCATCTCTCTCACTCTCTCTCTCACACACACACACACACACACACACACACACTCGCGCACACACACACACCTCGCGCACACACACACTTGCAAACACTCACACACACACACGCACGCACGCACGCACGCACGCACACACGCACGCACGCACACACACACACACACTTTGTAGTGCTAGAAGCCTCGACTTGGGCTGGGAACACATTAGTCGCAGGGAGAACTGTTTGTGTGAGTATGTGTGTATGCTTATGTGTGTGTAGGGGAGTTATTTATTTACCAAGTGCTGTCTAATGTACGAGTGCCGCCAGCCACCGGCTAAGCAGCCATCCATCATTAGTGCGTTTCATTCATCACAGTGGTAGTCCCATACCTTCTCAGCTCCCGCCTCGTCTACTGATGTGTGTGCAAGAGTGTAGGTGGGTGTCTGGATGTGTACGTCGGCCTGCAAGTATGAGAGTGAGCGTGGGTGTGTGTGGAGGAGATGATGGCTCAATGAGTGCATATGTCTGACTGTAATAGCCTGAAAGCAGGCGGGCAGACGGATGTCTGCACTGGCTGCGAGACTCACTTCCCCTTCTGACAACAATCTGGTAAGGGCCGTCTCAGAAGGATCAGGCCAGACACTGGAGAACTTTGTGTGTGTGTGTGTGTGAGAGAGAGAGAGTTGTCATCTTCATTGTGTTAAGTCACTGTGTGTCATATGTGTTCTTTGTTCTCCTAAACCAGTGGTTCCCAGTGAGGTATTTACCATTAGTCACAAGTTGCATATGCATTTGAAGTGTAAGCATTTCACTAAAAAGTGATATTCCCCTCCAATTAGAAATTGCTTAAGCTGAGTAATTCCAAAAAGAAATGATTTGGAAAAAATAAAATAAGTTTATACAACACATCGCCTCAGATTTAACTTTTGAGCCCAGAACAGACACCCTGGTTGGTTTCAGACATGTTCATTGTAAATAAACTCATTAAACAGCAATTGGTAACCTCCACCAGCCATGTTGAAGGGTTGGAGTGTAAAAGGTTAAAGGGTAACTTCAGTGTTTCAATTCTAATGCTATTGGAAGAGGAGTGAGAGGGAAGTCGATCATGAGAGAGTGTAGAGCCAGCCAGCTGATTGTTGGAACAATGGAAAGACTAGCAAAGACTGTTTTGGTGACTTTTATTATTATCATAATTATTATAATTATTGTTATTATTAGGAGTTTAAATGGTAGAGGTAAAATTACAGTTTTTGTCAATGGAGACAGGTGGCTTTGAACACAGCAATACAACGGCTGTTTCTAGTTACAATCTTACTCTTTCAAAAAAAGGTCCCCTTAGAATAGCAATTTGAGCCTGTCAGTGGGAAAAACAAGCACTTTTAGTGGACGTACTTTGACGGACGCATTTGGCCACAAAGATTACGTTGCAGCCAGTTTTGCGGCTTCCGTCTGCAGCACTGACGCTTAATACTGGACCAATTTCAAGAATTGTTGTCTCCATTTGTCACTTATACACAAAAACATGGGAAAATCAACCTTTTTCACAGCAGCCATTTTGACATGAAACAGTGAGGTAAACAGATTTTATCAGTGATAATAATTTAGATTCAGTTCTATTCATGTCAAACAGAGTCAAGGTGCTGCTATTGTACATGTTAGCTCACTGAAAAGACTCTGCTACACTAAATGTAATAGAAACTTAATTAGTGTAATTTTAACACCTGTGTTTACCTACATTATTTCATATCAAAATGGCTGATGTAAAAAGGTCTACAGGATCCATACTGAAGTACTGAAGTGACCCTTTAATTACCTCTCTGATCTAACATCCTGTTGGTCTGCTTAATAATTTGTGGTATCTCATCATTTGTGTAGGACTTTATATCCTTTGGTCTAAAGTAATTTCAGCTGTTGGTGCAAATATTACCTTACAATGAGTGTGCCAACAACAAAAAGACTTAACTGACATCCATTGACTAAAATACATCTGTATATGCTATTATTATCTTTATCCCTAAACAATTAAATCATGAAATGTCTTATCCTCTAGAATTAGACCTGCAGTGGGTGATACCACTTAAGATTCATATATTTGTGTCTTAGTATCATATAATGTCTAATGGGTGCTTGCAATATGATTCCCACCCTCTTGCACAATGCAACAGGAGATCTTGACCGATTAAGAACGCTTACATATCAATACTTACTTATCATGACTCCGGACACGGCCAGCAGCAGGGCGGCGATGAGGGCCGAGGTGCCCACTGACAGACCCAGCGCCAGGTGGGAGAGAGACGGCTGGGGAGTCAGCACGATTACCTCTGCAAGACAAGGGGAAACAACAGCGTTCCACAGTTGTTATCTTCCCCAGTGGAGTATTAACATTCACTCCGCTGCTCTGATCCCCAACTTAATTAATGATGTGAAAGCGATGACACAACAGAGCTTAGGAGCAGCGACGGCCGGTGCATGTCAATTCCTTTTCAGTGGCGAGGGGAGATCTCATTTCGCTTGTCTAAGTTGAGGAACAAATCCGCACACCGAGAGAGACCATATTGAGATTGCGACCTTTTCTGACCTAGCATCATAGAATTATCTACTGCTTGTCAGATTTGCCCTATGATTTGCAAATAATAGGGCAAGGAGACACTCTATGTCGTTAAGCTATTATTGAGACGGTAAGGACCCTGTTATTTTGGTTCAAATTATAAAGTGACATTCCAGATCTACATTCATATACTCATTCATCTGAGATTACTAATCATTATTGGAGAGGCAATTCCAGGTCCACACGGGTTTGTCTACATACAATTTAAGCAAAGAAGACATGGCACTTATGAAAATGGATATTTAGTCATGGTTGACATGGTCTAATGGGCAGAGCCAGGTGCATGAACTTATCCAGTACAATGTGACATGAGTATCCAGGTGAGGCCTTTTATCCTTAATCCCTGACATGATAAGATAAAAGAGCTTTATATGACTGTAGCACAGAGATAAATTACAATTCACAGAACACAACTTAAATACCAGCTAATACTGCTATAGCTATATCCATTTTCATTAACAGGTTAGCTTATCCTACGGATTGATAATTACTATGAATGATCAAGGCACTATTAAAAAACCCTTCCTCAGATAAAGATTCAATAAAGTACAGAGCCTTCCAGGCTTAATTACTTTTGTAGATTAATTTGTTATCTGTTCACTGAGTCACAGTCTATTACAGGTACAATTACATTCAGCTTAACTCATTTCTACATTTGGATTAATTTCACATATTCGTGTCGAGGAGAGAGAAATAGATTATGGTTCTTCATCACAGACTGTAAAGTATGTGTGTGTATGTGCAGTGCTTTGTGTCAGACCTGTAGTGTTGATGCAGGACACACCGTCTGGTGCCAGGATGAGGTCATCATCACAGTAGCAGAGGGTACTGTCCTGGATCTCGTAGCATTCACCGCTCACACAATGGCTGCAGTTTGGCACTGGACTAATGATCACCTCACCATCCCCTTCCATAGCTGTAGGCGTCCCCACGTCACACACAGACACACACACAGACACACACAGACACACACAGACACACACAGACACACACACACACACACACACACACACACACACACACACACACACACACACACACACACACACACACACACAGAGGGGGCAGAGCACAGGTTTCTAAAATGAGCAGGGCTTGATTCCTTCAGGAATCATCTCCAGGATGTCTCCCAGTAAAAAGAAAAGTATTAACTGCTGCGTAATTTACTAGAAATTATCTTAGTTAAAGAATGCACGAGGATGTCTTTTTATCCTCAGCACCATTATCACCCAGCACACTCTACCCAGTTACACAAAACATATACTAGATCATAGTCTCAATAATAACTGAATCAAAAACAAAAATCCCTCTAAGACCCCACATCCTCCCACCTTTTTCTATTCAAATAGTGAAAACCAAATGTGTCATTTTAGTCTGATTATCAGGTGTGTGTCTTGAATAAATGTTATCAAAGAGAGGTTTGTTATTAAAAGAGTGGGTGTGTTTAAAAAGCCCTGGTTTACAGCACTGTCAAGAAGAAAAATAATATATAGATGGAAAATGTGGTGATAACTGTAGACATGATGACTGAACTTCAGTTTAGTGTGTATGTGCTACTGCTGTGGTCTTAAACCTGTAAACTAACACTGGGTTAAAACTGGGAGAGCATGGATCAGCATCAGAATTCTGTTCATGGTCAGCCGGTTTATTGCTGCAGCCCGACAGTGTTCAAATTACACTGCATGATATAATTTCATGAACAGAACTACCCAGAATGAACAAACTATACGAGATGAATCGAGCCTGGATGGGTCATCATGTTGTATGGAGGGCTGAGAGCTTGCAGATTTTCATTCCAGCAGACTTTAACCTTAAACTATATGAATTTACTGACTCAAGGTGTGTTTGTCAGTCTGCTGTGGTCCTGGCTGGAAGAAAACCAGCAGACTCTCTGCCCTCCACCACACAACTGCTCATTCTGCCATAAATTGTTTGATTTTTACAACATCACTTATGTTATTTAGATTTAAAGAAACCAATTCTCTTAATTGTAAACTACAGAGAGCAGGGACAACTCAGTCTAACATGAATTAGTTAAGGGCTGTCTGTGAAAGCTTGTTCTGTTTAGTAAGCAAAGCAAATGCACTCATCTGCAGAATCTATTTTCTCTCATCATTCTCTTATCAGCTGTATAAGTGCAAATACATAAATCTAACCTAGAAACACTAGAGAGGTTTCCAATGAAGAATACAAATGTCTCGAGTGCAGGTGTTGACTGTGTACTAGCTGTGATACTCTGTGGATCTTTAGACACATGTTGAATACTTCATGTTACTTTTCTACTGCAGTGAAGAAGGTAATAATGTCTTCTCTACTGAATTTTACAAATATTTCTTGGGCTATTGTTTATGATGTAACTGTATGTACTATGCAACAGTTTCTCCACTATTGAATTTATGTAGGCCTTATACAGATATGTCATTTTCCCCTTAAGCTTATTGATGGATTTTTATTATTGATTTTTTGGGATTCTTGCACACGAAAATCTTTATATTTCTTCTTCATGGAGCTGGATAAAGTGAGATTCATTGAAGCTCTCTTGGACTTTAATAACATGCATGTTTTCTTCAGTGCCTTCCAGCGACTAGTGACGGCAATATGATTGGATGACTGTGTGATCCTATCAGTATTAGTCTTCCCACACTGGTCCTAAAGCAGCCTGTATTCAGTGGATTGGGGCACTCTATTTCAAACTGGTTGTCTGTGTCCATAATGGAATGATTTTTGATCCTGTTTTAGGTTTTCAATGCACACAGCAGGATTGTCCGGCATCACTTGCTGTTTTCATTTGAGCTCGAGATCCTGCCTGTGCAGCTCAAGCTGAGAAGGAAATTACTAGAGTAGACATTTGTGATTTCAACACCAAACCATGCCCTTAAACCTTAGATCTTTACACAAAATATATTCTTTTAAGTTATCAAATTATAGATATTACAACCTGATATTCCATGCTGCATGCTATCATAATGATTTGGGCCTTAAGTCACTGATTATAAATCTTGTCACTTTCTTCTCTCTTTCTTTTCCAGGAATATAAAACCTTTAATCATACACATTTCTAATGTTTATTGTCTGTCATATAATGTGTGATTTTTTTTCATGAGACGGCAGAAATGGGGACATTTGGGAGCTGTTGCTGGACAAACATCACAAGTTTATGGCCTGGCCAGCACTACGGTTGTATCCTGAGATTCAGGTTAACAATCCTCTCATTAGCTTTTGCTTTGAAAATAGCTAAAATAGTTGATGAACATTGGAATTGTAATTTAATTAATAAAAGAATTGGGTGCAATGCCAAATTTCTGTCTTATTTACAGTTGAAATTCATTCTGAAGTCTTTTTCGTTCAGAGGAAATGAAGTAAGGACGATAACAAATTGAGGAGTGTGGCTGTTGAAAGTGGCACTGCCTCACCAGACAGCATCACCCCTATTAAAGCTCAATGGGAGAGAGATATCAGTGTGCACTTTACCACAGCCCAATGGAAGACCATTTTAAAAAGCACTTCACTTTTCACATTTTACCCTTTTTCTATCTCTGTAGAGCTGAATGAGGAGGGAATCTTTGATGCAGCATTGATGGTCAACTAGCTTATTGCTACAACTAACATTTTCTGTCAGACTGTGTTTTAGTGCCTGTCAAGTTCAAATGTACAAGAAGGATAAAGCAAACAAGTTTACACTAGATTGATTTATTGAGGCGTTCTTCCTCTCCCTCTGGAAGTGTTGTAATCAATTAAATAATCTAGGCATGTCTTCAGACTCCATATCTGCTGTACATTTTTACAATATCCTTTTCTGACGTCACAGAGTGAAGCAACTCGTTCTCATCTTGCAGTACAAATCTATATTAGTTACGTGCTGTGAAAGCTTGTACTGTAGAAAGCAAACCAGATGTACCACAACAAAAACTAATTTAAAATATCAATAGCAAAAACAGTTTTTCTCATCATTCTGTGAAGTATAAACACATTAACTCTCACCTACAGACAATATAAATGTATCAAATGCTGAATACAAATTTCTTGACTGCAGGTTGACTGCTGTCTAGTTTGTCTAGAATGGTTTCACATTACCTTTCAGAGGAAAGAGGAAGAGCTCTCCCTCGGGGCCAAGGAATGATGTGCCATCGTCACCGTCGTGTTTGGGGTTGTTATCTATGGAGGTGTTACCACCTAGAAACCAGGAGGGCAAACAAAGTGACAAATTCTCAGTGCCATCCTTATATTAATTAACACATGGTATAATCTATGGGAATTGAACAATAACATTTAAAAGCAAATTTTATATATCAACCTAGACGGAAACACTTAAGGACAGCTGTAATCCCAGTCAGGCTCACTGATTGTCTTCCATGTTTGTTTCTACATATTTCACACTTTTTATCCTTGCGTGTCCCAGTGCATCCTAATCTAGCAGTTATTTTCATTATGCTTACCAGCCTATTTACTTTATTGTTATTTATATTTCTTATTATTATCTATATTTTTTTCTTTTCACGCATTATGCTGTGTACTTCCCACTGCTGTTATGCTCCAGTTATCTACTGGAGATCATGAAAGTTTATCTTAAATTGCTCAATGATTCACTACAAAGAAACACAAGGTGTCATATTGTGATACAGTGTTGGATGTATAGTCTAATCCATGTTGTTAGAGGGACAGGACATGCAGCTGTTTCTAGGATTCAGCCTGATCCCTGATCTATAAAATCTTCCCCTGTCACATTCAGTATAAAACACAAATGGCACTACAAGATTGGGGTCAAACCTGACAGCTCAAGACAATTTATTTATTAAACAATGTCTAGGCTTTCCAGAAAAAAAGCCCTCTACCTCTGTAGCCTCCACCGCCGCCCCCGGACATACAGCCACCCCCGCCGCCCCCGAAGCCGCCGTGGGTCTGCCAGAACTTTTGACAGGCCTGTCCTCCCTGACCTCCCAGCACCAGCGGTCTGCCACCCTGACTGATGGGAGCACTGTCATTCCAACCTCCGCCTCCACCTGTCAACAAACACAACACAACTTTGCAATGATGTGGAGTTGTGCAGCTGTGTGGGAAATGGTGTGTGTGACAGAGGGAAAGAGAGAGGATTCTGAAATGGGTCTAAGTTGTGTAAAAAGGATGCTAAACTGCAGGAATGCATTTGTATGCATATAGGCAGGCACCACACACACACACACACACAACACACACACACACACACACACACACACACTATATTCTCACACACACACACACACACACACACACACACACACACGCACACACACACACACACACACACACACACACACAGACACAGACACAGACACAGACACAGCAATACCCCATTAGTGTTAACAACACTGGTTAGAGCAGGGACCACAAAAACAAAAACCCCTTAAAAGAGACCTGGTGAAACAAGATTAAAGTTATAACTAATAAAGTTAAAACTAATCCCTCCCACACTCCCCAGCACTAGCAAATTTAATTTCCCCTTTCATTTTCCTCCTTCTTCTGTGAAGCCTGAGAGATACAAACAAACAAAAAACCCCACTTCTCACCACACTAGCAACAAAACCCCCCAGACATGCTGAATATTTCATTTTTCATTCACTGAGTTTCCTCAAAAGCAAACCCCTGGCTTTGTGAAGATGTAAAAATCAATATCTTATGTTTTCTGGGCTGCTCGTCAACTCCGAGCACATGAATAATGGAAGTTGCAGTGAGCATGGATGTAGCATTACACTGGTAGATCGAAGCATGTACTTGTGCCCAGCAATGACAGGGGACACAGTGCTCCATATGAATAATCGTGAGGAGGGCCACACTGTGTTTTGTTTTTTGCCAACACACAAACACAGAGAGGAAGAAATATGTATGAAAGTCATGCATTAGGACAGAAGTAAACACCTCCAGGATAAATTGATGTGTTTACAAGTAAAGGTAGACATGCAAATAAACACTTCCACTTCAGGCTATCTGTAAACTGGGCTTATTACTTCGTGTACATGCGGGGGGGGCATGAAGAATAGACACAGCCTTTCTCATCATAAAATGGTGAAAGATAAGCCACACACACTAGAGTAGTGTAATGGGGTATTACTCATCTACTCTCATCTATTCAGTCATTTTATATCAACGTCTCAATATCTCATACACACCACGCAATGGGCCTCTTTCACAAAGTGTGTACTCATAAATGTATACGAGCGTTTTACACATAAATCAGGGTTAATATTTTCTAATCATGCATACATACATGATGAAGGCCCAGCTTGCTTAGAACATGTAAATTAACACACACATCAAAAGGTGTGTGTAGAATACCTGCAGCATTTGACTTCCCGTTGCGTCCCGGTTGGCTGGGATCATAGTCCCTCTGCTCCAGCTGGGTCTCTGATTGGCTGCTGTAGCCACGTCCACCTCCCCCAGCAGCAATGATGAGGGGGATGTACAGTCCTTTGTCCACCTGGGTTATTATTATTTACAGTGAGATTTATGTAGTGCTGTCTGCTCTTCAAAAGAATAGCTCAACATTTTGAGAGATATGCTCATTTGCTTTCTTGCCAAGAGGTAGATGAAAAGATTAACACCATCTCATGTTTGCATGGTAATTATAATGCTGGAACCATCAGTTCCCCTAAGCAGAGCTAACTGGCTGCTGGCTGGCTGGTGGAAGATGGTCCTGTTCGTCAGCTTATCTGTTCAGTGATGAGAGCAGTGACCCCAAAATAACTTGTGTCCCTGGCAGATTCTCAGCTCCACTCTTTTATTTCCACTCTTAATTATCCTTGCTATAATGAGTGACAGCAGGCCACTAATATTAACTCAATGATATGAATTGTTTGAATGGTACATTGAGCTGATATCCCCATAACTGTGTAATATGTATTCTGCTTTGCAACAGACAAACTGGGCCAATATTCTATATATCATATATCATATAAATCAAGATCTCTATAAACTATGTGCAGTTCCTAAATATCTGGTATAAAAATATCTCCCTGTCCCCTGAGAGCATTATTCCCTCAGCACCTTCTTACCTTAAACACATACGTAGCCCCGCCACCTCCTCCTCCGCCCCCTTTCACTTGTGTTTTGTTCACCATCGGGCTGCTCTGTTCCAGGCAGATCTTATTCAGCATGATGTTGGACTGCAGGGAGGGAGAGAGATGTCAGTTCACACAAGAATTGTTTTCATGGATGTCAGTTGTGTATGAGAAGGCTGAGCAGTTGCCAAACCCCAGCTGCTGTGAGTCAGGGTTTTAGCATTATAATGGTGAGCAAATACCAAGCAAGAACGCAGGAACACGGGAACTTAAGACGCGAGGGCCAAAGTTCCCCCTTATAAAGACAATTCCAGTGAGATTTAAGGTTACTGATTTCCTGTTTACACTCAGTTTTTACATGACTGTACATCTGTAGATCATGGCTGTATTAATAATTGTAGAACAGCTTCCTGCTCACACTGATGGGATGATATTACTGACTAAATAAGACATCTCTGGAGTTGGTTTATATGCAGTCAGAAGCTTAAGTGAAGTAAATGAGGCTGATAGGTGTGACAAAAACTAATTCAATATATATAGTGAATAGTTCATTATGTTGCACATAGATGTGAATAGAGATGGATTTCCTGGAGTTAGTGTGTTTTTCACCAAAATTAAATTAATTAAACTAAATTCATGTTATATCCAATAACCTCACCATCAAACACACCTTTATTAAACCATCTTTATTACAGTTCATAGTAATATATTCATGTTCACATTACCCGGTCTGTTGGTGGCATTTTTACTGCTTACCAATAACAAAGGTCATCTTTGTTCTCTTGACTGTATGTTAAAAAAAGTCAGAAATTATGCATTTTATTCGTCACTTGTCGTTGTTCCACTCTGTTTCCCAGAGATATATCCTCTTTCTAAAAATGGAACTGGATGTTTTGTTGGCAAATGATGTGAGATGCAGGGTCTTTGCCATAGCTGGGGTTTTATGAATTGATGTGTCTGCCTTGTGTGTGCTATCATGCTGAACTGCCTAGAGCCAATCCTACTATGAGAGCGAGAGGGCAGAAGTGTCCTCCCCTCACTCTGTCTCAACCTCACTCAGACACAGACACACTCTCACAGTCGCTCATTGCTCCCTCGACTCCCTCATCTATCTGAACCCAAGCTCTGAGGGGTGGGACTAGTCACTGTGATTGACAGCTAGAGGGGGTAAAAGGCAGTGCATTTAAATGTTCTGGGAGAGTCTTCCTCACCCAGCCTGCTTTGTCATTGCAGCTTCTCACTTTAAAGTTGAGTTTCTGTCTGAGAGAAAAAAAACTACAGAAAGGGTGTGTGTGTGTGTGTGTGTGTGTGTGTGTGTGTGTGTGTGTGTGCGTGTGCGTGTGTGTGTGTGTGCGTGTGTGTGTGTGTGCGTGTGTATCTGTGTGTGCGTGCGTGTATCTGTGTGTGCGTGGTGTGTGTGTGTGTGTGTGTGTGTGTGTGTCTGTGCACAGTAGAAAGAGAAAGACATGCACAGAGAGAGTGAGTATTTGTCAGGACAAGGGGGGTATCATTTCCGTCACCAGAGGGAAGGCTAGGTGTGAGAAAACACTGTTCCACGGCACAAATCACTTTCAGAGCGACCCTTTGGAGAGAGCTGCTGCCTCTTGCTGTCAGAACTGAGGGGAAATAAGAAGAACCTTAAATGACTTTCAGCCTCACTTTAGAACAGCCCAGCCCCTCTCTGCTGTCTGTGCGGAGCACTTCAAGACATACAGTTAAAAAACTAATAACTGGATGACAGTGGAGAGGACCGCTACCTGCTAAGCTACACCTCTTGAAAATAAAGCCACAAAACACAAGAGGCACTTGAACTGCCTCACGTCCAGGTATAACCACTGTAATACAAGAAGGGAAGCTAAATCAATATTATCTTATAATTCACATGTAACCATTTACATTTCATCTAAAGGTTGTTTTGACTTTAATCTTAGCTTTTTACTGTTTTTTATTCTTTTATTTCTATGGTGTCTGTTCCCTGTTTAATGCTTTCTAATGCACTTATCGTTTTGAGATAATTGCTCCAACCAGTTCATTAATTAAGATGACCTTCCCCCAGTGACAATGTATTATCATTAAAGGATCAGTATGTAGGATTTAGAGGCATCTAGCAGTGAAGTTTCATATTTCAACTAACTGAGCAATGCTGGCATCTCTATTTGACGACTTTGTAATAAGAAGGGGCTGCAGAGAGTGGGAGAGTACGGTGGCTGTAAAGCTCGTGAAAGGCCCTATCTACAGCCAGTGTTTAGTTTGTCCATTATGGTTCAACAGGGCGACTCCATGGAAGGCAACCTGCACCGTCTTTAGATAATAATGGCTCATTCTATGGCAACAAAAACACAATGATTCTCATTTTAAGGTGATTTTACACTATCCATTTCTGCCAATAGATCCTCCTGAATGTCAGACACTAGACCTTTAATACTGTATATCATAAGGACATTAAAACACCAATGTAGGGATTCCACAAAAATAATAGAATTTCACAACTGTGTTTTGTCAAACATTTCAGAATCTGTTGGTATTTTCCTCCTCTAATAAAACATACAGTAAGTGCCAAAATTCAGCAACTAAGCCATTTCCCCTCTTTTTTCAGTAGAGGGACAGGCCTTAGTTTTCAAACGTTTAAATAGTTGATGATGGATGGTGTCACTGGCGACTAGAGGGATTGTGGGGGTTTTAGTCTCAGTGTTGTGAACTGTGAGGGGAAGTAAGCTGCTCTGCTGCCAGTGAAGAAACTCCAGAGCATAATGGATGACAGCCACCCCTGGCAAAAGAACACAAGTAAACTTTAGAGAGACAATGGGAAGATTGCTGAAAGCTTCAACCGCAGATTTAAACAGACGTTGGTCCCCATAAAACGTTACAATTTAAAGCACGGGTATCCACAGTGAGGTCCAGGGACCCCCTCAGGGTCCATGAGGAGGATCACCGGATCATATCAAGGTCCAACTGAAATTAAATTGCATTTGTTTTTGTCGGCTAGAGCACACATAGTATCTGCTGTCAGCTGCTGTCAATCAAACACAGACAGGGGCTCGCCCATCCAGCTGGCTCAGGAAAAGGAGCCTTTCTGCTATTATCCCAAATAACTTTTAATAATAAAAGACTATTAACAATACAGTTATAAAAAACAATAAATATAAATATAAATAATCTTTCTATATTGGCATCATTTCGAGAAAACAAACAAGAGACAGACTTACATTGGGGCATGCATCCTCTCCTTGCTGTCCCACCAGGATGTAAAGCAGCTCGCCCTTCCTCAGCAGGAAGTCTCCTGTGATGTAGACACCATGTGACCTGCTCATGGCCATTACGCTTCGACCGCCAGCTGCACCGTAGGCTGTGATCCTGGGGTTTAACAGAAACAAATATGTAGAGACACACACAACACACTTGTTGGTGACGTTGGTTGAATTTTTCCATCTGGTTTGGAGGGGCTTATATGGACAAAGGTGTTTATTCTATATTCTAAGCTGTACAGCAGGTGTTTATCAGAGATAACCTGAAGCTGATAAACAGTCCCTGTGCATTCCTCCTGCACAACATTAAATAAAAACAAAATTAATTAGGAATCACTATAACACTTTCACTTTCGCCCTGCATGTTTTTAACAAAAAATATTTTGACCTAGCGTGGTAGACTGTTCTAAAGCACACACATACACAAAACCAGTGCATGGGCACACAGACACACACCTTTGTAGCAGAAGACACTAATTTAAAATGCTCCAGTTTTCTTGCCAGGAAAAAAAAAACAAAAAACAACTTGATTGGTTTTTGGGAGCGCTTCGATATTTCTCTTCCCTGGTGGTCGTGCTTGGTGGTGAGAGAGAGAGAGAGAGAACACTGCCCGGTGCTCAGTAGCTACCTCAGCTGTTTGCCTAATGACTTTTGGGAGATGCAGAGCGCATATTCATCTCTGCGGCCGTCTGTCAGCTTCATTTACAGGCTCTGCCAGCTAAACCAGGCCGCATCAAGACCACAAGCCTGGAGTTTGTGTGGAGACAGAAGGTGTTTTTCTAAAACTTTGGGACATGTGTTAAGATGGTTCTGTCCACGCTGTTGTTAGTTAGGTATTTTAAGACTTGTTGGCTGAGCTTGGCGGTATGTGTGTGTATGTCCCCGTTTGTTTTTGTGTTGATGTGGGAGGCCTGCAGCTTTCAGAGACATTTATGTTTGAACCGTCCAAGTCAAATCCAAGTTAAACGCCTCATGTTGTCATGAATGCCCACAGGAGGAATATTGATCCGTGTACAAGGTGGTGGATGTTACAGCATTAATCCAAAAGCAGTACACAGTTTGAGGTCAAGGTGCTTAGGCTGATTGTTGCGGTATTGCAAAGGCCACCAACATAGCCATGGATGTGGGTAGGTTTTAAATTTTGGAGTCAGTGAATCATGCTATTTAGCTGCCATTACTCGAGCCTCTGCTCCCTCCTGCAAGAATCTGATAGTAATATTTCTCTGTTTGCTTGTGGAAGATTGATGCACTGCTGATGCACAGAGGAGTGGAGGTAGGCGTGAAGAAGAGTCTGCATTGTAGCGAAAAATGTGAGTTGCACAGAGCGTGCTGATACCTAGGAAATAGAGGTTAACTGTGTATTGTATACTGTTTACATGTAGAGTGTGCATGAGGCCAAGTGCATGTACTTAATGATTGGCCCCACAATCTACCGAGATACAACTGCTATAGAGTGGGTGTACAATAATGTTAAGGCTCTGAGGCCTTTGTACTCTGGCAGCAGCCCTACCTGTAGGTGCCAGTTTCCTGGACCCGCCACATCTGAATGCCTTTGAAGGGCCCTCGGGTGCCTACTGTCACGTTGACGTTGCTGTTCCTGTAGGAGTTGAGGCACTGAGTGGGAGTTGGGCCTTCAGGTCCCACAGCCCCACAGGTATGAAAAATCCATTTTTTGGCTGCACATAAAGGAAAAGGAAAAAAACAGCACTTAATAGAGCACATAGCTGTAGAAGCACAGATTCTGTATTCAATCACACTGGGATTTAAGCAAACTTAAAGATGATAGAGAGGCTGAAATTCAGTGTGCACCACAGACTCATTACAGTTCTATTTGTCTCACATTCATTCCACTTCAACATTGCCCAGTGCTCCACTCCCACATCGATAAAACCAAATATACAGACATGAAGAAAATTATTATACATAGGAAGACTAGCTCCAAACTGGAAGCTACTCAAATGAGACGCTACTATTATCATATTCACAACTGCAGCAGGGGACGTAGTGACAGGATCACAGGTGACAAACATTTCTCCTCATTTTCCCATGTAATCCCATGTGTCGGTGCTAATTGGAGTTCCTTTCACTGTAATTAGCACGAGATTAGTCTTGTCAGATGGACGTGGACGGACTTAACGCTGCAGTACTAAATCCTGATTTAAGGCTTGTGAACACAGCAGTGGGGAAGACACCAGGGAGTGAAGCACCTCTCTCTCTCTCTCTCTTCTTTCTTCCTCTGCCCGACTGTGGACGCTCTGAGACTACTTATCATTCATTTCAGATGCAAATCTGACACCAGTTAAAGTCAAAGTCATTCCTGGAACAGAACAACTCACATGATGGCTTTCATAGCCACTGAGTTGCAGGTCAATGTGACTGCAACACTGGGGTTAGAGATTTAAAGAATGGGTGTTTTTATTCTTCGCAAGACTAGATCCAGTAAACTGATTAAATGGTGTCAGATACACAGGAAAGAGAAGCCTCAGGAGTGCAACTTAAGCTTCTGATGCTCGCAATACAACACCTTTTGCTGTTCAAGTTGCCTGCTGTGTAGTGCCTATTAAAGTTGAAGCCCAGGAATTGAGAGTCAGTATTTACAAGGATCTCTCGCCAAAATCAACACTTCCTGGCTAAGGAAAATAACTGCAGGAAGCTTGTATTTGTAGCTTGTGTGTACATTTGTGTCTGTGTTTACCTATAAACAACAAAATAAAAATATACACCATTGACTTAATAATAAGATTTGAGTTGATTTTGGAATGTAATCATTTTAAAGCCACACAAAAACATTCATGTTGGGGTTGCTGCCAGTTCAAATGATGACTACTGCTCAAACCTGGATGAACTGCATATCGAGCATCAAATTTGTCAGACTGACTCTGAAGATGATTGGTCCAAGGGCACCTGGTCTCCCTACAAACATCTCTTTTGAGTTTGGTAAAGTGTTGCCAGCCGAGACCATTTCAAGCAGGCACTACTTTCAAAAACAATTTAAAACACCACTATAAGAGAGCGATTTGGAGTTCAGCCTGGTCTTAGCAAATGCACTCCTCCTGTAAAAAACCATAGTTGTGGGGTGACTGGAGTTCTGTCTGGCTCCCATCCAGCAGGAGTAAATTGATCCCTCCAGTCAGTATTTTCAACACCCAAGTAGGTAAAAAAAAAAAAGAAGAAAAAGAAGAGTTAACACTGCTGGAAATAAATCCATCACTGAAGCAGAAAAGCCTCCAAAGCCAAACAGCGCTTTAGACGTAAATCTTACTGTGCTTAACGGGTTACACTGAGATGGCAATCAGTTAGGATAGGATATGCTAAAGAAAAAGGAGAAGTGAATTCTTGGCTTGTGCATATGAATAAAATCCTTGTTATGTAAAGTCAGCTTGACTTTTTGACATTAGATAGCCAAGCCTTCCGTACGATCTCTCTCCCATCTCCTGAGGGTGCAGTTGGTTTCACACTTAAACCCAGCTGATAGATCTTGTTGGTCCATCAATATGAGTGACACACACACACACAACACACACACACACACACACACACAGACACACACACACACACACAGACACAGACACAGACACAGACACAGACACAGACACAGACACACACACACACACACACACACACACACACACACACACACACACACACACACACACACACACACACACACACACACACACACACACACACACGTCCCTGAGCACACCCTGACTCTGCTATGGTATGCCACCATCATAACAAACACTGGCCTCCATCAAAGGAAGGTGCTTGTTGTACACTGACGTCAGTGAGGAATAAGAGAGAGAGAGAAAGAGACGGAGTCAAATAGAGAGACTCACAATTTAGAAGAATGATTGGATTGCAATACTGACAGCAATGCTCCAGCAGTCTTATTCTCCTCTGATTATTATTAAAACAAGACAACAGTAAACATGTCATTCTTTATGAATGACAAAGGCAGTCTTTTAACAAGTAAACAAGCATTGCAGTTTTGGAATGAAGCAATATGAGGCGCTTTCAGTTTTGTAAAAAATGATTATCATTTGGAACAAGAAGGAAAGTTGTGTTTGAAGAAGTTCTGAGGAATACAATCTCTAATTGTAATGTTGTTTGAATTTAGCAGTGATTGGGTTAGCCTTCTTTCTCTAGTTGGAGAAACACATTCAGACAGACAGTAGTCCTGCATGAGGAAACTGAGCTCTCCCATTTATTTGAATGGAGCCAGTCCTTCAGCACAGAGGGGGAGCCAACGCATGGGGCTGCAACACAATGCCATGTCATCTAGCAAGACACTGCAATACATGCAAGGGCAAAATCCTGGTTTATTACTTTAGCATGAACAGCGTATTCCTGCTGTTGTTGTGACAAAAGATAATAATAACCAAAATACCTTTCTAGATTTGTGAAACCACTGTACGGTGTTTTGGCATCTAACACACTTTCAACTCAGAGATCTGCTACTCGCTGTACGCACTGTATCTCACCAGCGTTCGGCAACATGCCTCCACCAATGCAGCTCGTTGTTTATAGCATTGTTTTAACGCAGGGTTTGAACACCTGTCATCTTCCTACAAGTTTGCCAGAGAAAAGTCCAAACAACTCCTACATCTCTGAAGCACTTATGCAACTGTTCTTTGGGGTTTACGGTATAAATAATTCTCAGCTTTGGTATCACTCCTTTAAACAACATGTTATTTTAGCATAATCCACATATTTCTTTGATTGACATGACAAATGTTGAGTTAACTGCTCCCAACAGCCGCCACCGCAGCATCTGTGCTGGCTGAAAATGAGGAAGATGGGACAGTCAGTCAGTAGAGAGTAAAATAACCCTGCCACTCAAACAGAAAATAAAAAGACAATTCAATCAGATTATCAGGATATGATTTAGCCTCAATTTGACATGATTTACAAAACAAGCATTCTCAACAACAACTGTCAAATAAACGCTCTGACTCAACATCTTATGCTTGTTTTTATTCTAGTGTCGTCTGCACCACAATGAACACAATAAAAGCACAATAAACACATTTGATAACTTGTGGACTTCTCTATCTACCTTTTAGTATTAGTATTAGTATCTATTAGACCTCTACAAAATTCCATATCAATGTAGACTCATCATTCTGTGCTGCTTTGTTCTCTTAGCATGTAGTATATATAGCAGTATGCTCCTTATCCACTGACAGTTGTCCTCTTAGGCTGGCCATTAGAAAGATGGATCAAGGCTGGCATGCCATGAATGGATCTGAATGCTAAGTACAAAGCTTATGGAGCACAAGAGTCCAATTAATTACAAACGCCTGTTTTGCGTGGCACTGCTCGTTATCTGTCTCATATCTGTCTTAGTGACTAATGTTCCCCCACCAAAACCCAAAGTAACAACAACCAGCTAACTGATTGCCGCAGGACAGTGTTTATGAACAAGTAAAGAATGAGGCACTGACTCACATCTCTACTCTGCTGCTAATTAGCGAGCATGTAATGGCCAATACTGCTTTTCTGCGTGGAGCATTCAGGGACCAACATCTGCTGTCAGTTACTTTCAAGAGCCAATGGGATTGCTTCAATCACCATCCCTTCTGTCTTTGATTTGATGCCAGTTTTCATCTACTCCACAGAACTTGGGTTTTTGTTGTTGTCTGATGTTGTAGGCGCAGAAGTGGAACACCTTGATATGAAAATGTGCTGTCTGTACAAAGGAGCCAATGTTTGTACATCCTGCTATGCTTTTGCGGATAAGATGTAAATATGATATTTTCTTGCATCGTGACAGTGTATTATGTGAAGTTGTTTTATTGTCTTAAAAGAACCTGAACACTAATCTAAGTCAATCACACACCCACACGCACACACTGTCATACAGTGAATGGCCAGAGAAAAATAAGCCCGGAGCTCATCCGGAGGTTAGTGACACGTTCTTTTCCCATCAGGAGAGGTAATCACAGAAAGAAAGGGAAGCAAGCTCATTTAGGATGACTTTTTCACTTACCCCCCCGCCCCCCCAAGCAACTGATGAGTCAGCAGTGAGAGGTGGGTGCCACACAGTAGGCCAGTGGTGAGAGATAAAAGTGACTCCTGCCAGAATGGTGCGGAATCAATGGAGATGAGGGGGAAAGAACAAGAAGAACGAAAACAATGAAGGTGAAGTCAGGGTGAAGGGAAAACAAGAGCAGGAGGAAGTGGGACAACAGAATGAGATCACAGGGAGCACTGACAGAAAGACACGACGGCTGGGTGGGACGGCAGTAATGTGAACTAACAGACAGTCAATAACAGCTTTTAAATGGTAAAGATGTGAAACAAATGGAGAAACAAAAGAGAACAAAATGTGCAAGGTCCAGATATGGTGGCAGAGTGAAGGGAAAGATGAAGGGGAGAGTGAGAGAAGACAAGACACGTTGACGTTGGTGGGGGTTAATCATTGAGCGTGTCGGGGGAAGAAGAGAGTCTTGTTGGAGTGACAGGTCTGCTGAGCTAAAACCCTCATCAGGCTTGCCGTCCTGCCCCGCAGACGTCAAAGCATGGGCTCCAGAAGGGGAGAAGGGAGACGCCTGGTGAATGTTAACCGCTCAAGGCTGTCTTTGAAATGGCCAAGGTATAACTGCAAGTTCAACTTCTTCCCCCCCCGAGTTAATATCTATGATAATCACAAGGGCGAGAGCAGTGTGATCTCAAAGTCCCATCTTTCTCTGAGGAGATTTAAGTCTGCTGGCTTTATTGTAACCATAGCGAGTATTACCTGTGAAAGCACATTAAAATAACCTTTTTGTTGCTGCCCTTGCAGCTAAATCCTGGTAGCAAACGCCCCTATATGAAATACCCTTTGTATAATTTTGTATATGAAATGTTTCCTCCACTGCCATGTTTTCTGTTCAGCATAAAGACTTTCTTGATGGACTGAGTAGCCTTTGATTGCTGACTGACCCAAGCCTGTGGCTCCAGTTCAATACATAATGCTGTAACATTATCAAATCATGTTAGCTGGCTAAACATTAATGTCTGATCTTTTACTGTCCCTGTTTGACCCTCCAGAGACAAACAGAGCGCTCTGTGTTCAAGACTAAAGAGTGACCCACATCACAGACATTCACTCAGACAAGTCGCTGCACAAAGAGGTCCACAAATTAGCATATTAAGGTCCTGACACATTAAGTGGACTATTGGTCCATGTTGGTCTGCTGTTGAGCATTGTTGTTGTGGCTCACTATCAGCCCTACTTTGCTGTCATCGTTTTCTGTGGCTGGTTATCAGTGGCTGTTGAGCATATACATACTGTATATGTATAACCAGAAGCTAACACCAGTGCAAAACAAAGTAAAGCATCACCGTTTCTCAGTTGTAACTTTTTCTCAGACCTTTTGTCAAATTGTCTTCAGAGCATATAATTAAACATTATGATTAAAACAGTGGCATAACAAAACGGTGGCATAAAAAATACTGGTAAGTTTATTTTGTAGATCTTAGCATTATGTTCTTTGGATAACAAAATATATACAACTGACCAATCATTTTTTTTCTCATGTATGAGAATGTATATTGGCTGTGGTACAACTTCATCAGTGAGACTTTAAGGGCCTGTAGAGTGTGAGTGTGATTCTTCTGACCAGTTTCAACTGGAAGGCGAGCCTCCCTAACCTACAAAATTGATTTGCTGGGCTTTAACAGCGTATGAATGCCATAAAAGCCTTTTACACCGCCAGGGAGAGAAAACAAGGTATAGATGAATGCAATTACAATCCTGGAGTGTGCTAACACTGTCAAGACCAATCATCTGTTTGGAATGGAAAACTGCAAAGTCACAGACAAAGTTCACATTCATTCAACATTTGTATGAGTGCTATGGCACTACACGCTTAGCAGCAACATAACTCTGAGAAAAAGAAGTGTCGGTTTAAAAAAAATGTATACCTCTCAAAAGATAGAGCGTACACAGTGTAACTCCAAAACGATAGTGGCTGATATCTTTCAGCAAGTACAATGTAATTCTAGCTTTTCAAAGGTAATAGCTAAGGAATGTGTTTAAGAGCAGGTTCGATATGAAAGTAACTTCTGACTTTAAACACAGAAATTGAATCTCTGCTTGTCTTTACCCTTTTCAAGCAGAGAAGTGAGAGAGTGTTAGGTGGAAAATGTCAAGTCTGTGTAAGTGGCTCCATTGACATTCTCAGGAGACAAATTGAAGGATTTTACACTTCACAACTGCCCGTCCTGCTTCATTTAATGCCAAAGGAGATCCCTGCAGCACTCACTCAGATGTGAACATGGTGCACACCAGTAGGGGGCACACTTACTTTGTTGCAGCCCATGCTCTGCACGTGTAGAGTAATTGTGAATCATTAATGCATGCAAGCATACGTGTGTGCATGATTTGTGAGCAAAGGAGAGTGCAGGAAAGACAAAGAGAAACAGACACACAGAAAATGTGCATGTGGAGAATATTCTCTTAAATACACACTTACACAGAGGACTTCCGATGGACGAGGGCGTCATCTTGGTTGTGCTGGTGATCATTGGTGGAAACTCGCCGTTGGCTGGAATGAAACAAAATGCATTTATTAAAAGGCTGTACTACTGAAATACTGTTGCTTTTACACAGAAGAACTAGAGGAGCTAAGCACAGTAGCTGCAGACCCCTCACTGGCACAGAAAACGTAGAACCACCAGCAGGGGTCATTCTTTCATTTGTACCACCAATGGCTACATGGAGGGAGTGGAATTCATAACATCCAGCTCCTCTCCATCTCTCCCCATCTCTGTTCATTCCTACAGTAGATGGGTAAGCACATTCAGTCAGAGTGTTTTGTAGCAATCCATCAGGCCTCCAGCCTCACTCCTTTCCCAGGACTGATATCATAAGCTCCCTGGTACCTTGATCTCTTCCCCTCAAATTCTCACCCAGAATTAAGTCTTCCAGGCAAATGGTCTGGCTGATTGGCTATTACGGTTCAAGATAGAGGAACTTTTTTTTTCTAAAGATGTTAAAGTAGGAGAGACTCATTTCAACTACTGTAATGGTTGGACGCTGGCCTGGAAAAACTAGTCATCGGTTCCCATTCTCTAGTATTCAGTATAGGTGAAGAAACAGTTCCCTTGGTTGCTTGGCTGAATCACTGAACAGATGAATCAATTTCTTTGATTAGGGTCCATGCACTGCAATCAGTGGTATAAAAAGATTGGCCTGAATGGTGTTAAAGAAAGCTGCTGCCATCTGATGAGGGACTGCACAGACTACAAGAACAATCAATGCAACCCTGTCAGCTGAAAATAACAAAATACTTTTCAAGTGTTTACTTGAGCAAGTGCTGAAATGACAAAATCAATGTCCAACAACAGCATTACAGGAACAAATACATTACAATTAAAATAATTATTTGCAAATAACAGGCACTGAAGACATTGCAGCGCCTGTTCCATTTCCTGTGAAATGTTGACAGTTCTTCCTACCAACTCAACCAAGGTTTGACTTTCTTATTTTCAGAGCTCAGATATAATGTTCAGCTTAGCTGCTATACGTATGTGTGTCTATGACTTTAACTCTGTTTCCAAAGAATGATTTGTTGAAGAGTTGTGTCCAGCATCTCATTTCTTTGATGTAATGTTCTGTAGAAAAAGCCCTTTGTGGCTCTGTTGCGAGAAGATCCTTGTTGTGAAAGCACAAGACTTTTGTACAAGCGAGATTATTTCAGAGAAGTCAGATAAGGTTCACTGTGGTTTGTGAAGCTGATAACGCTGCCGTCATGCAGTGCTATGACACCAAACAAGGCGGTGGGTTCAGATCTTGACCTGCTGCTATTCTTCTAGTCCTGTCTCTGATTTATAACTTTTACAACAAAGCTGGATACAATATATGCCACCCAAAGTGGATACACTTCCTAGTCGGCTTCGGAACAATAGAAATCATTGCTGTTTCACTCAGACTGCCACAATGGTTCAGTCTATCATCACAATTATATATGCACATTCCTTATATACAAACAATGCATTGAAAATGAAACTATGTGCATAAGACCCGCATACTGAGCTCTATTTCTGTTCTGCATATGGAATAGGCTGTTGAGAGGACGATTACATGGTTTCAGGGCCTATTTGCATTTCACAGCAAGAGAAAATAGAAGGTTTCTAGTTGTAGACTGGCCTGCCTTGTAGAGCAGCAGAATAGCACACAGTTTGTTTACACTGTAGCTGCCTGATATTCTTCATAGGGTCGCCCTGGATGGCACACAGCAGCAAAGGATGATTTAAAGGTTTCATGAGGGTATTTTCTTGCTTTGTTTCTCTAAGCCACAAACACTAGAGTAAAAAAAGTTGCAGTTCCAGATAACACCAACAACCCACTGATGAGCAAGTTGTGTTTCCAAACTTCGAAAAAAAAATAATTGCACAAGCTAAATATCAAGCAGAAATCCAAATACTAGTTTCCTAATTGTGACGAGCCAATGAATTGCTCACATAGTGTCATTCGGCTCCTTGGTGTAAACAAATCATGCCTGCTTTTCCTGCCATTCTTCTGGGGGTGTCAGGGGACAAAAACAAGACTTTTCATCTTCATCTCTATAATCATTTTACCACAAAAACACTCCCTCTTCTCCATCCTGGCTCCCCTGTCACCCCAGGCTGGAGGCACACCGTTTATGACAATATGGCAGGGGGCTCCCTCAACAGCTGAAAGTTTTGGAAAGCTACTGTGTGGCACTGTTCCATTTGGTCCAGGAAAACCTGCTTTGACTTAGGATCTAACAACTTGACATTAATATTATTTGTGCTTGAGTTGAAAGTACACCTATGGTCCTCTGGGTGGTATATATCATTAAAATTCTTTAGATGGTGGTTTCTGCTGGAACTTTCTCTGAGTAGAGAACTCTTGTAATTTTGGCTTCAAAGCTTTAAAAAAAAAAAAAAAAAAAAAAAACTTCAGCACTGCTTACCTAAAATCTGCCAGCTAGAAAATCAATAGCTCATTCCGTAGCCCTGTAATCCGCAAATAAATATGATCGCCTAAGACTCCAATGCTTGGGAGCTGTGATACAGATAGAGTTTATGTGCAGATTTGATGGATCACATACAGCACGCGTATGACCACAATAAGTTTGATTGTTTGTGCAAGTACTCTACACAACACACTCTCTGTAAGTAAGACCCTTAGTGGTGTTATGTGTACACACAAAAAGTTCAGTAACTTTTTATATCTTCAACAAAGTCGCTAATAAGACTCACTATATTGTTATTCTGAGCATGGGGTAACACGCTACAGCAGGGCTATGAACAGACAGAGCTGGAGCACACAGCATTGGTATGCTGCTGCAGCAGGAGAAGGACTCAGCAGGTCCACCACAGAGCAGCATGAACCAGAGGGCAGGGCAACAGCCGGCGTGGCTGTCACTGTTCATTAGCAGGGCGCCGTAAGATGCCTGAAGCCCACCAGAGGCCAGCCACGGGGGAGGGGGGTACCTCAATTCCACCCAAAATATTTTGAGATTGCAATAGCTCTAACAAATATCCACACTACAGCCATGTCATGCTAACAGTCAGTTAGTCCTTATGGAAACATGGGGTTAAAAAGCAGGCCTGGCATGTAGCATATTTAGAAAATGTATGTACCGGTCTCAAATATCTCAAATTTAAGAGAACATACTTTACTTTTGGATTCCTAATCTGTTAACTTGCATATACAACCTCTGTCTTTGTGTCTAAAGGAGGCGGATATACCTGGGAGAGACCACACTTCTTTTAATTAGCCCTAATGTACTGTATATGTCATCACTGTGAATACACTGAAGACTGTAGAGCAGCTGTACTTACTGGTCCATGGTGTGTCTCCATGTTTCTCAACACCCACAGGTGCAGGTGATAATTACTGAAACCTGTACATTTCACTAATCTGTAGTTGTATTACACGAGTTGCCACGGCAGATAACACAGACAGAACAGCCAACCAACCCATCAGCACATAACTGGAATAGAAAAACTAACTGTATGGCTGTATAGTGAACAGGATGTTTTCATAATGCCTGTAGCCCAACAAATCCAATTATTTCCATCCAAATCAAAATTTTTGCAATAGTAAACCTTTTGAGGATCCTTGCATGGACTTTCCATTGATGTCAAGGACCAGCTACCAAAGAAACAAATTCCCAGTGTGATGACGCGGAATCTCTATTAAGGCAACTCGATGCGTGAGAATAGGAGTAATGGCACACAGCAGAGAGAAAAGGATGAACTTCCTGTGCTGTCTATCCCAATAAACTAATTTATTGATGCTGCTGAAGATAAAATGATAAAACTGACAGCCAGGTCCAACACCTGAAGGGCAATGGATGCATCATCAAGCCCACATGCTTGCCAAACTATACATCACACTAAAGCCAAGAGAAATCTATGAGAAAGGCCACGGATGGCTGATTCTCTGCATAATGTGTTCTCACTATGTTTTCCCACCAAAACACATTACAGGGCTGTGTCATAATGCTTAGGGATCCATCATGCTAATCCCTCACAGTGATCACTCTTAGAAACAACGACTTTTGCTGAGCTTCAGCATCTCCCATCAGCTGGTCTGATTGATAGATGATAAAATGTGACTGTGTGGAGTGTGGCTGCAGGTAATGGATACCTGGCCTAGATTAAGAACTTGCCATCTGGAAAGTGAGCGAAGCAGGGATAGATGATCCTTCAGCACTGCCATACCAGTGTGGCTGCTCCGGAGGACAAAACACAATTGGTGTGCAAATATCTCCTGGAAAATGTCATCTCTTTAAATAAAGAGTCGCTGAGCCAATAAGCCACTGTTGATACGGACAATGGTGACTGCTCTGGCTTAGAGCAGCAGAAATTTCTCTCATAATTTTCAGCTGATGAAGTCATGTTAACTGATTGTATTTTACAATTAGAGCAATAAAGTTCAGATTATATTTGTTGTTGATGAATAAATTCAGCCATAATGTAATCCAAAAGTGAATATAAAATAAATTGTTGTTTAGTGTGTATCAGTCACATTCATCACCATTCTCATAGTACATTTGAATGAAAACTGGTATCTAAACAATGTGTTTTAATTGCTCTAATTAATCACAACTCAACAGTTTTCAACATGTTATCTTGAATTTACCATTTGCAGTAATGACACCAATACATTCACACCATAGACAACATAACTTGTCAGGGTCAGTTTTCTAATCCAACCAGCATCACGATGTATCAAATTAAAGCAGGAAGAAAATAATCACACTGTGTCTGAGGGTGACACGCGTGCCCCTGCCTCTTGGCCAGAATGTAGTCAGTTTAACACAGCTTCATTTCAACACTGGTCTCATTGTCAGAGCTATATTCAGGTACAAAGATGCTCAGACATTATTATTCCTGTCACAGTTCAAACAGGTTTCTCCAGATAGGCAGAGATGAAGGCAGGCACTGAACTCCTAACCTTTCATTCTCCTGATGCCAGACTCGGTTGTCATCTTACTCCTGTTTTTATACTGATAAACCATCTCAATTATAACACAAAAATATCCAGAGAGGTGACGTGAGTTTTGACCTTTATGAGCCCGCAATACAACATTGGAACAGTAGCCCTTATCAATCAGCAAGCTATATTATGACAGATTTTAACTGTTCTGACATTTCAGGATCCATCAAACGTTCTCAAACAGTGTGCTAAAGGAATGTAATAACACATGTAGATATCCGTTCCATAAGGTTTTATCAATGTATATCTACGAAAAGCTGCAACACCTTTAATAAAAGATATTATTTCTAAGACAGTAGATGTTTAAAGGACTTGCTAGGATTTTTACAATTTATTTTAGTTGTGTGGATGGAGAATTGTTTGGAGAATTTCAATGGTATTGAAGTGAATAAATCATGGTAAACGTCCTTGATGAATGCTTCAAAGTCTACAAAACTGCCACTCAGTCAAATAATTTCTCTGTAAAACATGAACAAAGGGCAGACCTGTATTGATTATGAATTTAATTGTTTTTCCCCCTTCGTGCTAGTCACGGTCAATCAATCAACCAATCAGTCAAAGAACTCCCATTAATTCAACTGAGGTCTGATGAAGTGAGAGTGGAAAAAGAAAGACTCAAGACATTTTTATAGTACTCACATGCCAGGAAGCAGTCCATACTAAAAGAGATGTTGTCAAGAGAGATGGCTGAACCGCGTCCAGGTCCATCTTCTGTGCTGAACTGCAGCCAGAACCTGCGGAGAGACAGAGCTGTTTTAACTACCTCACAACCTCTGAATGGTTGGATAGCCTCTGACTGAAATGATGTAAGGAAGAATGTATTGTGCTTAAGAAAAATGTGGGGAAAAAAAGTGAGATTTGGCTTTTGAAGGTGTGCATTGTATGCCTTATGACAGCTCAGTCTGTATTGTTAAGAACTGTTCATTCTTTCAGCAGATACAAAAGAATATGCTTATCTACTTTCACACCAAGAGTTAGATTAAAGTATTGATACTAATATAATGCCTGTACTGTAAAGATGAAGCTGTAGCCAGTAGCAGTATGTAGCTTAGCATAAAGACTAAACAGAACTAGCCTGGCTCTTTGCAAAAATACAAAATCCACATACCAGCCTCTCTAAAGCTCACTAACTAACACATTATATTTTATTTGATAATCTTTAAACCAAAGGGTAAAAATGACAATTTGCTATTTTCCGGAGTTGACGTGAGAGTGGTATTGATCTTCTCATTTACCTCTCAGGCAAGGAAGCAATTAAGCGTTTTTCCCAAAATGTCAAACTATTTTATTATGTACTGTGGAAGAAAACTGTAAATGTTTTTGTGGTTGCAGAGTTGGATGAGTTTCTCATCATTCTGTTTATTAACTTGTTTTACATGTTTTAGCTTTAAGAGTGACGTTCACAAGAAGTTGTCTGTGGCTGTCTGTGGCTGCAACTGTCAGTAACATAACCTACAGTGAACATTACTTCTGATTAAAAAGGCATTCCTCTTCTACACCATCAGCAGGGTTCCAACTCTTTTTATGAAGGACCCTTCCAGGTCTTGTATTGACACACTGAACTTCTGTTTTATTCCTCCTTGTTTAATGAATTCCACGTTAATTTGCAGATTTTTCTGCTACATACTCTCCAGTGAACTGACTACAGTTTAATACAGTTTTCCTCTCCCCGTAACATTAATGTGGCCACAGCCCATAAGTAACAGTAACAATTAAGTAGAATTTATTCTAATTTTCAGAAAATTCATCTTCTCACTTATTAGCCCATTAAAAGAAGAAGTGTTTGTTGCACGTACAATTAACAGTGCTGTGAAGTGTCAACGGCTGAGTTTTAAATTAAATACGAAGGCAATCTGAAGCGTAGATCTGAGTAAAGGGCTAAAGTACAATTAAAGGTTTCCAGGTAATCCAGATTTGTATCTGTCAGTTTTATAATTTAATGTGTGTTGTTACATAAACCTGATGGCAGTCCTACTGTACCTCCATTCTTGTTGTCAACCCAAAGGTCCTCAAAGCCAACAACACTCACATTCAGAGTCTACATATACTGTCGGTTATGTCCTGACTTTTGTCTGCACTTCAGGCTGTATTTCTGATTCTATTTAAGCTCTACAAAGGTCACTATGCAAAGAGTGGCAGGTTCACCTAGTGGTTACGGACATGACATTCTAATTAAGAGCACAAGCACAGCTGACTACATAACCCAGGAATCAAAAATTAATCACTCTCAGGGGAGCAGGATTATCCAAGCTTGAATGGAAAAGAAACCCCCAGTCAGGCAAACAGAGATGAACCACTTTATCTGGGGTTTCTCTTTCTTCTTGCTTTATTCTATTTTGTTGCATTTCTCTCTTTTTTGGGGGAAATCAGGCCATAGCTAATTGGAAGGCGGTAGGTTGGGTAGAGCCTTGTGTATTGATTTCTACTCTCTTTATCACAGACAAGTGGGATAAAAAAGAGAGGGGGCTATTGTATACAACTGTACACATGGCAGGTCCATGGCATAAAACTAGAGCCCCTATGGGATTCATTAATTTTGTGGAGTTGAGAGGAAATGTTTCCCAGAAAATGGAATGTAAATGTTGAAATTCTGCATTTATGAGAGGTGGAAATAAGGAAGAGGAGTTTGTTGGTTCTGCTTCCTAAGACTTTCTTTGCTGTGAGAGCACTTAAGTATCTGTCTGTGTGTTGGAGGATTAAAGTTGGATGACTTCTTTGCTCTTTAACACTTCCAGTTTGATGCTTTCAGACAATCCAAACATGGAGCTTGATATAATCAAACTTCCTGTTGATGTGGTGAAACAGGTAAGGGTTTGTCGTACCAGTCTGCCAGTCCATAAAGGGGAAGTATGATGAATTTCCATCCCCTTTCAGATTTGGGTTCACTGGCTGAATGCCACAGTCTGCGCTGCTCCTCAGGGCCTGTACTGTTCTCCACGATCCACAAAGACAGTGACCCCTTCTGTAAGCCTCCAGAACACATCCAGAATCGCACCTGTTGAAGTAAGGTGGAATTTTGAGTTAACAAAATGCAGTAAAGGTGAGCACAATGTTAGAGTGTTGAATTTTGAGGTAGATGCTGACAGATAATGTGTGTTAGTATATGAAATCAGACAGCAATTTTAAATTCCTTTGAATATTGTTGAATAGATGAAAAATCAACCAAGAGTGTTATCAGACAAGGAAGGGATTCATTTAAAATTGCACTGAGATTAATAAGCAACAGCCATCTTTTCTGTTCTAACTATTCTAAGATAAATAGAATTCAACAAGTATGGTAATTATGGTTATTTTGCTATCTGTGCTGCTCCTACATGCTTCAGCACAAATCAATCTCATTTTGCTGTTTCCAGGAAGGATATGGTAGGAGAAAACCTGGACACACAACACACAGGCCATCGCAGGGATTAAATAGTAAAAGGAAGTCTGAATCCAAAGCTTGCTAACAAGCATACGATGTGACCATGTCCCTCTGCAGCATTTTATTGAAGCCAAGAACATAATTCTCGCTTCACCATTTAAGTGGAACAGATGCTGGCTTAAGCCTGATGAAAAGTACACGTAGAGACGACACAACCCAGACAACTGAATTCAACACTTTTAATGCCGAGTGCTTGCATTGTGCTTGTCAATAGCAGGTTGTGGTCCTTATCATTGTCAGTGGACCACATGGTGACCGTTTAAACATCAAGATTACAGGCACTGCACAGTGCACACTGGGCACGACATGAAAGCGAACGTGGTCTGTAGCTAATACCCAAAACTAATATCCTCAACATAGTTGTCCAAGAGCAGACAGGCTAGATTGAACAGCACCAGTTCAGTGTAGAGAGAAGGATTTAGAGTGTTAATCTGGAATCACGGCTAATCTTTGGCTTTGTGCCAAGGAGCTGGGAGGCAGGGTCTGCATTGGGATCGTACTGCCTCCACTGCACTCCTCTAATTCACACCTGAGCAGCAGCAGGCTTCTCCTCCTACACTCTTATTCTTTTCTTTTTTGCTTATTTTCTCTGTCCTCCTTGCGTCTATTTCCTTTGCGTGTTTTTCTTGTCGAGATTGACTGTATTTCTCCTCCGTCTTCCTTATTATCATGTTTTTTGACCTCTTGAACTTTGGATCATCGTCCCACCTCCATCCCTCGCTTCTGTCTCAGCTTCTCTCACCTCAAGACACTCCTTGCCTCCAAAAAGTACACATGCAGAAGGCCAAAGGTCGCCGTGCTGAGCAATATTAAAATAACTAACATAACTCTAAATGCTAGATGCAACAGCATCAATCAAGACTTCAAGTACACAACCCCCTGAGACCTGCTCTGTGAGCATCATGATCTGAATAATGCATGACTTCTAATATTTTTCCAAATAGGTCAGTAGATACAAACTGTGATTGACGAGGTCAACCTCACTGTCTGTTGGGATCTTTCAGCAAATACAGGTCGCACAGTGTTAACCTGCCGTCTCGGGACATTACTGTTTGAATTTTGAGCTGTTCCTGAAGAAATTAGCATACGAAATTAAGAAAGTTTACTACTGCTTCAGCAACCAAACAAAAAGTTTTACTGAGGAGCATCTTGGTAGCCAAATAGTTACAGCAGATCCCACATGGCTACATGGCTGCAACCATGGTTCATCTGGTTCAACTAGCCGGTGACCTTTGCTGCATGTCACACCCCTCTTTTTTCCCCATTTGGTCTCTGTCCCTATCCAATTAAGGCAAAAATGGCCAAAATAATCTTTAAAAAAATCTTACTGAAAAACACTGGTGAAAAATGAAACTAAATAGCCTTCTCTGAAAATTCTATTATTTTTTTACAGTTATCTTTTTATTATCACATAATGCAAAATGTCAACACATAGCTTATGGTACATTTCAAATACAATAAGAATCATATATCTTTTATATTTGCTGTTTCGTAGTAAAGTGGCAAAATAAATTGTCCATGTGTATTTGCTGGTGACTAGGGGAGCACATTGTACAGAAATCCAAAACTTGGCCGGCCTGTCAGTGTTCAGGCGAGAGTCAGTTGAGCACACGTATTCAGACATATTCAGACAGCTTTATGTGATATAGAACTATTATAAAATGTTTGTTTTTCTATAGTAACCATTAAAACGGAGGGTCCTAGCTTTAGCATTTGCAAGCTTACTATAAAATAGCCAACCAGAGCTGTAATTTCAGTCGAGAAAATCCAGGTCATCAGATAGAAATGAGAAGACCGCTTATATCTATTGCTGTGTGAAATCAAGACCCATTGTTGCAAAAATTACTGTGAATTTGGAGGGGCAAATCTGACACCTCATCATTGAAAACTGCATGTGTGCTGTGAGATGACAGACAGCTCAATAGATAGCAACAGCAACTACGGGGGGTAGGGCTGAGTGAAATGTCAACTGTGTACATTTGAGCTGCGTTTTTAGGTGTATGTCTGAGAATTAGACGTTGCTTCCAGACATGTACAATCTGATAGTGTGGAGAAAACACACTATAGGCCTGCTTTACTCACAGTGCAAGGGGAGTTTCTTAGAGGAGGAGGAAAGAGAGGACTCCTCAGTAATGCTGAGCCACGTTGGCTTTTGGACTGGCCTTCCACAGTGAATGTAGCACCTTTAACAAACACACACACACACACACACACACACACACACACACACACACACACACACACACACACACACACACACACACACACACACACACACACACACACACACACACACACACACACACACACACACACACACACACACACACACACACACACACACACACAGAGAAAAAGAAAAGTGTCAGAAATGGAACTTGTTACACACAATAAAAAATCCAGGATATAAAACTGAACAAAAAGTCTTACAATATATATGGAGGTTTTGAAATATCACTGTAGCCAAAGTGAGCTGTTGGCATATTTGATCTCCCTTTGCTCTACTTTGATGCATAACTTAAGTGATTTGTTTTCAATGAATTCCCTAAGAACAATGTTTGACAAAAGCACAGTTCTACAGAGTGACAGCATTGAACAATACAGTTAACTTTAGTTATCCATCATGTTGTGGCAGTAATATACTGAGAATGTCTCATATATAAAATCAGTAATATACTGAGAATGTCTCATATATAAAATCACCAAATATGGTCTAAAATTACAATGCTCCATTTATAGGTTCCCCAGACTACCTCTGAGACTTCTGTAAATAGTTGCGAAGAAAAACAAGACTCTGCAAACCAAGGCTTTAAAATCTCATCACACTCGAGTCACTGCACTGACAATGAACTGCACATGTAGGACTAGGATGGAGTTTACGTGCTGCAGCTTTTACACCCAGTGGGATTCTCTTTGTAGCACTCTGAGCTCTGAACAAGACAACATGTCTGAGTCTGACACATCAGAGATTTTAGTTATCTTTCCACATTCTCTTAGACTCAAATATTCAAGGTCATTGGTTTAAAATCCCCAAGTCTAATGAGACATTAACACTTCTGTATACCAACAGAAGTCCTAAAAATATGGCACTTCATCATTTGATTAAAACAGTGTTATCATAAGAGACATGCATGAGCCACCTGATGATGGGCAGCCCTGTCTGGTAGCCTTGGCTGGTGACTGGAGTCTTCTCCAGTAGAGACTGCGGCCTGTTATTGACTGCCAACTGCACTCGCCCTCTTCAAAAGAGCAGTAGCTGCCATTGAGAAAATGACCTGAGGAGATACAGGAGAGAGAATATATCAGGGGAGGAGAGGAAAAGATCATAAGGAGGGGGAGGAGGCGGGGAGGCATATAATGAGTAGACAGGCCCGGCAGGGGGGCTAGAGAAGAGAGAATGGAGTGAACACTGACTGCCAAACTGCCAAGGAGAAAAAGGACAGGGGTGAGGTGGGGACTGGGGATCAAGGTGTTGAGCGACAGCGAAGTCAAAGAGGTTGGGAGGAGAGAGGCATGCAGGGGGTGGAAGACTAATGGCTCACAGGACTAAATGTGTTGGCGAAAATTAGGGTTGAGGTGCGGTGATGATGGTGGTGGGCACTCAGAGTGACTCTAGAAACAGAAGCAGAAAATGGAAAAGGCCTGAAGTGTCTGGAGGGAGAGATAGGACAGAGTAGAGGAACAGGAAGAGGGTCTGGGGGGAAATGAGAAAGCTGAGGTGGTGACATGATGTGTTTTGGGGGTGGCAATCAACTTGAAATCACTTCACAGAATGGCATAAGCCTCAGAAACATTTTTACTGCTGACTACAATTTACAAAGTTAGTGTGTACAGCAGCAATACAGTGAAAACGGTTAATTGGATTGTGTAGTGCTTGTGTAACCACAAAAAGAGATAGGCATGTCTGTGTGGTCTCTCTCCTTATTTCCACACTGTTGTTTAATGAAAAGTGCAAATTCCTTGATTTGCAAACAAGGTTTCTCCTTTTATGTTTGGTTAAGTAACTGACAGAATAAATCAAATACAACTTAGGTAGTGCAAATATTTAAACACCAACTATTTTGCAAAAGGCACATTTTCTGACTGAATTTTTCACTTTCAAGACTATTTTCCGGTCTATCAAAACTTATAGATAACAGCTGTGTATATATGTATATGGCTCTACATTTTTTAAAATTAATGTCACTGAATCATTTCCAAGGTGCTACAGTGGCAAAACTTGAAATACCTGCCATATGAATAAATAAAATAACATGGAGTATTATATATGTGTGTATATACATATATATGTACGTACACACACACACGCACGCACGCACGCACGCACGCACGCACGCACGCACGCACGCACGCACACACACACACACACACACACACACACACACACACACACACACACACACACACACACACACACACACTATGTATCACAACACAGGGGTTACAATTTCTTAAAATGTGATTTTGGTATAAAGAACACCCCCTTATGCATAAAAGAAGTTTTAAAAACTATTTTTAATGCAACAACCACAGTGGGATCTCCATTTGTATTTATCACTGTCCCTGTAACATCATAGCCCTTAGTTTACATTAACACTGCTCTTAATCAAAAAATATAAAGATACTAATAGAATTGAAAATAAACATGCATTTCTCCAGTGTATTGATAGTTTAAGATTTTAGGTGTTTCTGAATGTTTAAAATTAATTTCAGACTTAAATCTTCAGTGGATAGTTAGTGATGATAACACAGAGGCGGGGGTGACTTTCATTTCAGTATTTCAAAGTTCTCACCTTAAGTTTGCTTTATGTTCCCGAGCTACTGTCTGTGAGTGCCCATTACCTATAAGAATCAGTGAGTGCCCTGATAACAGTGTGCTTTTTGGAAATGGGATCATCCAGATAATGGAACTGAAACTGGCTTGAGCAGACATCATAAAGCAGGCACTGAAGAAAAGCAAGAAAAATGCTTCCTTTATCAATGACTCTAGTTTTAAAAGTTTTTAGTATAGCAAACACAATACAAAAGTCTTTTCAGATTTTAAACTCCCAAAGTCATGAAAGTAACACCATTACATTTTTATTTTAAAGTAATATAAAGTAAACACCAAAATTTATGTTTTCTTGTGAAGTTTTTCGAAAGCAAATAAAAGCTTCTCTGGACTTTTTGGGTAATAAGTAAATTTCATGTTCTTCTGTGTCTTGTGATATTATGAGTCACTCTCCTTGTTACATAAACCAGTTAGTGTCACTTAGATGTTCTTCAGTCAAAGCACAGAGGTTCAAAGTCACATCATATGATAGCTGCTCATGACATGAATAAAGAAGTTTGTGATGATGTCGCATTCGACTTTGTGCCCTTTTCTACCCAATCAAGCCTTCCTAAGTGTTCTCCATCCGTCTTTGTCTTGACACTAGAAAGGATTCAACCCAAAACACTTTATTTAATGAAGTGTGAATAAGGCTAACTTCACTGTGCCATTACTATTTTATGAAAACTGACATGAACCCTTCTGAATTGTTATGAATGTTGAGTGTCATTCTATTATACATGTAACTTTCAGTGCAATGTCGTCCGTACTCAACTGATGTCTGTCATGACAACTTGACACGGCCTATAAAAAAATACCATGGCAGGCTCCATATAATAAAGTGTGATTATTACTCTAGCATGCTCTTATGATGTGTCATGAATAATTCCTTTACATCATATAAAGTGATAGAGATCATGTAGACATAATAAACACTCAACAGAAATTACAGTGTTTTAACAGTGAAATCATTACAGTTACAGTTGTTAGTCTGTCTGTGCATGTTTGGGACTAGTTTGGAATCAGCTTAAGAGGGACATGATAGCATTGGCCTCATTGTGTTTTAAATGGAGCAATGATCTGTTTTCACTGATGATGAAAAAAGAATCTTGCTGATTACTACTTTAAATTCCTGCTTGCAACCACCACATTTCTCTGTAGTTGTAGGGGAACTGTATGTTGGAAAGCAGTGGGGTGCCTGCAGAATTTAGACTGACTAAGATCTACCAGAGGAAGCTGTGACTCTCAAAGAGTGAGGGATGCGTTTATGCATAATGATGCTTGGGTAGGATGGTGAGGGAAATCCACAGGGACTCGATTTCCCTTATATGTCAGGAATCTCCGTGATTGACACAAGTTAAGTTTGTTACTACTGCCTCTCTCTGCTTTTTCCTGTTAATGAGCCTTGGCACAGCTTATGAAGGATTTAAATAGATCAAATCAGATGGAGATAACTCGTGGATAGATCATAAAGAATAGGATATCAGAGAGGGAACACTATGTGATTTGGGTAGCAGGGGGTAATTGTGACGACTGAAAGAGATGAAAATTGAACAAATATGGAGCCTAAGGTACAGTAGAAGGCTGTAGGTGACAGCAAGAGAAAAAAGAGACACATATGACATTGTCAGGGTGGACTGATAAAGAACCGTGGATTGTGGGTCCTTGTTTTTAATCAAAAGGATAAAGGTTATTGCTATTTTAAGAATAGATTGAGAGACAGAGAGAGAACCTTGATTCAAAGCAAATGACAGCTGGCCTTCATGCCTCTGTGCACTCCGCATTATGAGGGCACAAATGGAAAAAATGTCGAGATGTAAGGAAAAGAGGCCTCAGATTTTAAGCATTTCCCAGTCGACTGGCAGCAATAAGCCTTTCCCTGTAAGACCTATCAGTCTGTGTCAAGTATCATACAAGAGCCTCCTTGCTCTGTTTGTTACTCATGTATACATTATACAATTACCAGTCTTACTATGGTCCCCATATCACATAATTCAGGATTGCTGTGATGGTTTCCAAATTAAGTCAGTGGTGTGTACAAGCTGGCTTTGTGTTTTACTGATCATTATTTATGCTCCAATTTCCAATTCTGGCCACACACACACACACACACACACACACACACACACACACACACACACACACACACACACACACACACACACACACACACACACACACACACACACACACACACACACACACACACACACACACACACACACACACACACACACCATTCAAATAGAGATTATACCCTTGGGTTAGCCTCTCGGGCCAATTAGCACTGATAAGTCCCCCTGCAGTAGAAAGAGATAGTGCGCCTGGCTGGGATTTCCACCCTCTCTTTACCCTCTTATCTCTCAGCTCCCATAGTTAGAAAACCTATAAGCACAAGGGAGCAACCATCATTTTAATAAGCACCACATGGGAGGCTGACCTGCACTGTGGGTAGGAGCAAATTAATTCTGGTCGGTTTAATATGGGTGAAAAACTGAAAAATCTACAACTAAAAAAAACAAAAATCTACGGGGTAAAAGTTTTGAACTGTGAGTCTAGAGATTGTAAAGACAATAAAAAAAATGTATGTATGCAGGTAGGACTAAATAAAGATCCTCACCACTCACACAGACAAACACAGACACAGACACACACACACACACACACACAAAAACAGCAGGGCCTGGGGGACTTCACTTGTGAATAAGATGTCAGCATACTTGGCGAGTGTGCCTCCTAGGCCTCGGGAAAAGCAGAAAACAAATGTGCAAAGAGATAGAAATAACAACCATGGAATATGTCAAGGGTGAGAAATGCTAGCCAAGCATAGCTACGCTGTCTTTTTTTTTCTGCCTTTCCCCTTGCCACTCTTTCAGGAAAGCTCATGCAGACGCTCAGTTGTTGCTCTGCTCGGCCGGATGCAACAGCTTCATTAAAGACGACTCACTACGGCTGAAACAAATGCAGGGAGGTTGGCTGACACGTAAGTAAATTTCATCTTGCATATTCTTATCAACAGACGTGCTTCTGTATCACGGTGTACTCACGACATAGGTCGCCTTCGTCGTCGCCGAGTGGACAGTCTGTGTTGAAGTCGCATAGTTTGTCCAGTGGGATCCCAGGCCCCTGGTGACAGTGGTACTGGCCCTCCAGTGTGATGTTAGGGCCGGGTGAGGACACTGAAGAACAGGAGGGGGAGATGAAGAAAATGTGTCACATTGAAGATTTCATCACAGTTATTGTTACAGTACCTTTTGCAAACCAAAATGTTTTCTCAGTCAGAGTTTAAATTATTATTTGCTTGTTGGCAGCAAACTCAGAAAATGAAACAATAGAAAGAGGAAAAAGAGCTTCAGATTATTTTCCAAGTTTACTTATTGAGCATCACTACTAGATTTATATGTTCGACACAAAACACAAATCAGTGGCTTAGGGAAAACATAACTTACAAACAGCAGAAAATATGCAGTTGCTACATAAAAGTACATCAGTCTGTGACAAGGGCTAATGTAACCCCTGACTGTAAACCCTGTATGACATAACATAACATAACACAGACTGCCTGTAGCATCATAAATAACATGGCCCAGGCTGCATAAGCATCTGGCTTTGAATACAGTACATATCCATCAGACAAGGAACACAAGCAGCAAAAAACAATGACCTAGATACTGTAGCAGGTAGCACAAGGGGAGGGAGCACACACACGCAAACACACACACAGACACCAATTGATATCAGCGGTCTCAACAACTCAACTGTAACCTGGGGCATTTGCATATCTATGCAAATCAGAGCGGCGCTATCTCCAGATTGTGGAAACTGACTGCTCACCTCCACCTTAATCATCAGAACCTGATCACAGCACAGAGAACAAAACAGTAAAGCGGAAAAAACTGCCTGCTGATGGGGATCTTGTTTCTCTCCCTCTCTCGTAAGGAAAAAAAAAGAGAAGTGATTCTTATCGTGAGTGACTGGCTTAGCTTACTGTAGTTTGCCCTTGATCTGTATTATGTAGATTTGTTCTCCACTTAGACGAACTCCGAGTCGGAAGTCTGATAACATTGGGGGCCATGACAGGAGAGGCAGTGAATGGAGCAAATGCTGTTAGCTGAGCTGACAAGTTGGCAGTAATGCTACACTAATTTTAACATGAAGTTTGTAATGAATGTACTCTTTGTTTTTCATGTTGCATAATTGTCGGTGTGACAAGATGATATACCTTCAGTGCCACTTTTCTCAAGCTCAGACTTACATTAGGGTGACAGGTTCACAGACATGTGCCAGGACAAGATAAAGTACAGCATAAATAAACACAAAAACATTTATAATGTTATGTGTCAGAAGTAAATAAACAAAACAATGAAAATGCCAAATAATGTTGATGTTGCTTTTAGCTGCTCAGCTAGCTCGCCAGGCTAGTAAACTATCCAGAACACAATCGAGATAAGACGAACCAATATTCCTGTAAGTGGATAGAAGTACTTATGACTGATGCCAATTGTGCTATAAAGTACAGCATGTAATGATGAAGTCGGTTATTTTGATGCATTTGATGCAAATACAATTGAAGATCAGCCAGTATACGATCCATTTCACAGGGTAAAATGCGTGGTTGTACTAGATGTAATTTCATTTGCATATGTCAGTGTAGTCAAAAGCAAAATTTAAACTAGAAACTATAAAAACTAAACAAGAACTAGAAACTGGAAAATATGAAATATAAAAAGTTTAAGCACACATATAAGTTTCAGTATGTCACTACAGTTGTAGGTAACAATCTTGCATCATAGTAGCACAGAAATTACTGTCTAGTTATAGTGCAGTAGAGGGCAACATTTCTCAGCTTTGGCTGATTTGTAGAATACTTCCCTCCTTTTTGTCACTGTGGTTGAGAAACCTTAAGGCCCACTGGGAAACTGCCATAGTCAATGGATTCAAAAGAGGGGGTGGCATTTTCTTTTGGACAAAAAACATTAGTCTAGGGCCTCCCACAGTCCACTATTGTGGCACGGCCTTAATGGCTGCAGAGAGCCACATTAACATGTCAGTGAATAATCCAGTTCTAATTCTTTGAAAATGTATTAGCCTGAGTAAATTACCCATTTTCGCCAGTGCTAAATTAATTTCCTTTCAGCAACTTTTTACAAACTAAAGCCTGTGAGCAGTGCATATGCCGGCACACTTTAAATTACAGTCTTACATGTGACATTCACAGAAGAGCAGAGAAGATAGAAAATATAGCATCTTTTTCAAATGAGGTAAGGCAGGGGTCTGTTTATTTATGACCAACTGTGTGGGTATGGATGTGGTTTTGCTACGTGTATTGAGTCATGCTCAACACATGCATTATGCATTGGTTGTGCTCAGTGGCTTCCTCTCTGTATAATGTTGACACCGCAAGCAGAACGATTTATCAAGAAAGAAAAAAGTTATCTGGAGTACACTGAAACCTTTGGGCAAGGTATGTAAATTCATCGATTTATCTTAGTTTAATGACAGGGGAGTAAAAAGTATCAAAGTGGAGATGTCGTTGAACTTTAAGCTCCTGGGGCAGGTAAGTTAAGCCAGACATGGCCGCTGCACTCCTGGCCTACCGCAGTTCTTAAATCACACTTGTCAGATTGTGAAAACAAGTGGGTCAGTGGGGGATGAATTGCCTGTGGGAGTAAGTGAGTTTTGTTATCCGGGTGCTCAGGGGGTTGGTTTGGCTTGTGAGGAGAATGATGTATGAATGTCGAGGAGCTGGAGAGGTGACTGGAAAGGGCACGCAGCTGCTGATAAATGACCAAATAGATGTGCAAACATTGGAATGGAGGTGGATACAGTTAAATAGCTAACAATTAGCGTCTCTGTGCATGGCTGTTAACACAACAAAACGGGAAACACACTGACAAAGAAAGCTGAGTTAATTTTCCTTCTATAACATGTTAGATTTAAATTGCAGGTATAAGACACTGGTTTTATTCACAAACAATGTAAACAGCTGTGCAGAAGGTGCACAGTTGACAGTTCACTTGAGCTTATTTAGATCATGTTTGAATCTCTTGTACCTGATACACTGCTGACAGCTTTAAAAGGAATATTGTTTCAGGTGTATATGACAAATGTTCAAAAGGCATAAGAAAAGAAAACAAACCCAGCAGACAAGAGACTAAAAGGAACCTTGCATGCAGCAACAAAGTCCATTCAGAGATCAACAAAGACGCTGTATTTCAGTCACAAGGAAATAAATGCTGTAGGACAAGAAGCTTTCATAAATTGACACATATGGTGTCTTAACTGACATAATGTTTAGTTTTTATTACTGCACATTATATTTCTGATAAAAATGACAACTATGTCTCATTCAGATCACCACCTTCATAACAACTGAAAGGGGGGTTGCAGTTTGGTGCGCTGAGGATTGCATCGTTGCTTTTTGTGGATGATGTGGCCCTGATGGCATCATCGGCCTGTGACCTTCAGCACTCACTGGATCGGTTCGCAGCTGAGTGTCAAGCAGCTGGGATGAGGATCAGCACCTCTAAATCGGAGGCCATGGTTCTCAGCAGGAAACCGGTGGATTGTCTACTTCAGTTAGGGAGTGAGTCCTTACCCCAAGTGAAGGAGTTTAAGTACCTCAGGGTTTTGTTCACGAGTGAGGGTAGAATGGAGCAGGAGATTGGCCGGAGAATCCGGGCAGCAGGGGTGGTATTGCGGTCCCTGTATCGCACTGTTGCCACGAAAAGAGAGTTAAGCCAAAAGGCGAAGCTCTCGATCTACCGGTCAATCTTTGTTCCTACCCTCACCTATGGTCATGAGCGATGGGTCATGACCGTAAGAACGAGATCACGGATACAAGCGGCCGAAATGGGTTTCCTCAGGAGGGTGGCCGGCGTCTCCCTTAGGGATAGGGTGAGAATCTCGGTCATCCGCGAGGGACTCGGAGTAGAGCCGCTTCTCCTTTGCATACAAAAGGAGCCAGCTTAGATGGCTCGGGTATCTGGTGAGGATGCCTCCAGGGCACCTCCCGAGGGAGGTGTTCCTTGCACGTCCAACTGGGAAGAGGCCACGGGGCAGACCGAGGACCAGGTGGAGAGATTATATCTCAACGCTGGCCTGGGAACACCTCGGGATCCCCCTGTCAGAGTTGGCCGATGTGGTCGGGGAAAGGAAAAGTTTGGGGTCCTCTGCTGGACTTGCTACCCCCGCGACCCGATCCCGGATAAGCGGATGAAGATGAGATGAGATGAGATGAGTGAGTCCTTCATAACAAATGAGTTCCAAAATAATGTTAGCTGCATCCCTGTCTTTTTCAAGATCCGAAGGCTTTAGCCAGAGTTGCAGGTCTACACTAACATTAATCTCCTGTTGCAGAGCTGAAGGAACAGGAAAGACAATGAGACAGACATCAGTCTTCTTACTGTAGTACTCAGCTGCTGTTGCTTTTGTCTAAATGTCAGGAAGGCAGGAAGAAATCCACAGTCATCAGTCACAATCTATAATGCCTAGGTTACCAGGATTGATTGTTCACAACTTCCAGTGGATAATTGCTAAACAATTAAGAAGTAACCAGACAAGAGTCAATTAGAGCATCTAAATGCTATCAATATATGCTGTAGCAGTTGGGGCTGCCACTGGTGACATTCCAGTAGGCGAGGAGAGTAGGTTTCACTTGTCTATCACTGTTAACGCCCTTTTCTATTAGAGAAAATATATGGATTTTTTTATTTATTGTTTTATTTTAACAGCCGAAAAGAGTCACCAGCTATTCTTTGTTCTGCTACATAACATGCTGAAGTCCTGTTTGAAACACCCCCCCCATTTGCAATCTGCATACTTGGTAATATTTACATAATGTCCCACAATGATGAAGTCTGAATGTAATGCAGTCATGTTAACAGATACAGCAAGCACAATATTATGGTCCAAATGTCTTAAAATATTCTTATATTAAATTTTGGTCTTGTGTAGCAGTTTAATCATTTTCACCTAATTACCTAAAATATCCCCAGTTATAATTTCATATGCAAAAGGAGCCATTTTTAAGTTTTAAATATTTTTTTTAAATTGAAGTTTGGTTTTTCATCTTCCTTTTCAGAAAATCTCCTTTGTCAGATTACCAGCAAAGATGCCCTAGTTTTTCAACTTTTATACATGCCGTCTGCTTACAGGATGAAAATCAGGGAACGCTTTA